TAATCAACTAATTAATTGCATATATTCACGAGTGAATAACCCACACCCCTTAAATTCCCCTGCCAGAATGGGATCCGTATCCAAGCCCCCTTCTATACCCTGAACAATGCTTTTAATTGCCCCATTTGAGCCGAGGTCCCCCGCAAAAAGCCAACAGCAAACAAAATTGGCAAAGAGAGTAGCAAACTAACTAACTGTTTTGCACAACGCAATTCGAATTAATTAAAGTTTATTGCGCGACACTGTGGGGTCCACACCCCGAAAAGTCAGACAGTGAAATCACTCTCAGATGCTGAACCAAATTTCCCTTGTACATACTTCGATCGCATTCTGACTGACTCATCCGCTCTATTAATACGAGTGTACGACACTTTCGGAAACATTCAATTTATTAATTAACACTAGAGGAACATCTTCGAGGCGATTTTCTGCATTCTTATTTTCTTCTTTTCTGCGGCTTTTACCACTTTTCCGCGCTGAGTCTAAGCGTTTTTATTGTTTCTCTTTTGTGATTAATGGGTGCGTTACCATTGGGATTTGGTGCGCGACTGACTCCGGCTAATACATGGCCAATGGAGGAGGCCCACTCCCCCCGAAAGGCCCAGCCATGGAGCATCTCTCACACTCTTTCAATTACTTGCTGGTGTTTTGAATTTAGCGCCACATACTTTTTTAATGCCTTCGAAACCATAAAAGTGAGCTTGCTAGTATGTGCAGAAATATAAAATATATACAAAAAAGATTGGCTAAAATAAAAGCCTGGTTGCCCGACTGAAATAATGCTCGTTAGCAGGCGCACAAAGAGAAGCAACTAAAAATAACAACAACAACAGCAACTAAACTTATAATAACAAAAAAGCCAAAAAAAAACATACAAAGCAGACTGAAATTAGTTTCGAATTTTGAAAAACTCACTTTGCCATGGCGGAATGTCTTAGTCACGCCACCTGCTGCAATCCCCACCGACAGTGAGTACAGGTGAGTGTAAGTAGGTTTACTCTTCGGAAGGTACTAAGCCCACTCCAGATCCATGGCGAGTATTTGGTAAACATTAAACCGAGGCGTGTGGCATAAAAGCCAAAATAAAAAACACAGTAATTATGCCAAGAGCTGGGAGCTAAGAGATTTGGCCAAGGTCGCTCTTTGTAATCAAATAAATCAGGCACTAAGCAGTTGTCAGTAAAACAGCCAAGCACTTGTTAATTAAGAATCAATTAAGTGAGGGGATTAAATAGAGAACTAAAAAGCTAGAAATTAAGTCATTTACCTGACCAAAGTGACACATAGATGTTGTTTTTATGAACTTTAATAAACAAAGTTATTTAAACATGCATATATGTATTGTTTATTCACTTTTAAAAGAGACTTCCTTCCGTTCGAAAGTGACAGGAAACAACATTTCTTGAATTTTCTATAGAAAAACATCCGATTTATATCCTCACTCATAACATGTAAAAAGTGGTCACATAAATTCCCCCTTTTTTACCTACAAAAATTACCCTTACATTTTTAAAAACAACCAAAAAGATACTAAGTAAGGCTTCGCCCTCCAAACATGTCTTAATGCTGGCTTATCGGATATTACACACTGAGTGTGTAGTGTGGAGTGGCCCCATGCCACGACGGGAAATGCAGCAGGGAAAACATAATACAAATACCGAGGGGATGACGGAGACACACAACTCCATTTGCCGGGTAATATGAGACATTGCTAAGGGCATGGCACAAAATAATCAAAACCCTCACCGGCTAAACGCTCGAGTGCAGGTCAAAAAGGATGTTGAAGGAGGCCCCGCACTCCGACAAAACACTCGAATGTTTGAATTTATCGGGGACCGCTCGAATTGTATCTCATGGATGCGACACGAGAGCGAACCCCCAGCTGACTCATTCCCCGAGATCCGAACAGATTGGCCGCCACACACACCCGTAGGTATCCGTAGATACCCGGCCACAGACAGACACAGGTCCAAGCCCCAGCCCACACAACTGCACAAACAAACAAAATTGCGAAAAACAACAGGCACGACTACGGGCACTAAGCCTACGCCCTGGCCTGAACTGAAACGCTCTGAAAATGCATGGAAATTAACAAAACGAAATGCAATGCAAAATAAAATTAAAAGGCAGGGTGAAGGTCCCATGGGTTCGCCACACAGATACCTTTTATAAGCATAAATCAAACAAAGATATCGATTTGAAGGCTAGATATTAATAGTGAATCTTTTAAGCCTGCCCGAAACAATGGAGTCTTCACAAAGAATAAATATAAAAATGCATGGGAGATTAACAAAACAAAATTCGATGTAAAAAAGTCGCAATATAGATACCTTCTTTTCGTATTAATCAAATAGAGTTTTAGATTTTTATCAGTTAAGCCTGGTCGAAACAATGGAGTCTTTCTTTTAAAAATAAGCTTACCAATGCATTGCGCTATCAGTGTTTGAGTTTGAGTTCCGAATACTATTTGCAATTTATCATCATTATTTCCTGTTACCAAAAAAAGTAAAACTATTTAGTATTTAACAAATATATACACATAAAACACTGACTCCCACGATCATTTCTTAATTTATTTAATAATTCTAGTTTTCCATTCCTACTTCCCAAAACATTAAAAAGTATCTTATCTTTCTTGCAATTTAATTTAGAATGCTTTTTAGCCATTGTACCAGTATATACCCCACGGAACCTTTAGGTATAAATAACTGGGCATTCGCACAACCTAAAGGCAAGCTCCATAAGTAACACAAGACGACTACAAAATTTACTTTAGACCAAGCTCAAGCTCAAGTCGAAGCTCCGGCTTCAAGTCTCTGGTGCTCGAGTACACAACTCGATGCAATCGGCCAGCGAATTCGAACGAAAGGTACTTGAAAAAGTGCATGCGGGTTCATTTCCTGTTTGCTCTTGCCATTTCAGTTACACAGAAAATAAAATCGAATATTTGTAAAAGAGCTAAAAAATAAATATTAGTAACAGTCGAGCTCAATCGAGCAACAGGCCACAGCAGCTAATGCTCATATTAATAAGTTTACTTTTATTTCATAACAATCTGCTACCTTTATTTAAAAAATAAATATTCAATATGAGATTAGTATTAATAAAGCCACTTCTATTCATATTATAAGAACATTTAAGTTTGATTTATTTTAATATATTGTCATAAATATGTCTACAAAATTAAGTATTGTATGACTTCGAAGAGCTCTCTTTAATTGACAATAATTTAAATCATCACATTAATTAAAAGTAGTTTAATAGTTTAAATTTTATTGCCATAGTAAGATAAATTTATATTTTTCATAAGAATGTTAACAAATTAGAATATGCTTAAAATGGTAAAAATTAAAGAGGAGAAAGATGAATTTATGTAAATACCCAGAACAACCTATATCATTAAGATATGCAAATGTAATATACAATTGCTCAATTAAATTAAAGGGTCTGCTAACAGCATCAATAGATTTTTCTTGCAGTGCATATCTGTGGCTCAGAGAAGCTTCTTGCCATTTTGCGATGTCAGCTGAACTCGACGACAAACATGCTCAAGCAAAGGCGATTTTCCCCCGCACTTTTTTGTGGTGCCCCTCAACTTTGCAGACTTTAAGGTTTTTGTATGGGTATTTCTTGTAGTTTTAGGTTTTTGCCATCTGCAGCGCTTAGGTTTTTTTTCTGTTGCTTTATTTTCTGCTTTTGTAGAAGACAACTTTTGCCTTCGTTCCTGCATGTGGTTGCCGCTCTCTAATTTGCCTACAGCATTTAACGATCATCGCAGATATTAGATTTTGTGACTTTACGTCAGTCAGTGCAAATTATATCCACGTAGGTAACGATTTTTGACACTTTTCCAACTCCGCGACCGCTCTCGAACGGTATCCGCCGAGACGATCCATCCATCCATATTTGTATTTATCTCCCGGCAACAGTTATTAATGATTGGTCTTTGGCTCCGGAGCTGCGGGCCAGGAAAGTGTTTATCGCCGGATCGATTATCACTTACATATATTTTTTTCGGCTCTGCTGCGGAATTCACAGGGGCTTTTGATTAATTGACCGTTAGCAAGTTGTCATTTTGATTGCGTTTTAATGCGCCGGCCACTCGATTTGTGAACTTTCAATTATTAGGTAAACGAAATTGGCCAAATTGTCACTGGAGTCCGTGAGGTAATATGGTCCTCGGGCCAAAGTCTGAATATCCGATTCAATTATAAAAATTGTTTACATAAACTTTTGTTTCCCACGTTCTCCGGCTAACTTGTATTTGGCATGAATAATGAAAGTGTTAAGTATAAGATATTGTTGTCTAACGGGTTGCGGATGACATAGGCCATAAATAAAGTCAAGTTCTTGATTTTAGAACAATAGAAAACTCTATAAGATTCAACCTTGATTTAATTTAATTTTCAGCTTTGCCTGGATGTCATTTTATTGTTTTGACCAAGTCATATAATCGAACAATTGTAATATTGTGTTTTTGGAATTATATAGAGCATTGTAAATAAATAAATTGAATTTTTATTGATTCAGTAAAGTCGAAGACAGGCTCTAGAAATATTATTTATAAATAACTTCTTATTGGCTTTTGGACATAAAATTTTTCAAATGAATTTATATCTCCCTATATAAATACCTTTATATATCTTTATATTGCTTAAATATAAAAAATCAATATAATAAATATTTCGATAAAATTTGAAGCTTTTTGAACGTTTGGCTACGAAAACTAAAGTACTTTTAGACAATAAGAATCTCAAATATATATATATACTTTGTCTCTGCTTCAAAGAACAATAAATACATCTAGAAATAAATTAGCTTTATACTATATAGTTTTTAAAAGGTTTCTTGAAAATTCTTAATATTTAACTGCCTAATAATATATGTTCAAGTTAAAAAAAGAACAAATAAATTATTTTAAGATGTAAATAAGAATAATCCCTTAGTTTTTAATGACAATATAAGATCATCATCAGAGGTTACAGTAACTCACAACTTACCTTTTTGGAATAGTTTGTGCGATCTACGCCGGAGTCTTGAGGAGCTCCCCGTCCAGCATTCAAATTGGAGTGGTTGGGCGGTTGCCAACTGGCGTGCTGCTGGCTGATCTAGCTAGAATCCGAGCTCGTTTCTTTCCGTGTTTTTCGGGTTTTCAGGTGGGAGACGAAGCGCGACGCGGGCTGGCTCTGGCACTTGGTGGCACTGGTTACTGGAACTGGGTACTTCGGTACTGGGTACTTGTTGCTCTGCTGGACCCCAGAGCTCACTCAAATCTCTAGCCACTCGGATGTGGACGGCGGCCAGAAAATGGAAACGCGATTAGAGGGCCGCGGTGGAAGAGGCAGCGAAAAGGGTACACAAAAAAGATGCAGAGCCAGCAGCAGCGGCAGCAGCAGAAAAAACGAAAACAATGCCAGAAAAAATCAACATGCACACACTGACACCAAAGAATATGTATCTTGAAACTGGTTTAAGATTTGTTGGGGATTTGTTGGCATCTAGAGTGTGTGTCTATGTGAGCTCTGGGCTTGTACTTTCCAATAACAAATCCGACTTCTTGTTTGGCTTTGACTCTTTAGAAACACACGGACATCATTTCCATACAGATTCTTATTCCGAAACAACTGTTGCGCCTCTGCGGGAGATGGATTTCAATTCGAAGCAGGCAGGCGAACCGAAGGATCTCAAGCACTCATGTCTCACAAATCGCACTTGCAAACTATATTGCTAACACTTTTTATATTTATTTTTCCTTAAAAAATACCGGCGTGTACAGAAGAGTCGTTTGCCATTTCAAAAACATTCAATTCCAATCCAAAACACCGACAAAACCGACTTGGGAAACGCACGAACCGCCAACGACGTCCGCCAGATACGAATGAAACGCAACTGAAGCGCTTACTAGAGATGGTAAGATACACGACGAATGCGATAGTATTCTGGTTGGAGAGCTATCGAATCTAGTGATGCTGATGGTAGTTGGTCCAACTAATTATTTTTCGTTAAGCATTTGCCAGGTAACAGTTTTTTTTTAGTCTTTGTGCTATACTGATTGAGATGGTTTGAACTGATATTAGAATATCTCTCAATTTTAAAATTTAATAGAACTTATTTAGATTAATTTTTCTTATTTAAATGTAAGCAAAAATAAACTTGCAAATGCTTATAAGTATTAAATAATAATAATATGTAATATTTTGTAAGATATAAACAATCCAACCTGTTGAAAAAAATGTCTTTTATTTTATTGTTAACCACATATATATGTATATACAAGTTCTATTTTGTAGTTTATTTTCTATGTACCACGATAAGTAGAGTAACTAAAGGGATTCAGCAACAGAGGGATATGATAATTCTGATTTTCACTGCAATCCGCAATGATCTCAATAACTGGATACAGGGTGCGCACATTGCGCTCAGCAAAATATGATCCTACGTGGAAAGTCAACTTGTAGATCCCGCTGGGAAATTGGCTAGGCTCCAGGAGCTGGCACCGACCATCCTCGTTAGTTTGCGCTGCTCGAAGGGATCGCCACTCCTGGATCTCGTCCAGCCTGGAAACGGTTACTCGGACATTGGCAGCAGCTTTACCCACGGATGTGTCCAGTATGTGAGTGGAAAATTTCCGTGCGTCCATTTTGATGAAAGTGATCTTCAAGACTGAAAATTGCAAGTATCCCGAGATTGCTACTGACTAATTAGACTTTATATGAATAATATAATTTCAATTAGCATTAGGGCTGGGGAGATTCTGATAAGAGGAATACAGATAAGAAGTTTTATGAGCATAACATCAGGTAAATAATTTATTATTTATAATTATCAATAAAATAATATGCCTTGAATTGAGACTTAAAACTGAAATGTATGAAGGAATAACTGAAAGATTTAAATTAAATTAAAAATAAATAAATATTTTTGTTGCAATTTGTAATTGGTATTTTATCATTGCATATTCGGTAAATTCTGTTGGCTCGACTGCGGTCACATTATTTGCTTTATTCAAACGGCACGTGTTGATACTATTTCGTTTGGTGGGGTAAACTTCTTTAAACTTTTCAAGAAATGGCTGAAGAAGGACCACCCGAGGCGAGCATAGACTTCGTTCCCGCCCTCTGCTTTGTGCCGCGCGGCGTGGCCAAGGACAAGCCGGACAAGATTGTGCTAACGCAAGCGGAGCTGGCCAGAATTATCGGCGCTACGCAGCAGGAACTGGACGAGGAAAGCGACGACGATGAGGCGGAGGAAGGAGGAGAGGATGGTGAAGGCATGGATGTGGACGACAATGAGGATGCGAATAGTGAGAACCGCAATCCCCAGGACGAATTCCACTTCCAGGATTACGACAACGAGGAGAATGCCACAGTCACCAGTTTAGCCAATATCGTAGACGCTGGTGAACAGGTGCCCGACGAAGACGAGGACTCCGAGGCTGAGGATGAGGTTATCAAGCCTAGTGACAACCTGATCCTGGTAGGTCACGTCCAGGACGACGCCGCCTCCATGGAGGTGTGGGTGTTCAACCAGGAGGAGGAGGCCCTCTACACGCACCATGACTTTTTGCTGCCCAGCTTTCCGCTCTGTATCGAATGGATGAACCATGACGCTGGCAGCGACAAGGTGGGCAACATGTGCGCCATCGGGTGCATGGATCCTATTATCACCATCTGGGACCTGGATATCCAGGACTCCATTGAGCCCACCTTCAAGTTAGGCTCCAAGGGCAGTCGCAAGCAGCAAAAGGAGCAGTACGGGCACAAGGACGCAGTGTTGGATCTTTCGTGGAACCGCAACTTCGAACACATTCTGGCCAGTGGCTCCGTGGACCAAACTCTCATCCTGTGGGACATGGACGAGGGCCAGCCGCACACTACTATTACTGCCTTCGGCGAGAAGGTGCAGTCCCTGGAGTTCCACCCCACGGATGCGCAGAGCATCCTTACCGGCTGTGCCGATGGGTATGTCAGGCTCTTCGATTGCCGCGACGCTGATGCTGTGAACTCCTCAAGCATCCAGTGGAAGGTTCCCGGCGAAGTGGAGAAGATCCTGTGGCATCCTACGCAGAGTGACTACTTCATCGTGGGAACCAACGATGGCAGTCTACACTACGCTGACAAACGGAAGCCCGACGAGCTGCTGTGGTCCGTGAAAGCCCACAACGAGGAGATCTCCGGAGTGTGCTTTAACAGCCAGATGCCCAACCTGCTGACTTCCACCTCCACGGAAGGCACTCTCAAGGTTTGGAACTTCAACAGCACAGAGGCCAAGCACGTCTACGAGCACGAGTTCAATATGGGACGCCTACAGTGCATGCGCCAGTGCCCGGAGGATCCCTACACTCTGGCCTTTGGCGGGGAGAAACCGCCCCGCTGCGCTATCTTCAACATCAAGAACTCGGTGGCCGTGCGCCGGACCTTTGGCATCGCTGATGCGGAGTAGACAATATATATTATGAGAAGCGTATTCTACGATGTATATGCTATGTGCTTTTAAATAAACGATTTATCTATAAGGAAACAAAGGCACGTCTCTTATTTAGCAATGCAAAATTCCCGAGAGGGCATTGCATTGATCTTTATTAATAAACTTTAAATCTAAATGGTCGTGAACAGTTAAAAAAATCAAAACTGTGGTTCTTAAACGGGTAAGACACTTGCTCCTTCCGAGCGTGGAAAAACTGATAATACGACTTTAATCCTAGACATATTTCGTGCATTACTTACATCTACGTTACTTATACCGACTAAGCCTAGCTCTTGAAGAGACCCACGCACATCAGGAGATTGCGGCGCGTAAAGTGCAGGGTGACGAACGGAGAGTTCTTGCTGGGGAATGTGCGCAGCAGGTACACATCCTCGTCGTTCTCGTCCTGGTGGTGCGACACCGTAATGTGATTGCTGATATAGTCCTCGGTGACCTTGTGGAAGTCCCACAGAGTCAAGTTGTTGTCCAGACCAGCGGCTGCAAGTATAGTGCCGTCCCGGCTGAAGGTAATCGTGGACACGGTGCTGGTGTGCCTTAGGAGGGTGGTAACCAGAGCTCCGCTCGACAGATCCCAGATTATGATGTTATGATCCACTGATCCGGAAGCTAGATACCGGCCGCATGCTGAGAAGGCTAGCGAGCTCACCGATCCTTTGTGACCCGTCATCAGGCGCACTGACTGGCCTGTCATGTTGTCCCACAAGCGCACTGTGCGATCGCTGGATCCGGTGGCCACGTAGTTGGAATTCGGATGGAACTGCACACAGTCCACGTCGGACAGATGGCCCACAAACACACGTAAAGCTTGATTGGAGTCCGTAGCCCAAAGGCGTGCCGTTTTGTCGTAAGAGCAAGAGACGAAGTAGTAGCCATGAGGAGCAAAGCGCACATCCCACACCGGGTAGACGTGACCCCGATAGGTGACCACGCAGGACCAGGTGAGTAGGGACCACAGTCGTATCGTGCCGTCCTCCGAGCACGACAGGAGCAGGTTCATCTCAGGCGCAAAGGCGCAGCGGTAAACTGGGCCGGTGTGCCCCAGAAAACTCCTGGTTGACTCTCCGCTTCGGTCGTCAAGCATCCGCACATTGATATCGGCGGACTCCTTGTCCAGCTCCCTCAGCGCGTCCGCGTCCTTGAGGGCACGCAGCTTGGCGGGTGTCAGGGACCAGATCCTCACACTGGAGTCCCCGAATCCGCAGGCCAGCATCGTTGAATCGTCTGAGATCTCGGCGCAGGTTACGCCCTGGTGCGAGTTTAGAACCGTGTAGAAGACAGCGGAAGGCAGCTGATCCTTGCTAAGCGCCAGACGCTTGCTAGCTTCCCTCAGGGCTCTCAGCTTCAGCAACTTGTCTGAATCCTTTAGTTCCGGCAGGGGTATCCTGTCAATCGATGGGGCGTTTGGATCCGACTTGGATTTCTTCGATAGCAGCGGATCCTTTTTGGGTTTTTTTTCTTCGGGCGATCCGGAGCATCCGGGTCGTCGTCCTCTTCCTCCGGCGCAGGCGCTGGTGTTGTCAGAGTCTGAAAGTCAACCTCCTTGAGCAGACCATAGTAGACACGCATCTTGTTGTCTTGCCGCTTGGCCTCGCCTATGTGGGAGCCCGCCGTAGCCACACACTGTAGCTTATTGCGAGCCATGCCCTCATAGGTATCGAAGTGGAGGTACTTGGACACAATATCCGCAACCACCTCCTGCCGGCGATCCTGAATGTGGCGCTTAAAAAGCGAGTGGGAGTCCCTCGACATGCGTATGACAAACCGGTCTGTTTCCATAGCGGCTACCAGATCGTTCTCCAGCAGCTCCTCCGGCTTGGACAGCAGCAAAAGGTTGAACAGCCCCTCGATGTAGTATCCGTCGAGATCGGACTTGTATTTCTCAATGAAGTCCTTCGCTTTGTCCCTGAGGCCGCTAGCGAGCATTTTGAAGTAAATCTGCACTAGGATGGGGTACAGCACCATGGACAGTTCGTGCTTGTATATGTCCAGGGAGTCCTCCACAAAGGTGCGTAGTTCCTGGTAGGCTTGCTCGTACTGCTGGGCGTCGAAGCTGTCGTCGCCGATGAACTTGGCCAGCGCCTCTGCCGCATTGGTCTCGGTCACGGCCGATTGTTTTGGCGGCTGCGGCAGAGCTGGAACACGTTCCCGCTCCTTATCACCCAGTCCCAAGGCAGCGCCGAGCACCTTTTGCACATCGCTCTCGCTGATCTCCGCTAAGTCCGCACTGTTCACATTCGCCTCCTGACAGAGCAGCTCCTCCGTGCTCTTCAACTGATACTTCTTGATCAGCTTCAGCAGACAGAGCAACTCACGTTTGTCGTGAGAGCCTTGGGTGCCGTTTCCTCCATTTATATTGCTCATTTCAAGACTCATTTTCCGGGGAAAAAAAACTATAATTTTGTTTGCGTTGGTGTGTGACCAGGTGTCGAAAAGCTGAAAATATCACTCTAACCGCGAATAATACCACAATATACCAATAATATAAAGACGTACAGTAAGCACTAGGAAGGCGAAAAAATGGTTATTTTAACTTGCAATTCATCCTTATTTCTAAACTTAACGAATACATTTTAAAGTAATTAAGTATTTCACTTCATGATTCGTGAATACATGCAATTCTCAATAGTATTTAAAGTCGATGAAAATTAGTATTAGTATTTTTCTTACTGGGACCGATACCGATAACAGACAGCGATAACCAAAACATTCGTAAGACATGAAGAAGAGAGTAATAATTATAAAAAAGGTAAAAAAATAACGTAACAGCTAATTAAAATGCAAAATAATCAGCGCAAAGGGTAATATCTGCCTGTGCATTTACTGAATCAACTTGGCATTGCTTATTTCAGTGTAATTGTGTGCTGCCCTTCCTCCAACTCCTTGAACTTTGACTCTCCGTGTCAAAATTAACCCTTGTACTCGTGCTTTCTGTTGTGTTTTTGTCGCTCTATTTTGTAAAAAAATGAATGAAAATGATGCTGCGGTAGGTTATCAGCTTTATCCTAACTCCCATTATCTAATTACCCTACCGGATCCCCCAGAAAAAGGTCGCCGGCAAGCGAAATTCGGTGGCGTTCGATCGGCAGGATCCAGGCCAGCCGAGATACACCTTCTCCGGACGCGTGCAGGAGCTAATCGAGGGATACAATTCGGCCGTGCAGCTGCTGGCGCCCAAGTGGCCCTGGTTCTTCTTTCCCGGATATCTCACTTACGCCGTATACTGGCGTTATGCCAAATATTACAAGGGCAAGTTGCTTCTGACCCCTATTCCGAATCGCCTCTACGAACTGCTAATCAAGAACGAACTGATAAAATCGGAGCATCTGGTCTTTGTCAGCCAGGACTTATACGACAGCTATGCGGAGTCGCCGGACGTTAATTTTGTCAACTTGGTTATTCGTGGTAATGGCAGGGGAACGAGCAATCAGACAGCAAGTGAAAAGTCCGCGTCCCAAACCGTTATCAAACAAATGCTGCAGGAAGCGCCGCACACCATAGTGGTCCAGGTACTGCCGGTGGCCCAGTGTCAACCGAATTGTCTGTATGTGCAGGTAGGTAAATCTCAATCGAAGTCTTTAGTGCTTATTAACCGCCTTCCATGCCAGGAAAACTTCTACGGCAATATCATGGACCGTTTTCGCATCCGCTCCAACTGCTGGGTGCAGATGGAACACTTTGCCGATGAGCAGACCATACCCGGCATAGCGACCAAGGCGCATGTATACATGCTGACCGATCCGCACGAACTACCCGCCGAACTGACTGAGCTTATCCTGAGCAACTACTTCAGCACCCCGCGCCTCCTGCATCGCGGTCACACTTACCGCATCGAGGTGAATGCAGACTTGGTGGGCACCGCTTCCTATGCGCACTATTACCTGATCTTCGCCTACCTTCATCACGTCCACTTCAAGTGCATTCATTTGGAAACAAAGGGCAGCGAGTTCGAGCTGCAGGCGGTAGTGGCCAAGAGCTTTAGCAACCTGATTCAAGTGCCATCTCTCCACAGTTTTCTTCCGCGCCAAGTGCTAGACAACTTTGCCATCGTTGAGAACTATCCCAGCGGACTTCGGAGGCCTTATCAACTCCTGCGGTCGTCGGTTGACGCCTTTCTGCCCAAGAAGTCCGCCTGTCTGTCTTCCAAGCATATTTTCCCCGTGTTCCTCCTACAAGGAGAGCGGGGCTCTGGCAAAACGAAGCTCATCAATGCCGTGGCCCAGGAGCTGGGCATGCATCTGTATGGAGCGGACTGCGCGGAGATTGTCTCGCAGGTGCCCTCGCACACGGAGATGAAGCTTAAGGCAGTCTTCGCCAAGAGCCAAGTTAGCGAGCCGCTCCTGATTTGCTTCCATAACTTTGAGATCTTTGGCATCGACAACGAGGGCAACGAGGATCTGCGTCTGCTTTCGGCTTTCCATGTGCAGGTCCAAGAGCTCTTTACTAAGGATCGAAAGCATCCCGTGGTGGTGGTGGCCTTAACTAGCGACAAACATCTGAAGCCTATGATTCAGAGCCTCTTCTTGGAGATCATCAGCATAGATATGCCTAGCAAGGAGGAGCGATTCGAAATTCTGCGCTGGATGCATGTGCGGGAAACCTTCAATGATATAATCCACAACCAAAAGGCCAGCGACCGCCTGCCTTTGTTCTCGAGAGAAAACCAGGCGCAATTTATGTCACGCGTCAGTCCCAATTGGAGAGATACCATCAAAGTGCTCCAGGAGGTAGCGACCAAGTCACAGGGCTTCCTCTTGGGCGACCTGCAGCTGCTCTACGACAGTGCCATTCGTCTGAAGAGCCGCCAACGACGCGGTAGGAGCACTTTGGATCTCTCACACTTCGCCAAGAATCTAAGCGATATGCAGAGCTCGTTTGCTGATAGTTTGGGTGCACCCAAAGTGCCGAAGGTGTACTGGTCGGATATCGGCGGTCTGGCGAAACTGAAGGACGAGATCCAGAGCAGCATTGGGCTGCCGCTTAAGCATGTTCACCTCATGGGCAAGAACTTGAGACGATCGGGAATTCTCCTCTACGGCCCACCGGGAACGGGCAAGACTTTGGTGGCCAAGGCCGTAGCCACCGAGTGCAACTTGAGCTTTCTCTCCGTTCAGGGGCCAGAGCTCCTCAACATGTACGTGGGCCAGAGCGAACAAAATGTGCGAGAGGTGTTCTCCCGTGCCCGGTCAGCAGCGCCTTGTGTCCTCTTCCTGGACGAACTGGACTCCCTGGCACCTAATCGAGGTGTGGCCGGTGATTCTGGAGGCGTTATGGACCGCGTGGTCTCGCAACTGCTAGCCGAGATGGATGGCATGAGCAATGGCGACACTAGCAAGCCTATCTTCATCCTGGCAGCCACCAACCGTCCGGATTTGATTGACCCCGCCCTTTTACGACCTGGTCGCTTTGACAAGCTCTTCTATGTTGGTCCCTGCTCCACAGCCGATGACAAGGCAGCCGTGCTGCGGGCCCAGACACAGCGGTTTGCCCTGGCTGATGGCGTGAACATGGACGAGATTGCGGAGCAACTGAAAAGTGAGATGAGCGGAGCAGATCTGTACTCTATCTGTTCGAATGCTTGGCTTTCGGCCGTGAGACGCATTATAGACAGGCACTTGAGCGGGGCCATAACGGATGAGGAACTGCAGCCGGAGAACGTCGTCGTGCAGTCTGAAGACTTCACCAGGTCTTTTAGCAAGTTCGTGCCCTCGATTAGCGCAAAGGACCTGGAGTACTTCAACAACCTTAAGGCGACGTACAGCGTTTAGAGCTCCCAAAAATGGTTAACTAGTTTTAAGAGTGAGTTTTTTACAGACATTTTCGTTGTTTTTTAAATAAACCCGTTGATAGTTCACAATTGCCAGCGAGTTATCATTCGCTTGAGGTGAAAAGGAAGGGGAAGAGGAAAACAGCGATTGATTCTATGAGAAAAGTGTACATTGAACACTTCGGAAGTCAGTTTACAGGAGGTACGTGATTCCCATAAACCTTAATCTTGTCGAAACAAAACTGAGCGCTTATCGCCTCGGACGACTACCCCCCGTGTAGAGCTGGGAAACTGCGTCGTCTCTTTGGGATGATCTCTGGGCAAGACCTGGGCGACTTCATCTCAGCACGGGGAGGGGCAGCTTATCAGTTGTAGCCGGCAGACAGCGTGCTTATCACGATCGGCTCGGTTTATGGACCTCGCCAGGCAAGTGCTGTTGATGCTGGTCCACAATCTGTGCGGGTTTAGTTATTGTCTGGAAGGTGTGGGTAAACCTTGTATATTTCCATTCCCCTACGTTACGTAATAGACATGGCTTTGGTGTGTGTGGAGGACTTTGAGAAGAAGGCCGCTGGCCACCTTGAGAAAAATGCTTTGGACTACTACAGGAGCGGTGCCGGTGAGCAGTTCACCTTGGCCCTGAACCGTGAGGCTTTCCGTCGCCTGCGGCTGCGTCCACGTTGCTTGCGGGATATCTCCCGTCTGGACATTGGCTGTGAGATATTCGGCGAGCGGATGAAGTGGCCGCTGGGAATCGCACCCACGGCAATGCAGAAGATGGCGCATCCAGATGGCGAGATTGGCAATGCCAGGGCCGCCGGTAAGGCTGGCTCCATCTACATTCTCAGCACCCTTTCGACCACATCGCTGGAGGATCTGGCAGCCGGTGCTCCGAACACAGTGAAGTGGTTCCAGCTGTATATATACAAGGATCGGTAAGGCTTAGTTACATGCTATTGATTACATACTTAATCTCTTTATTCTCGATTTCAGTACCGTCACGGAAAAGCTGGTCCGTCGTGCCGAAAAGGCCAACTTCAAGGCCCTCGTTCTGACCATCGATGCCCCAATATTCGGACACAGACGTGCTGATGTCCGAAATAACTTCAGCCTGCCAGCGCACCTGACTCTGGCGAACTTCCAGGGTGTAAAGGCCACCGGTGTGGGTAATCCTAGCATGGGCGCTTCAGGTATCAACGAATACGTTTCTAGTCAGTTTGATCCGACCATCACCTGGAAGGATGTCTCTTGGCTAAAGAGCATCACCCATCTGCCCATTGTGGTAAAGGGAGTGCTGACCGCTGAGGATGCTGTATTGGCCAGGGAGTTTGGATGTGCCGGCCTCATTGTGTCCAACCATGGAGCTCGTCAAATCGACACGGTCCCGGCCTCAATCGAAGCTCTGCCGGAGATTGTAAAGGCCGTGGGCGATGATCTGGTGGTTATGCTGGACGGTGGCATCATGCAGGGCAATGACATCTTCAAGGCCTTGGCTCTTGGGGCCAAAACCGTCTTTGTTGGTCGTCCTGCCGTCTGGGGACTGGCTTACAACGGCCAGAAGGGAGTAGAGGAGATGCTGCGCATTCTGAAAAAAGATTTCGAGATCACCATGGCGCTAATCGGCGCCCAAACTCTGAAGGACATTCTGCCGTCGATGGTGGTGCATGAGTGGCAGTATGCCAAGCTTTAAATTGTTTTACTATTACATTTAGAATTAAAAATTGAGTTCCTTAATAAAAATAAAAACGCAAATTATTTTGCGAACCAATTTAGAATTCAAGTTACCGATACGCAAAAGGGAACCCGCCGATAACAGTAGTCATCGATAAGTGCTCGTCATTTGAATCTATCGAAGCACTGCCACCTCTGCCTGGCATGTATACGAAGGAAAAATAAACACAAAGTGTGGATTTGAATTAAAATACAATGCTGGAGGGCTGGTACTGTCGGTCCCTGGCCAACCAGGGGGAGGCCGCCATCAAGGACGAGCCACAACAGCCGGAGAGCGATGACGAACCACCACCGCCGGCGAGAGATCGTGTGCAGGCAACAGCGCATGGTACGGCGCTAGCGAGTTCATCTTCTGCATCCGCGGGAATGGGAATTGGCGGGGGCATCGCCGTGGACTACAAGGAGCGCTACAAGAACCTGAAGAAGAAGCTCAAATTCCTCATCTACGTAAATACATTAAGTTGAGCTTGGCAATGTTGAAGTCACAGCTTTTTGTGTTTACAGGAGAATGAATATTTCCAGGATCTGTTGCACACAAATCAGCGGAGGCTTCTGAAAGTGTCCCGGGATCGCACATTCCTACTAGATCGCCTGCTGATGTACGAGAAACCCGCCAAGGACTCCAGTGACAGCGATGCCACGGACAGCTCCGATTCGGAGCCAGAGAACGCCGCAGCATCCACTTCTGGGGTAACCGGAGGTTCCCAAACACCCAAAGAAACAATACGCCGAAAGCACAAAGACAAGGGAGCACCTGGAGTACCAGGAATGCCCCCGCACATGCCCACAGTGGGGGCCACACGGGGTCGGAGGCGAAAAATTTTAACCGGAATGATGCCATCGAACCACGGAATGCAGGCTGCTGCCGCGAAAAGGCAGCTCACGGCCACTGTTTCACCCTCGCAGCAGCTACAGCAACAACAAATGCCCACTGCCTCCAAAGAGGCTTCACCTGGATTAAGCACAGCCGAAATTGCTCGCCAGCTGCAGGAGCGACGGCCCACGCCCATTGAACTGATGAGTCCTGAGTGTACCTCGGCCACTGTCCCCACCACGATGCTCAGCGATGAAAGTCCCTCCAAGTGGTAATATATGAGTCTAGCGTCACATAGACCCTTGATTAAACTAGTGTTTTTTTTTTTTCAGCTATCCCAATGAGAGCCTGCAGCACCTGATGGAGGACGATGAGGTGGCCGCTGAGGAGTGCGTGCCCATGGAGTACACCAGTTAACAATGAAACTCGGCTATATCTTATTTTGGCTTATCTATTAAATTAACAAGAACGACATTTTCACCGCGAATCAAGACCTGTGGTAATTCGCGGATTATCTCTACGTTCTTTCTGTTCAGACTCTTTACTTGCATCCTGGGCAGCGTGATGCCCAGCTCCTTGAGCCGGTCGCTGCAATCCACAGGTGTGTCACAGATGTTTTGATGTCCGTAGCTGAATTTCCGACGCTTCCAGGTCTCTGTGGCATTTCGAAGAAGGAGATTCCACTGCTTGTCGAAGGCGAGTAGTTCACCTTCCACGCTGCCGCCCATCACACCTTGTTTTCGGATGACTACACGGACTCGAATTCTTCGTGTTAAGGGCATGGGGTCCTTCGCTTTCGAAAGCGGCACACACTTCTTGAGCAGTGCCATCGGACCAACGCTCGTCTCCATGTAGGTGAAAATGTTGCGTTGGTGCTTCTTGTTCGATGTGCTGGTTATGGGCATTTGATGCAGCTCGAAGCGGCGCTGAGGGACTTCTGCGATAGCTGCAGCAGACGTTTTGGATGTGGAGGGCTTTTCCTTCTGTACCTGTTCTTTTTGATTCTTCGATCCAGTTTCCGATTTCTGTCGCTTGTTCAACTGCCAGATGCCAAACTTGTTGAGGGCACTCTCGAAAGCGGCGAGATTCTGGTAGAGAACCTTGGGAACTGCATCCGTTATCTTGTAGTTGGGCGCGTACAAGGCCCTCAGGGGATTGAATTTCTCGCTGGTCACGTCTAGCTCGGGATCGGGATTGGCATCTCTGGGAGATGAAATGTCTGTCTTGGGCTTACTTCGATTCGTTGATTGGTGGTCGCTCATTTTTGTTATTCACTGAAGATTAGCAGGTTAATGCATTAATAATGGGAAATCCCAAACCCCGTAAACGGATTTAATTGGAAAACACACAAATTAAAGAAATGTAAACAAATTTTCCGGCTTCTTGCCCGATAGCACTTATCGATAAATACTCACAGGGATGCGAATTTGGGAGCGAAAGCGAAATGGCAAAATATGACTTATTTGCAAATAAAACCAGTTTAAGCTTTTATTTCTTAATAATAATGCACAGAATAACTAAGCTACATTCGTTATTATTAATTAACAATAATAATTTGTATTGATAAATTAATTTAAGTTGTAAAATGGCGTGAGCTATTGTCCAGCCTTGGGTATGATCTTCCAAAGAGCTTTCCTTCAATAAACGGACAATCTAATCAGTAAAGCTTTTGGCGCAGAGAAAGCAACAAGTGCTACTTAAAACAAGAAGATGGCAAGTGAGTGTAAAATGGGATAAACCACATTTACCCCCTAGTAACCAAAACTATACAGCATCCATTGGAAACAGCTCGACTTTTGACCTAAGTCCGAAGGCTCTGATCGGCGTGGGCGTTGGCCTGGTGGCTGCGGGCGGTGCCAGTTACCTGCTGTACCGCCACCTGACACGCGATGTAATGCCCCAGAAGTGGCGCCGAGTCGGCACCATCCAGAGGATTCACTTCTTTCCAGTCAAGTCGTGTGCTCCCATGGAGATTTCCAAGCCCAGTGTGGAGTTCGACTGCGATGTGCTGAGTATGTCCTTCGAGGGCATTCGGGATCGCACCTTGATGGTGGTCAACGACAAGAACGAAATGATCACAGCACGCGTCTATCCGCACATGACGCAGATCCGTTCAAAGAAGGTATCGGCCAGCAAGCTTTTGTTCAGTTACGAGGGCCTTCCCGACTTGGAGCTGGACTTTGAGCAGCTTGAGAGTTCCGGCAAGGATGTGAACACCTCCGTTTGGGGCGTGCCTGTGGATGTGATGCCCTGTGGTGATCGCATCAACACGTGGTTCTCGCAGGCCATCCTGAAAAAGGACAGTGGCCTAAAGTTAGTTCACTATCCCTACCCGAAGCCAGTGAGAAGTACCAATCCTCGGCTGAAGCACATGCCCTTCCTGAGGCAAGAGGATTCGGTGGGTTTTGGGTTTATCTTTGGAATGTTTATGCAATGCGTTCATAATGTTTTCTCGCACAGGGCACATTCAATGATGCCACCAGTTTCATGCTGATGAACCTCTCATCGGTGGCCGATCTGAACACTCGTCTCAAGAATCCCGTGGATGCTCTGCAATTCCGTGGCAATTTCGAACTTAAAATGGATGTGGACGAACCCTATGCAGAGGACAATTGGCAGTGGCTCCGCATCGGTGACGACGCAGTTTTTCGATCGGTGGCTCCTTGCACTCGCTGCATATTGCCGAACATAAATCCTAAGACCGCGGAGAGGGACATCGATGGTGAGCCGCTAAAGACGCTGCGCAGGTGAGTCACTTTCTTTCTAGCTTGCTGATAAATTTTATTTATTTTTGTTTCTTTTGCGTCTTTTCATAGCTATCGCTTATTCAACTTTAGCTCACCGGCTCTGGGCGTTCACTTGGGGCTACGACTGCCCGGCAAGGTCAAGGCTAACGATGTGGTCTACGTTGAGGACAAGTGAAGGCGGATTATAATTTAAACCTGTATACATTCACTTTTATTACATAGAACATAGATAATGAGAGTACTGTAGAGCTTTATATGCAAATATACATGTGTTGTGGAGCCTATAACAATATAAACAACGCGGCCAGCGGGCCCTTAGACGCAGGACTGCCAGGCGAGACCGCCGCAGGCCATGCTCACGATCACATAGACGATGAATGTTATCACCAGGCCCACCACTACGTAGATCCGGATGTTCTTCCAAAACATTTGCCGCGCCAAATTGCGCGAGGCCTTGCGGAATGCAACGGACTGAAAAAGATAAAGGTGTAAGGTCGACGCTGGGCTAAACACTCTGCTTTAGCTTACATTATTACTCAAGTTTTCGGTCTTGTTGACCAGCAGTTCTAATTTCTCACCGCGGTCACGCAAGCTGTCTGCAAAGAAAGGGGAGAAATACGATTTTCGAGGTTCTACATCTTTTCAGCTGCTTACTTACCAATATTCTTAACCATTATGTCTTTTAACTCGTCTATCTGCCCATGGACCCGTGAAATGGTGTCCACCTCGCCGGACTGACTAAAGTATACCATCTGCTGTGCCAGAACCTTGGAGAACTCGGTGTTCATGGCATAGGCGATGGCCGTGGCCACCTGCAGGCCATACGTTTGGATGAACTTCTGCTTGACATCTGCCAAAAAGAGGAAGGCACGAGATCGCTCGAACTCCTACAAAAGAAACGAGAGATATTATCGATTGGGCAACACATTGCGACGGCTTCTGTAAACTGTGCCATCGGTTCGTTCACCTACGTTGTCGGTGATGCACATGTAGACCAGCTTATTCTCGCAGGTGTAGTGGATCTGGTACTCGCCGTGGTTATATGTCATCTTGTGGTTATGGACCCCAATGCGGCCGATGATGTGCTCCGTGACTTCGGCAAAGTTACCGACGCACTCCGCAAACTTGGCCAGCACCGTGCTACCCCGCGATATAACGCTATATAGTATCGGCATTATGCTGCTGCAGCTGCTGGTCTTCTCCTTTGTTTAGGGTGCGGCCTCAGCTCTCAGCTTTTCCCGCTCCCCAGCTCCTCCCTTCTGGGTTATCAGTGGATCGGAACGAAGTCAACAAAGACGCGTCACTGATGACGTGCTCTCGGGCAAATCTGTGAAATCCGAAAGGCAGACACTTAGCACTATCTTCTATCCACAACAACTGGATGCATTCATGAATAATAAGCGTAGAAATTAAGTTCGAATTACTTGTCTTGCCTTGTTTATCCAATTATAAATTGCTCCAAGTTTTGCTGGGGAAAGTTCAGATCACATTTTGTGGTGCCGGCACTGGGCAATAGTATTGATTTTTAACAATTACTGGCGCACACGGGACATTACAAAATGCGATTCGCCCGAGATTATTTGCACTTTTTCAGCATAATAAAAACAGCAACAATTGCGGACCTGACGCGTATTGCACTTAAGAGCTGCATAATCATCGTTTTTAATACCGATATAATACATCGGTTACGGCAGCTGGTCACACTCACATTAAATTTCAAAATAAATTAGTTTAATCAAATCAGTAGTAAATAAAGAAATCAAATCAAATAAATTAAACAAAAAATGTGAAAAACATTTCACAATCTTGTCGTAAAACAAATTATTACAAAATATTTATTATACTTGGTCTCTCTAAGTATTGGGATTATTCAAATTTGCGATGCGGTCTTATTGTTAATTATATTTGAATAATAGATTGAATGGCCATTTAGGTTAAAATGGGGAGATCCCGAGAACATCTCCATTAGTCTTTTGCACGTCATGAGGTCATGAAGTCGCAATCAAAATAATAATCCGAAAAATAAATAGAGTAAAATCCGATTGAAGTCGTGTTTAATCTTTGCATTAAACTCTCTCTCTAGCAGTGAAAGGTATGTAAAAATTCATTTAAACAAATTTTATTATCAAACATGGAGTTGCGGAATAGGTAACGTTTGTTATAAACACATTTTGAAGACTTTTATTTAAATTTTTAATCGATTGCATAGTTCGATTTTCATTTAATTTTAATAAAAGAAAATAAATCAAATTTCCGCTGTGAGCAGGGTGGTTGATATTTGTGGTAGTGATAATTGTGCTGCTTCTCGTCTCGAAAGCTAAGAATTGTAAATTGTATATCTAAGCTACATACATAAATAATTTGCATATATTCATTCTACTGAGCAAGTGCAAAACAAATAACGAGTTTTTTGTATATATCGGTTATATTTTGGCGTTTATACCTTTTGTATTTAAAAAAGGTGTGAAAGTTATAAAATTTTGTTAAAATTCTAGTCACTCTTTAGAAATGTTCAAGACGTGGTAGAGGTTGTTTAAAAAAGGCGCACAGCACAAGATGTGCATTTACCCATGCATTTTGCTATTGAATAATTAAGAATCAAAAAATTTTAGACAGATATATATAAAACGTATAATTGCAAACGACCAGTTTTGATCAAATTGAATTTTAAATAATATAAATACATAAAAGTTTTAGATGATATAGTCATCCGATCTGAATAAAATTGAAACCGGAATTCTGAATTAATTAAAAGTGAATTCAGAGTACTTTCCCCATCGTTTCTACGGTATCTAAATGATATAGCCGTCAGATCTGGTCCGTTTCGCCTTGCATAGGGTCTAAATTACTCTTTCACCCTTCCAGCCTATAACAATGCAGTTCATTTATTGGCTGTAAATAAACATTGTGCACAAAAATGTATATGTAGAAATACAAACATAATTTAAAAGTGCCAAAAATAGCATGCTAGAACTTGAGGGTGTGTTCCATTATCAGCCAGTTCAAAAGTTTCCATACCCTTTAAGTATACACTTTCATAAAAGATATTTAAGTTAATAATTCTTAATTAGCACAATAAATTTTTATTCCTATTTCAAGTCGAGTGGTATTGCGTATTACAAATATAAAACATCTACATATATATAAATATCCATTTTTACATGCGCTAACTGTATATTATTTTTTCAAGAGTATACAAAAGTTGTTTATAAAAGAATGATAAGCACGATAAGAAGAATTTATTGCGAATTTTTCAGACTGATCTGGCAACCCGAAAGCTTTCATATGATCGAGGAAATGGCAATCTCAAACAAAATCGCCGAGGAAGGGCAAGTTAAGACGGTGAAGGGAGGCAAATGTTTTTATTTGAAAAAAATGATCGGAGATTACATAGGTGAGTTCGCGCGGAGTGCCCGGCGACTGATTAGAAGGCATAAACTAATATAATAATGATTCACTTCAGACACGGCTGTTCGCATCGGAGCTACCGTGTTTCTGGCCGACTTCCTTAAACGCCTTTACCATTGCGGCGTGGAATATTGGCGCTATGTCAACTACTATTTGCCCGAGGATCGGCTGTGGACTATTTTGCGTCGGGGCTATGCGTACAGCAATAAATCGGTCTACCTCATCATGGCCTTCCTTCTCGTGGGATTCTCGCGGACATCTATGACCGGCGATTTCAGAATCATTATTCCTACAGCCACCTTTTTGGTCTATATGCCACTCTACTGGGTGTTCAGTGATCTAGGTCACAGCACCCTCACCTACTCAAAATGGATTAGGGAGCCGCACGGGCTGGACTATGCGGAGGGCATGGCATCGAACTACTTCCACGGATACATTAAGCTGGCCCTGCCCGAGCTCAAGAACGATGGCCTTAAACATCGGATGGCGGTCTATGAGGTAATGTCATTTACAAATTTATTGGGTACAAATATTTAAAGGTTTGTGTCCTGTAGGATAAAAACAATGTCACTTTCGGAATTGACCGACTGGTTATCCTTATTCCCGACGAAATGTGGGTCAAAGGCGATTTCGACAGCAAATTGTTGGAAAAAACTACGGTATCTACGTGTATCTTAGGTAAAGTCTATATAATCTATCTATCTTTTGTTTTTATTGTTAGCCCCTAGAGACGAGATTCATTAACCGAGCCGGAGTGTATCGTCCTTTTAAGCATGACGTCTACAAGCTGACCCGGAAGGTTAATGGGATGAATTATTACTTTGCCATTGAGGGTGCCACGCCAATGTTGTCCTTCTATGACGCTATGCAATCTACCTTGTCGGCCACCTGGCAGATGCGAGAGCTGAAGCGGGAGATATGGCTCAAGTTCGCTAAGCATTTGAAGAAGCTTATTTCCAAATGCCCGGAGACCAGAAACGAAGTGCATCTCCTCGTGTACAGTTGTAAGCTCACTTTTGCAGAGCTTTTATAAATATAATTAAAAATATATTTCCTATTTTTTAGCGCATGATAAGCATGGTAATCTTGTTGACGTCGGAGACATGTTAATCGATCACATCCGGAACAAAACTGAAACTTTAAGTTTGGGAAACGAGAAATATGACAAAATCAGTAATATCAGTAATATATAATATGTAATTAGGTCTCACTGCATCATATAATCAATGATAAATTTTTATATTTTTGTAACGTGCTTTTTGTATCTTTAACTACAACTAATGAGAATGTTCGTTGAAATAAAAGCGAATAACTAACAAATATAAAACTGGATTTCACATGGACAAGGTTAAAAAATGTAAAACGTTTTAACTTAGGCTTCGATATCAACGAGCTGGTCTTCTGAATTTGATGCCTCCATTTCCTTTAGCTTGGCCTGGGCCATAGCGAGCATCCTTGACTTCCATTTCTCGTAATCCTCCGCTTGTGGTTTCTGTGCCTTCTTGCCATCCTTTCCGATGATATTTTCCTGATGGCTCTGTTTTAGCTTCTCTTCCATATCGGTGGCAGACACCACTTTGCTCTCCTTGTAATGCTTTGCTATCATGTTGTCCCATTGATGTTCCAGCTGCTGCCATTGGGTGGGTCGCAGATTACTGAAGGGCATGAACTTAGTCTTGGAAACCTTCTTTTTGAGCAGGCGGCAGGCTTGGAATACGGCCATGGCGGCATACTGAGGATGTTCGGTGTCAGTGCCGGTGCCTTCCGTGGCCGCCAACGCTTTAAAGAGGGTCATCAGCTCCTCGCCCTTGCGGGTCATCTCGTTGAGGTTCAGCTGCACGCAGATATCATTCACGCTGGCCAGCTTATTTAGATCCAACAGCTTCTCAAACATACGCTTGTTGTTGAGGTAGTGGCTCTTGCGCAGTCCGGACAACTTAAGAGCCTGCTCTTTGTCGAAGCCAATGCCCAGCACGCAGGACGCCAGATCTGCGCACAGAACTATTTTGCCGTATTCGTTGATCTGCAGGGGAACATTTGTAGAACGCAGCTCCAGAAGACGCACCAATTCTGTGGTTTTCCTGTAAAGGATTTAGTGTTTATTATTTTCGTATTTTATTTGGAACTTAGAGTCTTACTCCAATATTTTGGGCTCATCCCGCAGTCCCATTTTCGTTATTAACTGTTCTATAAGAGTTGTCATTGTAAAAATACACAAATTTTGAGTCCGTTTGTGGTTGAATTGTAAATAAACTATTTCTGGCGCGAAACTATAACAGCTGTTGGCGATAACATAGATTTAATCGATTGTTATTCGATAGGTTGTTTAAAAAGGATTGCTTGAACTAGTTCTTGTTCTTTTTTCATTTTTAAATACTTTTTTTTACTTGGGTTTAGTCGTCAGAATAGTAAAGAAAAATGAGGGAAAATGTAATTTTTTTACCCGATTTGTTTTATTTTGCGGTTGAGGGGAATTTATAAAATTAATGCATTATATTTAGGCCCAGAATTTGATTCCCTGCCACAAGCGAATTAATGCGTCTCATTATCGCTGTCATCCTCCTTGTTAGCGGCTTCTCCGGCACTGCGCGCCTTTTCAGTCAGTTCGGTGGGATTGATCAGGTGTATGCCATCCGTGCACTTGCCCACGATGCCCATTTCAAAACGGAAGTCCTTGTCCTTCAACTCGTCGTGGACCTTGTAAATGCTAAAATAAAAATGAAAATATGTGATTTTAGCTAAGAGTAGGTAGCGGCAAAGTAAGGTAAACTTACATTTCACCGGCACTCTTTACGAGATCCTCAGTTTTCATGTCCGTCTTGAGCTTCTCCATCTCGGTCTTGGCCTGAGGCTTTGCCTTGCCGCTGGCGCAGGCGTAGTAGCCGAAAAAGGAGCCAGATGGCTCGATCTTGTAAAGCTGTGGCCCTTCCACCTCGTCCCACGATGCAAAGATTATAGAGAGACCGAAGGGACGGACGGCGCTGTACAAAGTGTATGCGTGCACATAGGCGGAGACGCGCTCACACAGGTGTTTCAGCGGAATGCCGTGCTGGAACTGCTGACGGAAGTTGGCCGCTTCCTGGCGGGCAATGTCCGCGACATAGTTGCCATCGGCCGCCAAGCCTGCCACAGCCATACCTATGTTCTTCTCGATGGTGAAAATGCGTCCGCCGGCGTCCGGCTCGTACAGCTTGCTGGTGATGACCTTCTCCACGGCCAGCACTACGGCGTCCTTGCCGCGGATCCCGACAACGGTTCCGCTTTTCTCTACCGCCTTCGAGGCATAATCGATCTGGAAAACTCGACCGTCTGGCGAGAACTGCGAGGCCGACAAATCATACTGCAGGGGCGAAATTGGGAATTATTATCTCTTAAATTACAAGCCCAGTAGCGTGCTACTTACACCGGTGCCAATAGTACTCATTTTAAAGTTTTAATTCGTAATTTAAGCTATTAAAAGGCAAAAAGTTTGGTCAATTTGTTGCTTGAATGATGAACGACGATGATTTGACGGCTTTTTCCCAACTAGGTATGGTAAAAACATTGTCGCTCATCGATGACGGGAGTCTCGATATAGCTCTTGCAATAATCCACCTCTAGCCGATAGGATAAAAAAATTTTAACTATCGGAAGCTTAAATTTTTAAAAATACAAGCATGCATTTGTTTCAAAATATAATAAATTTATTTGTAATTTCCACATATATTCATATATTTACTAAAAAATGTTTTAATATTTGTTTACATTTTAAATTTAAAAATACGCGGAACTGGTTCCACAAGTCTCTCTTTTGATTCCCGGTTCCGCGGCGCACGAGGTTCTTATTTATAAACAACGAATCAACATGCTGGTAAATGTGAGCGAAAAAAGGTAATTTCTGAATAAAAAGTATCCTCCTGGTAATAATAACTAATAATATATTTATTTAAGCTATGCGGCGGAAGCGCGCTACACGAACTTCTACGCCGGCGGCGACATAACGTGGAGCGCGGACGGGCAACACCTTTACTGCCTGAACGGCGCCAACGTCAACCAGGTGGCCGTGCAGAGCTCACAAATCCTGCAGAGCTTTGGGGTTGCAAGTAACTCCGATTCGACGGCTGAAAAGAAAAAGGCTGACGCCAGTGCAGAGGACATCGATGTTGAGGAGGACACAATAACGTGCTTTGGACTGTCTCACGAGCGTTTGGTGACTGCCCATCGAAGTGGGCTGTTAAGGCTCTGGGAGCTGGCCACCGGCAAGCTGGTGAAGCTGTGGAAGGCGCAGCACAAGGGACCCGTTGTCCGGATCGAGTTCAGTCCGTGTGGCAGGCTGATCTGCACCAGTGGTGGCGCTGATGCCACGCTGAGACTGTGGGACTACTCTAACAACAGCTGCCTGGGCGCTCTAAAAGACTTCCCGGGACCCGCTTGGTTCATAGTCTTTCATCCCAATGTCCTGAGGAAGGAGATCTACGCCGTGGGTGCAGATAACACGATTTACGGCTGGAACTATGGGACCAAAACGCTTCTGCACAAGATGCGGGGACACCTATCGCAGGTAACGGGTCTAAGTTTTAAAAGCAAGGAATTGGACTGCAACGAGCTTGTGACCGTGAGCCGGGATAAGGTGCTGATTGTGTGGCAGCTTCAGGAACAGGTGGAGAGCAAGCAACTGAAGGTCGTTCCGTTGTACGAGGAACTCGAAGGAGTTGTCTATGCCGACGACGGTTGTCATATAATCGTGGCTAGTGGCGTCGGTAAGCTGCAACAGGTGGATACAAAGTCCTGGAAGATCAAGGCCCTGCTGTCTCAGTCAGACTTCCAGATAAGCCGCCTGCTGCACTGCAGCGAGCTGAAGCAGCTGGCATTGGTCACCACAGAGCAGAATATCCTCATCTATGACGCCGAAACTCTGGAGCCTCTCAAGCACTTGGTGGGCTACAACGATGAGATCCTGGATATGTGCTTCATGGGTGACAACGATCGATATTTGGCTGTGGCCACCAACAGTAAGCACTTCAAGCTGTACGACACGGAGCACGACATGAACTGCAAACTGATCGTTGGCCATTCGGACACAGTAATGTCCTTGGCCGCCTCCCAGAACCTGCTCATTTCGGTGGGTAAAGACTACAGCATTCGGCTGTGGCGGCTTCAGCATGACAAGGACTGCTCGCTGGAGGCTCTGACTCAGCAGACCAACTGCCACACGTCAACCATTGGCTGCGTGGCCATGACGCACAATGGAGCGACTGGCTTTGCCTCCGTTAGCCAGGACGGCAGCATGAAGGTGTGGCAACTGGCTAGGGATAAGCAGAATCGGGATCTGTACTCCTTTAACCTACGGTACGCAGCCCTCTCCCACGACAAGGAGGTGAACTGTGTGGCTTATGCACCGAATAACAAGCTCCTGGCCACCGCTTCGCAGGACAAAACGGCCAAGGTGTGGCTGGCGGAATCGAACTCGCTGCAGGGCGTGTTGCGTGGTCACACACGCGGAGTGTGGAGTGTTCGCTTCTCACCGGTGGATCAGATAGTCCTCACCTCGTCCTCAGACTGCACTCTGCGTCTTTGGTCTATTAGCAATTTCGCGTGCATAAAACGTTTTGACCAGGAGTGCACCATCCTGAGAGCCGAGTTCCTGGATCACGGCAAGTTTATTCTATCCGCTGCTTCTGATGGTCTGCTAAAGCTTTGGAACATTAAGACTAGTACCTGCCTACAATCCTTGGATGAGCACGACGACCGGGTGTGGGGTGTGGCTGTTTCCGGCAGGAGTAATCGCTTCTTCTATACTGGGGGAGCTGACTCCAAGCTGATTCGCTTTGGAGACGTCACGCAGGTGACGCGGAACGAGGCGCTGGATCAGCGACAGGCCACCTTGGAGCAGGAGCAGACTCTTCACTCGCTCCTCCACGCTCAGAAACAGCTGCATAAGGCCTTTGTGCTGGCCCTGAACCTAAACAGACCCAAGGCCAGCTATGATATTATCAACCACTTTGTCCGCGAAAGGGATGAAGATGGGCTCAGACAGTTGGTGGACCAATTGAATGTGGATCAAAGGGTTGCACTGCTGCAGCATGTCAAGGCTTGGACCACAAACTCGCGGCACTCACAGGTTGGCAATCTGATATTGCGACACCTAATCGGCGACGCTCTGCATGATCCCAAGGCACGGTTCTACAACAATGGCAACATGGTCGAGGTGCTGACGCCCTATGTTCAGAGGCATTTCAAGCGAATCACTGAACTTAACAAGGAGCTGGCCTTCCTCGAGTTCATTGTGCAGTGCATGTAGAATTCCTGTGTTCTTGATTGTTGTAATTTAGGTTATTTAGTTTTAAGGAAATAAAAAATATATGAAAACACAGTCGCATATAAGGGGTGTTTATACATATATCGAGAGGTATGTTGAAACGCGTCAAAAAAAGAATAATAAGAAAATAATTTAACTTTTAATATTTATTTGGGTATTTCAAGATATTCGAATTGCCAGCTAGATATGTAGAAAGAAGATGACTTCCATGTTTATCATACAATTGCTCTGAAATGTTTAGAAATTAATCCAAATAATACCTATATTTAAAACTTTCAATAACCTTAAACGTACAATACAAAATACTTTTATTTTTGTTTAACGTTTATTAGACAATAGTTTATATAACATTTATAACCACTTACGAATTTACTGAAGAAGGGGAACATCTCCACAGAGTTTAGTTTGTTTCGAATTTAAAATTCTAAAAATTGTACAAATTTGATTCAAATGAATTTGAGGATTGTGTGCGCTCAGAGCGTTCAAAGCTCTATTATTAATCTACATTACATACTTAGGCACACTCGAATAAACAACATACATTCATACATACAGATGCAGCCCTGTTTCCGTTTTCCATCAGCTGAATTTTAATAGAATCGAATTGAATGACCTTGTGAAACATGAAAACTTGTATGGATTTCGGTTGATAACGCGACGGAAGCATGTCTCAAAAGATCCTTGCTATAGAGCTACAGTTCCATCGATACTTATATAAAAATAGAGGCGACGACCTGACGGGCCAATTTATGGTTAATTCAACTGACAGAATCCCTAAGATTATCACTGTGTTTGCCTTAATTTTACATTAGGTGTGCGGTGGCAGCTTGGACAATGGATATGGTGATCCCTGGTTCTTTACTCGATGATCATGATCAGATCCTCGCCCTCGAGCTTCGTTCCATTGGCGATCTCCAGTTTCTTGACAACGCCCGCAATCGGAGACTGGACCACCATCTCCATCTTCATGGCCGAAAGCACGACCAGGGGCTGACCCTTCTCCACCTTGTCGCCGACATTCACGCGGATGTCGATGACGGTTCCGGGCATAGGAGCACCAACCTCGCTCTTGTTGGACTTGTTGGCCTTGGGATGGACATGGATTTCCTGTGAGATACCACGGAGGATTAATAAGTGTTTTTATTCACTTTAAAGTTGATTGAAGAGATGTCTCACCTTCACCGCCTCCTTGTCCAGGATGTGAACCGCTCGCAGTTGTCCGTTCAACTCGAAGAAGACCTCGCGGATGCCGTTAGGCTTGAGATCGGCGGACACAGCCAGAGCCTTCACGCTCAGGGTCTTGCCACGCTCCAGCGGCACCTCGAACTCCTCGCCCACATTGGGACCGGTAAGGAAGATGCGGGTGTCCAGCTTGTCGACGGGTCCGTACTTCTCTCGGAAATGGAGGTAGTCGTTGGTCACCTGCGGGTAGAGAGCGGCCGACATGACGTCGCGATCGGTGATGCTGGGGTGAGATTCCTTCAGATCCTTCTTCAGCTTGCCGAAGTCCAGTGGCTCCAGTTCGGCGCCCGGCCGTCCCTCAATGCGGGGCATATCCTTGAGGACGCGAGAGCGCAGGGGCTCGGGGAATCCACCATGAGGAATGCCAATGGAACCTTGCAAATACTCCACCACTGACTTGGGGAAAGATAGCTCCTCGGCCCTCTCCAACACCTGGTCGGCGGTCAGGTCGTTCTGAACCATAAACTGGGCCAGATCTCCCACCACCTTCGAAGAGGGCGTCACCTTGATGATGTCGCCCAGCAGCAGGTTGGCCTCCCGGTATGCCTTCTTCACGTCCTCGAAGAAGTCGCCAAGACCCAGCGAGAAGGCCTGGAACTGCAGGTTGGTGTACTGGCCGCCGGGAATCTCGTTCAGGTAGACATCGGCGTTTCCAGACCGCATCGTCGTCGTGCACTCGAAAGGTGCGTACAGAGTACGGGTCTGCTCCCAGTAGGCAGAGTAGTCCGACACCGTGCGCAGGTCCAGATTGGTATCCAGGGGTGTTCCCTGGAGGGAGGCCACAATTGCGCCCATGCTGGGCTGTGAGGTCATTCCGCTCATCGAGTCGACGGCAACGTCCACAACATCGGCGCCGGCATTGGCACAGGCCAGCATAGAGGCAACTCCGGCTCCAGAGGTGTCGTGGGTATGGATGTGGATGGGGATATCGGGATGCTTGTCCCGGATGGCGGTGATGAGGAGCCTGCAAAATGACGAATAAAGATATATTACATCAATATATATTAGGAAATGACCTAGTCACTCACCTGGCGGCTTCCGGCTTCAGCAAACCAGCCATATCTTTAATGCAGAGAACATGGGTGCCAGCCTTGACCAGTTCATCAGCCAGGTTGGTGTAGTACTTAAGGTCGTATTTGGTGCGCTGGGGATCGCTAACATCGCCAGTGTAGGAAATGGCCGCCTCCACAACGCCGCCAGCCTTTCCAGCGGCTTCCATGCCGAGGATCAGATTGGGCAGGTAGTTAAGCGAGTCGAACACTCGGAAGATGTCCATGCCAGTCTGCACGGCCAATTCACAGAACTTGTAGACCACGTTGTCCGGATAGCTGGTGTAGCCCACTGCGTTGGCTCCGCGCAACAGCATTTGGAAAGGAATGTTCGGGATGCGCTTGCGCATCTCCTCCAGCCGCTCCCAGGGGCACTCGTGCAGGAAACGGAGCGCGACATCGAAGGTGGCACCACCCCAGTTCTCCAGCGAGTACAGGTTGTTGAACTTGTGGGCCACGAACGGCGAGATCTTCAGAAGATCGTGGGATCGGACGCGGGTGGCCAGCAGCGACTGATGAGCATCACGGAAGGTGGTGTCCATGAGCAGGAGTCCCTTCCGGTTGCGCACTTCCTTGGCGAAGGCCTCGGGACCTTCGCACACAAGGATGTCGCGCAGACCCTTCGGTGGCTCCGTAACTATATCACGAAAAAAAAGGCTTTACGTTAGTTCAAGGCTTACAAAGTCGGGATATAGTCCTGCCTCTACAACCGTAATACTCTTAAATACTTCAAGGCAGGAATATATCTGCGGAACTGGGACATAGATTGAGTTAGGTCATTAAAACTATTTAAACAAAACTCCCAAAAACATGTACTTGCTGAGTTGAACATCAAAAGCTGAACTTTTTTATTTTTTAGCTGGTAAAATCAAAAATTGCATTATTAAATTAAAAAACTAATTAATAATTATTAAAATATCAACGAGTGTGTTTAGTGTGTTGAATGGAATTAGCTTTTCACCCAAACATGAATCAGTAATAATATAGACACAGCTATAAGCCAATAACACCAATAAACATTTACTTAATTTAAATTCGGTTGAGATTTCAAAAATAAGCGATTAATTCGATAGCACATTAAGAGAAACCGATATGATCGATGTTTTATATGTACAAATGTCCTGTGTGTGGAGAAATTGTTTCCTTTTTTTCTGTTCTTAACTGGAGGATAAATAAGGATAACAGCAACATAAACGTACCTTTGGCCTCGCCACGTTCTTCACGTTCTAATGCCTCCGGCGACAGGTCTACAGATTCGTTGGAAATATGTTTTCGAGTTCGATACCGATTTCGATCATGACGTGTTTTTTTTTTGTTGGTGGATTTTTGGCGTGTTGTGCATTTTGGAATCGTTGTTGTCGGTGTGTGATTTGGTGTTTTGTTTTTATATTGCAATATTGGCGATTGCGATCGGTGTATATTTTGGGTTGATTAATAACAGATGCAACAAAAATTGATAGTTGTTTTGAAAGAGTAAAAACATAAAGGTTCAATTAAAGCATATCAGAAAAGCAAAGGAACGTTTCACAAGAGATGCGGTAAGATAAAATAAACATCCACTAAACATGCCTTTTTCGTTGAATATTTTCGCAAAACAAATTCTCCCAATTGATCTATGAAAGTGGTTAATAGATCAATTGAATTAATTGGGTGTTATAGCGAAGGGGTATTCTTACACGAAGCATTTTCCGAACTTTTTAGAAAAAAAACAGTATATGAAAGAATTTATTAAAAAAAAAAATCCTAAAAATTAATCATTTGTTTGTTTAGAACGGGTTTTAAATTGAAATCTGCAAGAAAGATATATAATTTATATGCCAATTCTGAACAATTTAAAAACTTCTTATTCCTGATTTTAGGAGATTTTCATCTTATTAACAAAGTGATTAATTGTTTCAATTAACAAAAATCAATGAATGTTAGAGAATATAAATAAATAAAATGCTTCATGTAAAAACCCCCTTAAAACTAGAGCTGGGAAATCATCGAGGTATGTCGATTTATAATCGATGTTTCCATTACAAAATATCGCAAAATTCGATACTTTTTCACCTCTAGTTAGGACGGCATCAAGACAATCAGATCTGAAGAGCTGAAAGATTGAGAAACCGGCATATCTTCCGTGGTAGCCACAAAAGCAAGCGTGAAACCGAAAAGCACATGCCATTACCTAAAGAACAAACTCTGAGTAGGGATTAAACCGGCGAAACTTACCCAGCGGAACCTCCGGCAACGGCGGCGTGACCACAGCAGGCTTGAGAGTGGTGGCCAGTGGCGTCTGGGGCCCATTGACCAGCACCTCGCCCATGTAGTTGAGCAGCTTCTGGGCGCGATTTAGCGAGGGCTTAAACTTGAAGAGCTGCGGATGCTCGTCGATGAAGTAGGTGTCGAGGACGCCGTGGAGGAACTTCTGGTTCTCCAGCACGTTGAGCAGGAAGGGGATGTTCGTCTTGACTCCGCGGATGCGGAACTCGCGCAAGGCACGGTTCATCTTGGAGGCAGAGCTCTGCAGATCGCTGGCATGCGAAATTACCTTGACCAGCAAGGAGTCGTAGTAGGGCGAAATGATGGCTCCGGCATAGGCGGAGGCGCTGTCCAGGCGAATGCCCATGCCCTCGCCAGAGCGGAAGACCTCCAGGCGACCGGTGTTGGGCTGGAAGTCATTGGCCGGATCCTCGGTGGTCACACGACACTGGATGGCATAGCCGCGCGGCACGATGTTCTCCTGTGTGTAGCCTAGCTCTGGTAGGGTCATGCCCTCGGCTATGCGGATCTGCGACTGCACCAGATCGATGCCCGTGATCTCCTCGGTGACCGTGTGCTCCACCTGCAGGCGGGCGTTCACTTCGATGAAGTAGAAGTTTCCATTCTCGTCGCACAGGAACTCCACGGTTCCGGCGTTTTCGTAGCCCACATGACGAGCCAGTCGGACAGCGGCCTCCGTCATCTTGTCGCGAATCTCAACGGGCAACCGTGGAGCTGGGGCAATCTCCACCACCTTCTGGTGGCGACGTTGCACGGAGCAGTCGCGCTCATACAGATGCACCACATTTCCGGCCTTATCTCCCAGCAGTTGCACCTCGATGTGGCGTGGCCGCTCGATGAACTTCTCGATGAACATGGCGCCGTTGCCGAAGGCGGCCTTTGCCTCAGAGCTCGCCCGCCCAAAGTTCTCCTCAACCTCCTCCATCTTACGGACGACACGCATGCCACGTCCACCGCCTCCATAGGCGGCCTTGAAGATCACCGGTAGACCGTGCTTCTTGCAGAAGTCCAGGGCCTCCTCCTTGGTGGTAACCGGACCATCTGTGCCCGGCACAATAGGCACTCCAGCCTCGATGGCTGCCACGCGGGCCGCCACCTTGTCACCCATGTTCTGGACCACCTTTGGCGTGGGGCCGATGAACCGTAAGCCCGCATCGATCACCGCCTGGGCGAAGTCACTGCGCTCGGACAGAAAGCCATAACCGGGATGCACGGCATCCACGTCGTTCTCCTTGCACACCCGGATGATCTCTGGAATGTTGAGGTAAGCCTCCACCGGCGGCAGACCCTTGCCCACAATGTAGGACTCGTCGGCCTTCTGCCTGTGCATATGCATCTTGTCCTGCTCGGAGTATACGGCCACAGACTTGATGCCGAGCTCTGTGCAGGCACGGAACACACGGATGGCGATTTCGCCACGGTTGGCCACCAGCACCGAGCGGATGGGCTTGTATTCCACCTGTAAGGATAAGAAGAAATGAAAATTAATCGTTGCATTGGAGTTAGAAAAGGGGAAAATTGTATAGTTCTTCAATTAAAAATGGATCAGTATTTCAAATAATAAAAAAAAAAATTTATATTATTTTAGGTAGTTTTTTGTGTTATTTATTAACTTACTTTACTGGAATATCCATTCTTGAAGAGATAGTTGAGCCGAATACGTGGCTGCGTCTTTCGCAGCGTCCTGTACGCGGATTGAGCGGCCGGAATGAACATCTTAAAAAGCTGTAATTAGTTTTATAACAATATTATATTACATAATAGAAATCAGTACTCAATTTAAAATTATGAATTCTAAACCGAAAAATATAAACATGTTTTGAAATCTTAAGAGCAAATGACACTGGTTTGTATTATAAAGTAAACAGAGGGCATAAAATGATGCCTGCCCTGGATTTACGATCGAGAGATTGCATTTAACGCTTCAATTATCTGCTAATTTCCAGTGCTCGATTGCCAAATGCCTTAAGGTTATCGACTTTACTTTCGAAAAAGCAAACAAACAGAAAACTTTAGAAGGTCTCAACGCTCGGAAATTGTTGCAATTGGAAGCCACAGAACGTTGAGCCGGCTAGTAATGCCTTCGAAACTAGCCACAATAGTGAAAAAATGAATAAAAAATAAGCTCCAAATAAGCAATATTAAATACCTAATTCAAATTTCAGTATGATTTTGACCTGATCTGTTTGCATAAGTCCCCGTTTAATCTTCAGTTCAAAGTCCATCGATTGCTGCTTTGGTGCTATTCCATATATAAATAACAATCTGTCTGCTCATTATAATACGAGGTATAAGTGAGTTTACTCACGTGATCGAAATCCCAAGCGAGTTTTAAACAAATAAATGCACAACAAACTTGTAGAATTATATAGCTGTTCGAGTGCTTTTTTTATCTTGAATACCAGTGGACAGACGAACATTTGAATGTGAAATTCCCCTTAATTGAAACATTGAAAGTGCCTATTTAGGTGCTATTACGCACAATAGCAGGGTTAGTAATGGAGATTAACAAATATTTGCTACTATAGAAGCACACTACAGCACGTTTTCGCACTTGAATCCAAAATAGATTCGAGGGGTATTTGTATTTTATTTGTTGACTGAATCATTAAATTAAAAAAATATATATATTTGATTGTATGTTCAGGAAAGTAATTGTGGAGTATAATATATTTTGGTTATTTAAGTCATTAAAAGTCTATAAATAGCGTTGACAATATTAGAAAGTGTCATATGTTTGTATTTTCGTAGATTAATTTAATAATGTTTGCGAAAGAAATCATTTCTAGAATTTTACAATACAACCTAAAAGTACATCCAAACCTCTTTTATACACCATTTTTAATTATAAATTATAAGTTATAATAAATCATAATTGTAGGGTATTCATTAATTCCCAGTAAACTTTTCTATCTTTTCTTGTTTCTGTATATGTGGCAACTTAATTAGCATCAATAATGGAAAACAAATAGTAAATTATTATAGCCTCATGCATTATAACACCGCCAGACAAACATTTAAAGCTCTTCCAGTGAAGAGTATTCACAGCCCGTGGATTGTGAGCCCACACTTTTGCCGCACATGTCATAAAATATATACATATATATATATTTATCTTATTTTTATTTTGTTAACTTTTAGCTCGTTTTGCTCATTATCAGCGATTCAAATGGCTTTTGTTGCCCCCGTCGACGATGAGACGGAGTGAAAAATGGACGACGACCGGCTGACCGGCTTTGCTGTCCCAGACGAGAGTCCGAGTCCGAGCACAGTTTTGCATTCAAGTCCCGACTCTCGGAGTACCTATCTCTCCATTCCGTGGGGGCTCGTCTCCGTCTGCGAAAAAACCTGTTGACTATATACTGTATCTATGTCTAGCCAAAAAGTCCCAATTTCAAGTGCAGCCAGAACTGATACTGAAAGTGGAGGAGGGGGACAACTGGTCAGGTGATCTGTGAACGGTGATCCAAGGAGCTCGATTGGGACCTTGGCTCTGCGCTAATCGCTTTTATAACCCCTCTTTTTTGGATGGGGTTCAACGATTGACTCTATTTTTGGCCAGCATGTTGTGCTGTTTACCACTCATAGTTGCAATTAAATGGATGTTTCCATGCCCGCACGTGAAGTGCATGCCCCCAGGAAGGTAAAGGGGGGATCGGGCTCCATAGATAATCAAGCAGCAATGTTGACACATGTATTGGAAGTGACACAGGTGCAGATAATGAGCGGAAGATAAGCTCGCCGACGCTTTATTAACACATCGGAGGTCGGGACTTGGTAAATATTATCATTCCCGGTGGGAGTGCACACTTGTATGGAGCTCCTGGGGGCCACCTATAAATAGTCGCGACTCGATGGAAATCTTCTGTGTTGATCTCGAATCTAATTTAATTTCGCCCTGTTAACATCAATTTTATTTGCTAATTGGATTAATTTGTCAAGCGCTATTTCACGATTATGTTATTAATTATTGACTTTATTTAAATATAATATTGATGTTTTTATTATTGATATTTTTAAACAAAAGTAACTGAAGGCCTCACTTAGACCGTTCTTAAATTCATTTTCTAAAAGGTCAGGTTGTCATTAGTGAATTTATAAAAATTAAATCTATAAATAATCAAGCAGAATCAGGTGATACTTTTAAAATAAAGAGTACAAGTCTTAGCTAACTTTTAATTTAATATAATAAGTTATTCCAATACCTGGAATATCTCTGAGCCAATCTTATCTAATCTTGGGTCCAAGCGGAAATTATAATCGGAATTAATTATTCATTTCTTTATCGGTGGCTTAAGAAATTAAAAAGGTTTTGCCTTTTATATCTAACAAATATCGATCAGAGATAAAATGTACATGTAATTTAATGAACTTTCAGTCTGAACTTGAGCTCATTAAAGAACCGGATCATTTTTTGTTTAGTATTTAAAAATTAAAGCGCATTAGCATCAAAATAAAATAAACGAATGAATGTCTAACAAATTGTTTAGCGTGATGTGAAAAAATATCACGTATTATCGCATGCAAATCAGGTTTTTTTAGGCATCATTCTGGCATAAATAAAGTAAACTTGATGCCACAATTCGGACAATATTTGCAGGCGATCAATTATCCTGTTGCTCCTCCCGTTTGCTGTTGACTGACTGGGTGTGTTCTCAAAGTGGGCGCAGTTAAGTCAAGTCCAATCTCATGCAATTACACGAAAACGCTGTTGACACGGCACATGCCACGACCAAGTCCAAACCCAAACCCAAACCCAAACGCAATCCCCAAAGCAACCCCCAAAACTCGAGTGTGTTTGCTTGCCGGCATGTCCATCAAACTGAGCGATTATGTAATAATAACATGATAATCCCACTAACTACATCGTTCAGCAATAACAAAAAAAGCAAAAGGAAAAAAAACAGGAATGCGCCACTCGAATGATTTGCTTTTGTTCATCAATTTTTGCCCATAGAAATGTGCGTGCCTATGATTTATATATATTTATTTTTTTGTTTCGCTCTAGAAATGTATGATCTTGAACGACAAGCCGTTAAGGTCAAAGTCGCATTTGAGTGTTTTGTGGGTCGGACATTGATTTTTCGCTAAATATGGCAAGTAATTTATGGGCATAGTGTCAGGCATTTAACTTCCGTTAATATTTATTATTTTGTAACAAGTTGTAACAATTATAATTAGGGAAAGGTGTCACAAAACTACTTATTCTGCTTTGAAATCCAGAGACAAATATTTCATTTTAACATTTTTTAAGGTATTAAAAAGTTTACTTTTTTAGAAGCTTAGTCTTCGTTAATGATTTCAAAAGATTTTTTGTATTTCAACTTACTTCTCAATAAACTTCGCAACCTATCCTGATTATAAATCTAAAGGTTTATGTTTCCTTTTTTTTTAACGACTTTAAGGTCAATAAAATATTTAAAATAAAATATTAGGTACTTGTAAATGTAGATATTTAGGAAATTCTTTTTACAAATAACTATAAGCAGTAACATTACTATTAAGATTTTCATTAAAGCTGAATGCAATAATTATAAAAATTTCCAAGTTTTCATTGATTTTTAAATAAAATATGAACTTTGATAACGATTTTTGTTCTTTTAATATTTAAAAAATTAAAGCCAAACAAAAACCATTTGCAAACATAAATTATTTTCACAAAGTTTCGATTCCCCCATTAATATAAAAGCGAAAACTATAAACTGATGTGCATAAAAATATACAGTCGTATGAAAAACTTTTATATTAGCCCGAGGAGGCAGTCTAGACTCTAGACCTTATCACGACGACGACCGAATAGCTGATAGAGACGGAGCTTTGACATTGAGTGTCCGTTCGGGTCCAGCTCCGTAAACTTTACAGCCAAATTCAAATCAAATCAAATGAAATCAAAACCGTGATTTTAAGATAACTAAGTTATATTTTGATTCACTCAATATCACTTTCTCGGAACACCTTAATTGCTTTCTCGTTGCACATGCGAGCTAATTTCAAAATGTATGCACAAGTGTGCATAAATTATAGATCTACATATGTTTGGCTGGGTGTGTGACAAACACGTTTCGCCCAATAGCGAAACCATAAGAAGGTCATAAATATTGGGCAGAAATGTTGGGGATGAGCACGAAAATAAAACAAGACGGCGACTCGCTTCTGTTGTGCGTGTGGGTGTTCCTATGCTCGGGTATATGGAATAGAATAAAATGTAATTAACACATGTCGGCCAGAGAGAGAGTGACGAAAGCAGCAGCGGCATTACACTTGGAAGGGTAGAGGGAAGTCCCACCAAATCGCACCGAGTGAAAGAGGGGCCAGACGGAGGAGGAAGAGGAAATCGAGCAAAAATTATGCAATTAATTTGCCATGCACTTGATCGATGGGCGAAATCCAATTATCTCTGCGGGTCCGCCGACCTCTGACTTACTTTTCTTTAAGCGACGAAAGTGGCTTATCCAATCCTCGTTATCCTGGCGAGGAGGAGTCTCTCTCCGGTATCCGCAGCACTACAACATAAAACAATGTCGGACGTGAGTCTTGAGTGAAACGAAGGGTAATTTTTTGTTCGCTCCAAGCTCCCAGCTCAGCACATACAATATATACACACGGCCTCTTTTAGTCGGTTTTGGTTCTTTGAATTTTTCGGTTTTTGGTTGGTAGAACAGCGCGAACTCGCCAACGGTTGCTGCTTCTTCTCCGTCTTGTCTGCCCAGGAACTCGCGACCGTTCACTTCAAAGCTGTCCGTCGGACTGGCCAGGGGAAAAAAACTCGAAACTTTTGCCGCCGCCGCCGCCTCGTCGTTGCGACTACATCTACATGGTTTTGCGGAGAGAGGAGCGTTTCACTCGGGGAACTCAACCAGCCAGAGGTGTCCAAGCTCCATGCCTATGCCGTCGCCTCTCACGCGTCTCTCAATCACGTAGGTTCCTCTCGCAAATTCTCGATGCCTGCGCGTGCTCGAAGCTCCCTACCGGCATGATTTGTTCTCCGGCAGAAAACCAGAAAAAAATCACAAAAGAAGGCACAAAGTGTTTCGACAGTCACATACCCTTTCCCTACTAGGGCCCTGAAAATTTGGTTGCCTTAATCAAGTTAATTTATTTCACCTTATTTCATGTAAAATTTGATCACCTTTGAAGAACTATATTTTATTGAAAATATAGAATTTTAAGTCAATTCGTTTCGTTTTAAATTAAGACTAGTTTTTTACAGACTTTGGGAAACCAAATCTAATTAAAAACGAATTCTGTGGCATTCCTATTTAATGTCACCCTAATTTCCGCCTGAATTACCCTTCTGTCAAACTCAATTTGACATAAATCGAATTGAGTTATCGAAACAGGAAATTAGCTTGATCTTTTTGGAATCATCGAGTTGTCTTTTCTCCAACTGTTACCGAAACATGTACAAATCGAATATACCTCGCGAGTACCGAGTATTGTTAGCAGCAACAAAATCGCACTTTGTCCTACAGACAAAGCCCGCGCGGTTGTTGTTTTTGTCACCGGATGCCGGCGGCGCAAGAGAACTTTCTATTGACATTGCCAGTCGGTCGAAGGAGCGAGCGAAATTACGAGAGAGAGAGATAGAAAGTAAGAGCGACAGAGAGAGCAACAGCTGTTCACCGGCCCCCAAAAAAATTTTCAGAAAACCGCTTACATGCACTCCTCTTTTTTCTCCAGGATTACTGCAAATTTCGAAATTGTACAATTTTGTAAACAATTTAAATAAAATAAAAAAATAAATAAAAAACAAATAATTTATAATTGTCGAATTGGGAAAAGCCTCCTGTTTTCTAGTTGATAAATAATAAATCTAGATATCAACATTATGTGAAATTCAAGGGCAATCTAGGGAGCAATAACCTAATAATAAATCTAATATAAGGACTGTGCTGAGATACGAATACATATAGATTGGAAACTATTATAAAATAATAATCTTATCCATTACAATTAACATGCTGGAGAAGCCAAAATCCTAACACGAACCACCCTAGTTTCTAAGACTGCAGCCAGGTACACAAAAACAAGGCATCGTCGGGGGATCACATCCTAACCCCTGATATTAATGTGTGTTATGTTTGTGGAAACTTTTTGAAAATTATGGCTTGTATGTATGAAAATATGTATGTACATATGTATGTTGTGGAGGGAATTGGAATGCTCAGGCAATTCAGATCGGAAGCGTGCGGCGTCGAAGCCTATTATATCAACAGCCGGTGTGTCTACTCTCTAGAATCGTATGACTCCAAAATACTATCCCAATGGGATCTGAGATTCGGCGCCTATTTTGAGCGAAAGAGAGTGGAGAGATAGCATTCAGCGCCTACGCTCTCTGTTATCGCCGGTATCAGCTGGATTTATTCAAAGCTCCCGCTCTTAAAACTATATATTTAGGCTATAGATATGTAGTGGTGACACGTGTTATATGGAAGGTTTTCAGATTTTTATTTTTATATTACGGCACGCGCGTCTGTGGCAATAACAGCCTTATCAGCGGTCGGGCCCAACTGGAATGATGTTGCGTATGAGCGAAGGCAGACACATACATATATGTATATCGATAATGTTCTGATGATTGTGTGTTTATCTGTCCTGAGGAAACTGTGTTAGTAAGTTCGCTGGATGTAACCATAAAATTGGAAAGGAAATTAGTATGTTTAGAAAACAGCTTGTAAATGACAAGGTTAAAAGGATGCAAGACATGTGTATTAAAACTACTACTTAAAAATAAACTCCTATTAAAATCCAAGGTCCTCTGAAATAGTAAATATAAACTAAATGTGTACAATAAATTGATATTAGAAAACAGGTCATAAAAACTTCGCTAGTATAATATTTTTTAAGCTTCTTCAGTTTTAGAACTTTGAACCTCTAAGAAATATAATAAAAAAATCTAACATAAAAATGCCAATTCAAGATTAGATAAGAAAAATCTAGCAACTAACTCATCTATCTATATAAAGAAGATTCCACACATCTGCTGTTGAAATATTGAGGTCTGCTTTCGTATTTGAGTGCTGATAAGAAGGGCCACGCCTCCGTCTGAATGGAAATCTTTCATAAACCTGTTATCAAGCCAATGCTGTATAGTCAGAGCTAATTATTGGACATACCGTATCTTATCAGCATAAAATACCTGGAATATATCCCCTTTACCCTGCATTATTAAGTGGTTTTATTCTGTTTCACCGTTTCGTAGATTCTAACCATATATGATAGCTGTTGTAAGTTAAAAATATAAGACAGGGTATCCAAAATTCGAATCGTTGTTGATGATCTTAAAATTTAGCAGATATCTTCGATTATCAAATTAAAATAAAAACAGTGGCGGCAGCCTTCTACACGTGCCACTAAATTCGGCACGCCGAGTTAAAAGGTGACAAAGCGTACTTCGATGTCACTTTGGACAAGGTGTCAAATTCCAAAATTCAATAGAATCAAGACTTTCATTATCGTTATCAATCATATCAATTTCCTTCCTCAAACAAAAAACAAGGATAACCGACTCGCTTCAGTTCCGTTTTACGGATGACTTGGAGAAACTTTTTATATCCGATATAGTAGTCCGATTATCGCAAAATTTAAAAAAAAATTGTAGAATGATATGAAATAAACAGAAGAAAAAAATTTCAATTTTATATTTTAAATTTTAAAATTTTACACAAAATTGTAAACTAATATAAAATATCTATATCTCAAATTCAACCAATTAATTTTTTCCTCAAATCATCTTTGTGAAGAAATTCTTTTTTATACCCTTGCAGGGTATTATAATTTCAGTCAGAAGTTTGCAACGCAGAGAAGGAGGCACCTCCGACTATATAAAGTATAAATATTCTTGATCAGGACCAACAGCCGAGTCGATCTAGCCATGTCCGTCTGTCCGTTTCTACGCAAACTAGTCTCTCAGTTTTGAAGCTATCTGAAACTTTGCAGTTAGTCTTCTATATAATCTCACTCGTAAATATGTCGGAACGGGCCGGATCGGACGACTATATCATATAGCTGCCATAGGAATGATCGGAAAATTTTTACAAAAAAAATTTTAACATTTTTAGTTTTCAACAGAATTTGATCAAATTTGAGATATAGCAATTTCATATTATTCTACAATTTTGTGAAAATTTTTATGAAAATTGGACGACTATATCATATAGCTCCCATAGGAACGATCGAGAAATTAATTCAATTAAAAAGTATAACATTTTCAGTTTTCAAGAGATTTTTATCAAATTTGAGATATAGCCGTTTCATATTATTCTACAATTTTGTGTAGAATTTTATGAAAATTGGACGACTATATCATATAGCTCCCATAGGAACGATCGAGAAATTAATTCAATTAAAAAGTATAACAATTTTAGTTTCAAACAGGTTTTCATTAAATTTGATATATAGCCATATTATAAGAAATAAAAGAAATTAATAAAATTAAAGATTATAATTTCTTCAGTGGTCACCAGATTTTCATCAAATATCATATTATTTTAATCTAAATTTTGTGTAGTTATAAAAAAAACGGACTACTATATAAAATAGCTGCCATTGGAACGATCAAAAAATTAATACAATTAAAAATTATTACGTTTTCAGTTTTCAGCAGATTTTCATTAAATTTTGAGATATAGGCATTTCATATGTCAAATTTTATGAAAATCGGACGACTATATCACATAGGTGCCATACTTGCCTTTCTTGTTTATTTTATTTTATTTATTTGACTGCAAAGTTTAAGAATTCGTTGCATACTTCTTGGCTTGTAAAAATTTGTAAGCGAAAGCTTCCCGACTGGCATTATTGTGTTTGCGAAAAACGCCCACACTGTTTCAAGCTTTTGCCGACACTAGTTTACACTGCTTAGTTAACCAAGGATCTGCTTAGTTTCCTGAACAACTTAACCGACAGTTATCGTTATCGTAATCGATAACACGATAAGAATAGTTATCGAAGAAAGTCCATCGCTAGCGAGTTCCAGCTAAAAAAAACAAAACCAAATGCAAAGGTTCTAAGCAGGCTTTTTAATATAAAATTAATTTGTTATTGTCGCTCGCTCTGTTCGGTCCAGTTTGCCAAGTTTTGCCGCGATGTCTATCTATGCCGACGTACCGAAGGGACCTGCCATCGAGGTGTTCGCCTTGACGGCCGCTTTTAGGGACGATACCAATCCCAAGAAGGTCAACCTCTCGGTGGGCGGTAAGTGATGATTTCAATTGTGCCTGCGAAAGAGCAGTGTGTGTGCAGCAGGGAGATGTGTGTGTCACTCGCATGGGTGTCATTGTATGAGGCTCAATTTGCTATCATTTGTTAGTTGGTGCGCCCTTGCACTTCCTCTCCGCCGTCGCCATTGATACCCCTTTGCAGTCGTTTCCGTTGCCACCCAACTTTCAGCCCGCCCCCTGCTGGAGGTCATTTGGAAGTCAAATTGGCATATGAATTGTTTTGCTTTCTCCGTCCTTTGCTGCCCAGATTTCTGCACATACATATGCGTTCTAATTGGAGAGCTTCTAAATAATTGTGCGCCTTCATTTAGTGAAACTGAACAATAAATACACTTTCTTCATTTAGTTAACTACATAAAATCTATACGCTTTTAAAGTCTTAGCGTTGTTGCTATTAATTTGCAGTTATAATAATTTATATATCTAATCTTTTCGTTATATGTACATATATATGTGTAAATATAAATATTCAATTTTAGATAACCAAATTATTGTGTAAACACATTGATAAATTGCTGATAATATTTAGCTATATCCTATATAAAATATTTATTACCAATAATTTAGTATGTTACTAGTTTCATTTGACGACAAAATAATGAAAAAAAAATGTCAATTTCCCGTTTTCATAGTAGTCTTTGTTATCATTCATGGACAATTTCACCCCACCTTGACCCAGAAGCTCTCTAATCTTTTCTTCCTTGGAAACTATAGGGCATTTGTGGTTCGACTTTCTCCTTCTAAATTCTTGTTGACGTCAGCTAACGCAATATTTATGTAGTTGTGCCCATGTGTACGACGGATGATAAGACCCCACTTGTGTGGGGATTTCTTAGCGGGAACAACAACTGCTGGTGTCCAGCGGCAATCTCGAGGCGGTTCGCCCCAAGAGCACCTCTTTTCACCTCTTCTATATTTATGTATGTTATTGCATAATTTTAATAACAATTCCCACCCAGCGACACTGATAATTATTCGGTTGTTGTTTGTTTGGCAGTCGTTAACCTTTTCAGGCGTGTAAAGTTGATTTGTGGGAATGGGCATGAATTAAAGTCTGAAAGAAGTTATAAAATCAGGCGGTTATAATATTTATGTTGATTTTGTTTCTTGAGCTATGTTTATATTTCATCAGCTTCATTTAGTCTGACCAAAAAGATGAAAACTCAGATGAAATAAAACAGGTTATTTGCGACTTGAGTTCAGTGAATGATCTCGAGTTCAGCTACTACTTTCGGAATTTCTAACAAGTTTATTATTCGATTCGTTATGACTTTTGTTTATAGTCATATTTTTTTTTTTCAATTTTACTCTATTTCTTTATTATGCTACAAATGTATAAATTCTATCCGAACGACCAATTCAGGCAATTGGTTTCAAATAACCCAGCGAGCTGCTGCAATAAACAAATAATAAATTTGGCCTAGAAACAACGCACATTAAATATAACCCTATCAGATTCCGTGCAGCATTACGGATTGATTAGGCTTGTCAAGTCCGCCTCGATAATAGTTGAATGTTGTACGGATTTTAGCACTTTAACCGATGAATTTCCTTGGGCTCTTGAGCAAGAAGTGGACTTTGAATAAACCTGGTTAATCATAAGAGGTATTAATTCTTCTTATTCGCAGCTTACAGGACAGATGCCGGAGTTCCATGGGTGCTGCCAGTGGTCCGAAAAACAGAGATTTCAATTGCCAGCGATGAGAATATTAACCACGAGTATTTACCAGTGACTGGTGCGTTAAATATCTTATTTAATATATTGTTAATTTAAATTTATTAATTCAAATTTTTCTTGAATAACCAGGCTTGGAAACGTTCACAAATGCGGCCACGGAATTGGTGCTGGGTGCCAATTCCCCTGCCATCAAAGAGAAACGCGTAGGTTTCTTTCTTTCATAATATCGGTCATCTCCGCTAACTTACCACATCTTTGCAGGCCTTTGGTGTACAGACCATTTCGGGCACCGGTGCCCTGCGTGTTGCCGCCGATTTCCTGCACACTCAGCTGAAGCGCAATGTGGTCTACTACTCGAATCCCACATGGGAGAACCACCACAAGATCTTCTCTGATGCTGGCTTCACCACGCTTAAGTCGTACCGCTACTGGGATCAAAGTCAACGTCAACTGGACTTCAAGAACATGGTGGCTGATCTAAACGAAGCCCCCCCTGGAGCTGTGATCATCCTGCACGCCTGTGCCCACAACCCCACGGGCATTGACCCCACCCAGGAGCAGTGGAAGGAGCTGGCCGATCTGATGGAGAAGAAGAAGCTCTTCCCTCTATTCGATTCCGCTTACCAGGGCTTTGCTAGCGGCGATCCGGATCATGATGCCTGGGCTGTGCGCCACTTTGTGGAGCGTGGCTTCGAGCTTTTCACCTGTCAGTCCTTTGCCAAAAACTTTGGCCTTTATTGCGAGCGTGCTGGCAATCTGACGGTGGTACAGCAGCATGGAGCCACGAAGGCAGCGGTGCACTCGCAACTGACGCTGCTTATTCGTGGTCAGTACTCGAACCCGCCCGCCTACGGAGCCCGCATCGTATCGAAGGTGCTCAACACACCAGAGCTGCGCAAGGAGTGGATGCAGTCTATCCAGACCATGTCTAGTCGCATCCGGGCGATGCGCAAGGCGCTGCGGGACAAGCTGGTCGCATTGGGCACACCCGGCAATTGGGACCACATTGTCAACCAGATCGGCATGTTCTCGTATACGGGTTTGAACGAGAACCAGGTGCGCGTCCTGATCAACGAGTACCACATTTACTTGCTGAAGACGGGACGTATCAACATGTGCGGACTGAATAATGGAAATATTGATTATGTGGCCAAGGCGATCCATGCCGCTGTAACCGGAGCAGCTTCCACTGGAAACAACGCCTGTCCCTGCGACAATAAATTGTAATCAATCAACGATCGGGCAAGATATTTACTGAACATAATGCCCGGATCTACGATTAGCTGTCTGCACCATTAGCATTTACACACGTCGGAAACCAACAGAAATTGCAATTACAAAACGTTTATAAGCGGCTTTTACATGGATAAATTATACACTTTATGAAACAATATGAAATATTGGAAAGTTTACCGAAATTGTGCACATTTAGAGGCCGTCGTAGATATTGGTTAAATAACGATGTTTAGCTGGATAACTAAATCTCTATTGACTTGTATGTAGTCCTAAATTACAACGACAATAACATTACTGAAGTATTTCAAAAGGAATTTCGTTTTATTCGGGAGCGGGATAAAATAATGTACTTTTCTGGGCATTTGTTGAATTAGTTTTATTTTAGAGTTAAAAATAATTTTTAATTAAAATAAATAAGAGAATTCGAATTGAGTATATAAGGGTTAAAACAAACAAAATTTTTGAAATTGGCGCCCTTCTTTTAGAGATGTCACTTTTATTCGTTACGATATTTTTTCATCGCTCCCATCCATAGTTTTTCAAAAATTTATCGGTTCCGATAGCTGCAAAACAAGTTCGTTTGGAAGCGGGAATTTACGAGTTATTCCCAAAACGGCAACGTCGGCGTTTAAATTTGAAACAACAAATCAAATCATCAAATTTATGCATTATTTACATCCATTTCTCACAAAATAGTTAATAATTAGGTAAAGATAATTTAAGGCTTTGACTGCAGAAAGCTTTATTTCAAACACGACATTGACATATATTTACACATAAATCATAAATGGGAAGAAAAATTAACAGAATAAAAACCAAATATATGTAAAATGTTTGTAAAACACAGTCGAAAAATACGGATTGTCGCTAAAAGAAGCTTTGTCTATTGTATTTTTCGGCAAAGGCTTTCATAACACTCATTCTTCGTTGTTAGCTTAATCTCATCGTAAGGCAATTTGTAAGAGCGATCTTTAAAAAAGTTTTGTGCGGTGTGTTAAAACATAGACATCTGTTGTTAAACAAGACAATTTAATTAACAACAGTTTCGGGTGTGAAATTGTACAACAAAATTCTTGATTCTTGATCATTCGTCTTCTTGGTGCGCATTTTCTATTCTATTCTATTCTATTTAAAATGGTGATTTCTCGAGAGCGTTGGTTTTCTGCGAGAAATTAGTTTTTTCGTTCAAGTTTTGGTAAACTTTTTCATTTAGCATATGCATATAACGGTAAGCGGTAATTATTCAATTGTAAGCAATACTGCTAATATTTTAAAATGAGATATAGTTTGTTTACATGAGCTTCCACGTTAAAAAATTACAATCGATTGAAATGGAGTTCACAAACGCAAAATTCGGGCAACTTTGAAATTTTATTTCGCACAGGGAAGAACTGTTGCGGAATCTCGCAGACAGATTATTGCTGTCTTAGGAGATAACATATTTTCGATTCAAACCGCCGAACAGTGGTTAGGCGTTTCCGAAGTGGCAATTTTGATACCGAACACCCAAGCCTTCCCGGCGACCACTGACCGTTGATACGGATAAAATCATGGAAATAATGGATCGAGATTGTCATGTGACTATTAGATCCACCGCAGAGGAGCTGCAACTGAGCACGGAAACCGTCCACAGGCATTTAAAGTCGAAAAATTTAACAAAAAAGCTCGATGTATGGGTGCTTCATGAGTTTTCCCCATCTACATCTTTGGTGACGCGTCACAAGCTTCGGAGCTTGGTTGGGAATTGTTCATGCATCCACCTTATAGCCCCCAAGCGATTACCATCTGTTTTTGGCCATGCAAAATTTTTTCGATGGATAAAAATTGAGTTCAAGGGAGGATTGTGAAAATCGAATAGCCGAGTTTTTTGCCAGTAGGGACAAGGACTTCTTTAGGAGAGGCATATACAAGTTACCATCAAAATGACAGAAAATCATCGAACGGTACATATAGCACTTAAATCGGACAATGCTAACTATGTTAAAATCGTCGTCAAAAATCAAAAAAGAAACCCTATGTCATTACCAAACAACCTAATATTTTGTTGATTGCATTTTCTTAACATTATTAACTCTAAATTAAAAATTCTTTAACGAAACCGGGTTCTCGGCCCTCATCTTATTTCTTCACAACACCGGAATCTCCGAGCACACTAGATTGTGTGCCAAAGCCACGATCTCGGCCGACACCAGATTGTTTGGCGACACAGTTTTCTCCGCCGACTTCACCTCTGCCGGCACCACCATCTCCGATGACACATTCTCTTGGCCAGCGGTCAGACAAACCGCAGTATACTACCGCCACCTCCTGAAAAAAATCAGTGTCCGCGATGTCTCAAAATTGGTGGAAAGAGCATCCACGGTGCAGAATGCACTGCAAATATGGAGTGCACATATTGCCCTTTTTTAGGACAATGTGCATTTCAATTTCGCAGACTTAATTGCACAAAATTATATTTAAGAAATAAGTTATGGTTAAGGGAACATACACATAAGCTGATAAGCTGATAAGCGGCGAAACAATAGATTTTGTAGTTATTTTTAATTTAAATACAACAATTTGGCATAGGGTAGAGCTAACCCCATCGATATTAAAAAATTAATACTACCGCCAAAAAAAAGAGTATCGCTACTCGGGCAGTTTCGTAAATGAAGAAATGTTAAGGATTTACTTTAATTATTAGAATTATGAATTATATTTTATAAAGTATTTGCTTATTAATTTTTATGTACAAGTATTTTAATATTCATTATCATTTATGTGAATAACAAACTCAATGATCCAGAAAAAGCAAAGGAATTAAATCAAGGCTTTTTAGCCATTTATAGTAATTTATCACCGTTTCAGAACATTCCGTAGTTCATAATTTTTGACGAGTTGCATTTCTTTATAAATTAAAATCAATTTAACGCCCTGACGTTTATTGCAACGTCCGCAAATAGAGTTTTTGCCATATATAAAACTTGACTTTTTCGCAAATTTAACAACAATTATTGATGCTGCTAAATCTCTTAAACTTTTCAAAACCTGTGGTCTGCGACCTAAAGATTATAAATATCCAGAGTAGAGGTAAGCACGAGCCGGGCTTCTTTTCATGGTCCGCGCCCGGGCCTTAAAATTAAGATTCGTGCTCGGGCCTAAGAAAAAATTTTATTTTTAAATACATAACATTCAGTATACCTAATTAAATATGCACTTATATATATATATATATATATATATATGTATATATATTTCTTTAAAAATTTCCTTAAATGTGTAAACAAGTTTCGTGCCGGGCCGTCCGGATCCAGGGCTTGATGAAAAAGTTTTTCAGTAATTAAAAAAAAACACTTGATAATAAATGTGACATTATGTTAAAGATGTACGAAAAGAAGCAGAACAATTCTATTTGGAAATATTCAAGGTGTATGAAACGGCTATAGGGCGTATTAGGAAATTTCCCCCTGCGGACTTTTCGGAAGCGAATAATGCAAAAGTGGAGAATATTAGCTTTCTGTGGAAAAATAAATTGGGACAAACATATTGCGGAGCAGTAGGAGAAAATAATAATTGCGATCTGCCCCTATTAATAAGAATTGTTGCGTTTCTTATTGCTCAAGATCAAGAGAGTAAGGGCAATGAAAATTAATTTAATAAGAATACAAATAGCTTACATATTTTCCCACAGATATGTTCAAACTAGGTCAACAATATGATTAAAACAAACATAAAATAAATAAATGAAAATAATAATTTTAAATATATTTTCTCCATCAAAATTCTAGATTAAAAAAAATTGCTATATTTGTCAAAAATAAAATAAATTGCACTGCTTGGAACTAGTTCATACATATCGGCACTGGCTTACAATGCTTACTTTACTTAGGATATGCTTAGTTTCATTAACAACGGCATTACCGACAGTTATCGTTAAATGTAGTTATCGAAGAAAGTCCATCGCTAGCGAGTTCCAGCCAAAAAAAAAAATAAACAAAAACAAAAAACGTTAGAAAAATGCAAAGATTCTAAACAATTTTTCAATGGCAGGTAAGTAAATTACGAAACAATTAAATGCTTTTTAATATAAAATCTATGGTTTCTCCCAGCAGACCCAAAAAAACCCTCCACTTTAAAAGAAGCCGACGAAACGCCGCTGTTTCCTCCTGCGAAACCCGGAAAACGAGTAGACTATGGAACAAACAACACCTTGGAACTGCTAGAACGAATACCCAGCCAAGTGGTGGACCTCAAGCTAGACGATGTCCTCACGGCGGTCAAGGAGGTGGACAACCTGTGCGACTATCCCCGCTGCAAGACCAAGACGAGCCTGATGGGCCAGGACTGTCAGCATTGCAAGAAGAGATTCTGCTTTAAGCACGGCTTGCCGGAGGTTCATGGCTGCGGCGAGGAGATCAAGCGGGACGAGCGGAAGAAATTCCTGCATCCCAAGCCGGCAAAAACCATTCGCCAAGAGGAGGATGTGAAGAATGCGAAGAAGCGACTGGATGCCAAGTTAAAGGACATGCAGGTGGGACGCATGCAGAAGGCCACCGGTGGTGGGAGCGGAGGTTCCAAGAAGAAAAAGGGAAAATAGTCGCATTCTGACAGAAATTTTAGTTAAAAAACGTTACAAGTGTAAAAATAAAACAAACACACACACTCAAACCATCATCTGCTGAAGTAAACAAAAGTCAGCTGTTTTCCGATGCCAATTTCCGAATCGTAGTTTCAAAATTTAACAATAATGCTTATATCACGATCCAGAGCCTTGATAATCCCAAAAATTATTGATTTTACTCGTCCAAGCTGTCGAAATGTCCAATATACTCAAGGTCAGTCACCAGAGCCAAAAATACGAGAGTATTTTTACTACATCGACCACGAAGGAATGGTGAGTCTGGATGCATAGCAAAAATGACTAAAAGATTTGAAAAAATGTGTGTAGCTCTTTTTAGACGATGCGAAGATGAAGAACTTCACCAGTTGCTTCAAGGAGAAGGACTTTCTCAAGTTCTTCTTCAATCGTGTGCGTCTGAACAAAACGGATAGATATCAGATCGATTTTCCCTATATTTCATTATGTGGACGCGAAAGGAACTTTATCCGATGCGATGACACACCACTTGTTTTTACGGAACAGTTGCAAAAAGATGGAAGCGAAGTTCTTAGTTATGCCCATTCGGGACAGGTCCTTACTCTGCCCTACGAACCCCACAAACTATACATGGATCCGAGGAACGGCAGGGTCTACCATCCAGCAACGCCACAGGTGGGTGGCATCGGCTTGGTTCGTTCCAAATTGGCCATAGAACTTAGCCAGCACTTTGAGTTTCCGACTGGCCAGGCATCACCCACACATTTTCAATGGAAGGGCGAACGCTTGAAGCTGGAGAACGACTGGGTTAGTGAGACCCAAAGGTTCCCAATGAACGAAGAGTGTAAATAATCGGTTTAATATTGAGACATTACATTTCGAATTCCTATAGCTATATATTGCTTTTACTCAATGCTGAGAGGCTTGAACTCGCCCTCCTTTACCCACGAGAGCCCAGTGGCGAGTCCTCCGTTCGCCTGCTGCGACGCGGTCTCCAGCTGCTTGCTCTTGCCTGCTTTGATGCGCTCCAATACCGGTCCGTGTACATCGGTCTGGAACTTTTCGAATACTATATAGTGGGGATCCTCAGTGGGCGGTGCGTCGTAAACGCGTGCCTTGCTCTCTTTTATGTTCTCCAGCACACGGACGGCGAACTCCTCCCTATTTGTCATCAAAAGATCAGCAGCCTCGTTGTTTTTCAATTTGTCCGCTTCAATACCTCGGATACTGTCGACCGGGTCTGAGAATATGGCCTGCATGTATTTGAGCAGCTGCCACAGATGGTCCTCACCGCAACGCCACTCCTGAAAGGCATGACTGATGTCTAAACTGTGGGTGTAGGGGCAGACATGGGGATGCAGTACATCCTGCTGGAATATCACGGTCTAAAAGAAGAATTATTAAAATACAATGTCGGGATCTAGGTAGGCGCTGATTTACTGGAAGACTCTTGTCGTCGGGAAAGCGATCAGGCAATAGAATTGAGAAGCGAAAGACACTCTCCGCGTAGAAGCCTTGGCGTCCAAAGAAGACACCGAACCAGTCTGTAAAATATATCAATTAAGCAAAAGCTACCTCTATTATATGTTTTCCAATACTAACGCAAGGAATTCGCATAGCTGGGTATCACGTAAATACCACTCAACTTTTCCGATTCAATCATTTTGCTGAGAAAGAAAATAATTTAAAAAGTTTCAACCCATTGATGAAGTGCACATGAACTCACTACTCAGCAAGTATTTTATACTCCTGCTGGATGGTGGTTATCAGCAATTTGTCGTCCCTCTTATTGGCATCCAAGTCGAGCGTCATCGTGATAGTATTATTAAAATAAACACAAAACTTGTAAAATAAACAAAACGAAGAAAATTGTTTTTATCGAACAGCTGTTCGCTGCAGATCTGACACATGTGGGAAAAATAACATTAAGCTGGTCACACAATTTAAATCGGCGCCAATTCTTTCCTTGTTTCACTCACCAGTCTATTCTGAGTTACTTTTTGAGAAAAACGTAATTCGTGCACCAATTTTTACAATAAAATAAACGTACATAGTTGATCCGGAAAAATAGAAATCTGATGAAGATGCACGCGTTTCCTGATGCTTTACACACTTTCTGACCCTTACGAGAGACGGTCACACTAAGTAACCTAAATAACAAAAATAAGAAATAAATTAAAAGCATGCTTTTCAAATCCTGACAAAATCATGACAACCACATTCGAAGGAGAGCTCTCAGACAAGCTGCAAATCATAGAAGCGAACATGGATGCAGCGAACAAAGTCCAGGTGGAGGCACCCGAAGAAAACAATAGTAATTTGCCACCAAAAAGCTCTGGTCCGGAGCCCGAGTTTTATAAGAAGGCGCAAAAGTACTGGGCCGAGGTTCCAGCCACAGTTAATGGAATGCTCGGCGGCCTCGGCTTCATCAGCGCCATTGATATACAGGGATCCAGTGTCTTCCTACGAGAGATTCGTGTGCCGGGCACAAGGTTGGCCTTGGATTGCGGCGCCGGAATCGGCCGGGTGACCCGTAACCTTCTCATGCCGCGCTTCTGTCGCGTGGATCTTGTCGAGCAGGACCAAGCCTTTGCCGAAAAGGCCCGTCAGTACTGCACCTCGGAGAACGTGATTTCCGGACAGGTTGGCGAAATCTACAACGTCGGCCTGCAGGAGTTTACGCCCACGCAGCAGTACGACCTCATCTGGAGCCAGTGGGTGCTGGGTCACCTTACCGACAGCGATCTAGTGGCCTTCTTTCGCCGCATTAGGCAGGCATTGGCGCCCGGCGCCTTCTTTTGCCTCAAGGAGAACGTGAGCAGCTCGAAAAAGACTGTGGAAGATGAGGAGGACTCCTCGGTTACCCGACCACTTGAACACTACGAACGCTTTCTAAAGGAAGCTGGTTTTCGTGTTGTGCGCAAAGTTAAGCAAAAAAACTTCCCCAAAGATCTCTTTCCCGTTTACATGATTGCCTGCAAGCCCTTCTCAAAGGACTAGATTGGGGCTTAGTTAGTTTTACCATGGATGTACAAGCGATTGTACCGTAAATTTAATGTCACAATTACAAGCTAGTCATAAAATGTTGTATCGTTTTTAGCAACAAATAAATAAGCTTGTACGAGCTTTTAGTAGTTCCTTAATTCACATAGGCAGCATCTATGGAAGTATCAACAGAGAATGCACGTATTTCCTTTATCAAAAAAGAATCAAATGTGGTTCCCTTTATTATATTTTTCCATAAATAATATCTATATATAATACGACTGTCTGCAATTATTTAGCTGAGGAAATGGCTGTGACGCGCTGCTCCACTTTAGCCACCTTGCTATTGATGGTTTCCAGGTTCTGGGCAAATGTCTCCTGTACGGAATGCAGCAGTTCCTTGTTGTTGACCAGGCTGGTGGTTATAGTTCCCTGTTTTTGCTCAATCTCGGCTATGATCTTGGCAAAGTTGTTTGCTAATGAGAATTATGAACTGGTTATTATTTAAGCGAACCTAAATTTTAGTAATTGGATCTTACCATATTTATGGAGAGCCTCAAGGGCCTGCATGCGCTCAATAACGTGCGGTAATATTTCCACCACCGGCTCTGTGCGCTTGGCGATGTCGTAGAGCTCCGTTATCTTCTGGTCCCGCTTGGCGTCCTGAGCACTTCCACTGGACTTCTCGGCGATGGCATCCATCTTACCGGCTAGCGATGTCAGGCGCTGTTCGATGGTGTCCAGCTTGTCTGGCTGCAGCAGCGCAGCCTTGGTGCTCAGTTGCCGGACAGCCTCTAGTACATTATTGGTATTGGTGGCGGCAGTAAGGCGGCTCAGCTTTTCGGGCTGGGCTCCCACCACCTTCTCCAGCTGCGAGAGTCGTTGCTCCAGGCTGGCCACGCGGGCTGTGGCCGCTAAGTCAGTTCCGGGCGTAGGGATGGCCGTGAGCACGCCGGATTGCTTAAACTCCTCCACCTGGCTGATGAGGGCCTTCACCTGCTTGCTGTTGGGCACCTGCTCTTTGCCTAGAACCTGCTCCAACTTGAGGGTATCCAGCACCTTCTTGGCCGTGGTGATGACTGTGGCTACGGCGTCGTAGGATTGCTTCTCCTCGTCGGCAATTTTGCGGTCAACCTGGAGGGCGGCCACCTCGTTCAGCAGCTCATTCATTTCGATCTGCAGGCGCTGGCACTTCTGCACGGGCGTCTCCTTCTCACCCAGGCCCACGAGTTCGTAATCACCCGAGCCGCGAGCATCGTATCCCCGGCATACGCGGCGTCCGATGCGATCCGTGAAATCAACACTGCCTTCGAGACTGGCCCCGCTGAAGCGCTGATGGGCGGCGCTTGGCGAGATGTGCAGCCGCTCGATGGCCTCGTTCTCGGGTTCCTCCTCATAATAGTCGGATGTATCGGGCTCTACATCATCGGGTGTTTCATAGACATCCGGCTGGTCATAAGCCTAATTGGGAGAAAATAAGCCAATTGGCAAAAACAATAGCTTGGACGGCAGTGGCTCGTGCACCGCTCTCACTTACAATTCCGGGAAGGTTTTGGAACTTGGGATCGGCCATTACAGTGGGCACGTCGACGGCGATGTCCTAAATCCTTGAGCGACGAAATAATTGTTTTTTTTTGCCAAGCAAAATCTTTTCGCAAAATGCAATCTGATGTCATAAAAGATATGACCGTTTGCAGATATAACGCGTTATGTCAGTTGGTATTTTTTCTTAATTTGGTATATATTTAAATCAAGAAAAATCATAACTACCGTTATAAAATTTAACGTCAATAATTAGATGTTCTTTAAAAACAAATAGTTACAAATATTTAAGCACATAGCTAATCACTATGAATTGCATTGTGGCCAGTGGCCACAACCAATTGCTGATATGTATCCGATAGTATCTAGGTACATTCAGACTATCAAAAATGGTCATACTGTCCCTTGTCTAGGTACAAACTTAATCAACACTATAGTTTTGCGGGCGCTGTGAGTGGGCAGAGGGAGCTGCTAGTTGTTTGGATTAAAATTGCAAATTTCGCTTTCGAGGCGCAGAGAATGTCGTGTTCGGAGTTTAGTTCGCCCAGGTACGACGAGCTGCCGCTGGAGGTGAGTGAGTGAGTGTTTCGCGGTCCGCGGCAGTCCCGTGACCGATCCATCATCGAAGCGCACATATATGTATCTGTCTACCTGTTAGGGCAGCCGTCAGCTGATTGTGTTTTGTCTGTTCTGCCTTCCAGATTGTTTTGAAGATTTTCAGCTACTTGGGCTACTCGGATCTGCAGGCGGCCGGAGGAACCTGCCAGCGATGGCACGCGGCGCTGGACCAGACGGAGTTCAACATGCGCACGCGCGTCTGCTTCTCCAAGGTGGTGCTGTCGGACCAACTGAGTCCTGTGGCGGATCTGCTGCGCTGCGAACGCCGCTTCAGGCACTTTTTGTTCGAGGACGTGACGTTGGGCCAGGTGAAGGAGCTCATGCGGTTCATGGGCCGGACGGCGCACTCACTGGCCCTGGACAATGTTGATCTGAACGACAAGCAGTTCTACGGCATGCTGGGCGTGCTGCCGCACCTTCACTCGCTGTCGCTGAAGCGCTGCCTTCCGCTGTTCATGTCCGGGTCGTTTTTGGACACGCACAACAATTCCTGTCCCGACCTTAACGACTTGGCCAGCAACCTGGCCGGAATCAGGGAGTTGACACTGTGCGAGAATCAGTATCTCACCGACGCCATCCTCATGCGGCTCACCTCGTTCATGCCCAGCCTCGAAGTGATCAACATGTCTGGCTGCCACATAGCCTTCCACAACGCCATCCATCGCAGGTTTTATCCCGGCAACGGCTCCTCGGATCATGTCTTGCCCAGTGAATCCGTGCTGACGTTCAAGTTTATCCTGACCATCTTGAGTTTGCAGCGGCGGACGCTCCGCCAGCTGGACTTTAGCCACACGCTGATAGGTCAGGCGTTGATGGCGCTCAGCGACCTTAATCTCCAGCTGCAGCGCCTCTACTTGGCCGGATGCCGTCAGCTGAATTGCACAACCATCAGGAACTTCCTGGCCACTCAGCCTAGTTTGACTACCTTGGATTTATCGGCCACGATGTGTGTGAGCGACGAGAACCTGGCAGCTCTGGTGCAAACGAATCCGCAGCTAGAACACTTGAAGGTCAACGGATGCCTGAGCATTACTAATGCAGGCGCCGTACACCTGGCCAAGTTGAAGCGTCTCAAGAGCCTAGATATCTCCAACTGCGACAGCATAACCAGCAGCGGCATCACCGAGGGCGTGGCCAGCGAGGAGAACAAGGTGCTGGAGGAGCTAAATGTTTCGTACTTGCAAATCTGCCAAGAGTGCATCAAGGCCATTGCCAGTAATCTGCGCTGCCTGCGATCGCTGCACCTGAATCACTGCGTCAATGGGGCCACCGATGAGGCAATTCAATCGGTCATAGGGCAGCTGCGTTGGCTACGCGAACTCTCCCTGGAACACTGCAGTATGGTGAGTCATATACCATATACCTCAACCTTCAGCTTTTCTCCCAACTTATTCGGTTTTTTTCTTTTAGTTAACAGATGCTGCACTCACAGGCATAAACATATCCAAGCTGGAGTTTAGTCGGAAGCAGTCTGGTTCCCAGGTTTCCTCAATGGACAACTTCTATCCGCCGTACAGCAGCACTCTGGCCGAGCGCGACAGCTTGGCGGGATCCTTGCAATCCATCAAGATATCACTGAGAAGCAAAGCGGAGGATGAGATTGTGAGAGATGCCAGACGGAAGCAGGCTATGCTTGCTGCCTACGAAATGAACCTCATACGCGAGGATGACTTCGAGGGGCACAACATACAGCAATTGAGGGGCTTGAGGTCCCTTAACCTCCGAGGGTGCAACAGGATCAGCGATGTGTCCCTCAAGTACGGCTTGAAGCACGTGGAGCTAAAGCGCCTGTTGCTTTCTAACTGCCAACAGATTTCGCTGCTGGGCATGGAGGCGGTGGCCAGCAGCTGTCCCTCAATCGAAGAGCTGGATTTGTCCGACTGCTACAACATCATGGATAAGACCATACAGGTGGTCACCGCCAAGTTGCCGCGTCTGCGGGCCTTGCACATAAGCGGCTGCAGTCAGCTGACTGAGCACACGCTGGACGCCATAATCACGAACTGCACGTGTCTGCAGACCCTGTCCATCTACCGTTGCCGCAGCATGTACACGGACTTGGAGGAACGACTGTCCGGCGTGAGAACGTTGCGTAACCTCAATATGGACAATCTGACGAGCATCGACAACGCCGAGTTCTTCCGCTTGAAGAAGCGCCTCGATTACTGATATTTCGCCGCCATCTTCATTGTCCTTGTGTTGTATTACTTTCAGTTGTACAACTTCCGCTAGTCAATCGCCCAATCCCAGCAGCATCAGCGCCCGTATATATATTTATTTTTATCTTCAACAATCTGCTCCCCGGTAGCAAGGTCTCTGTTGTGAGGGCTATAGTCAAATATACTTGCATATATGCGGCCACCATAAATGTATTTGCATGTACACTCACTTTGAAATTAACCACGCGCACTTTTCTGTAGGAATAGGTAAATAATTACAAATCTCGATTGTAATTTGGTTATCCAAATAATTGTCCCCAAATAATTGTCCGCATTCAACTGTGATTTTTTATATACAGTACGTATTTGTCGTATGTTAAGTAAAAGCGATTGTAAGTTGTTATGTGATCAGTTGCCTGACATAAAGTTGTTTTCGTTATTTCTTGAGCGTTACTGTTGTGTTAAATTCGTTAAGTAATTTGATATAAGCATAACATCCGTAAAAACGAATGTTTAATTGATATAATTTTGTATTTTAATAATCACTCTTTGTATAAATATAAGCTTTAAGCGATAAAATCGTTGACAAAAGAACAGATTTTCCTTTTTTAGAAAATGTATTTGCAAGTAAATAAGAATATAAAATTTATCTGAGAAAATCTTAAAACTTAGTCAAATTTATAATGTTAATGTAGATGTCTTTAAAGTAACATGTGAAATAATTAAGAAATTAATTAAGCAATTGACTGTTTTTACATCGTTAACAAAAAATTAACAAACAAACTCTGACTCTCTTTTTGTGAAAAGCGTTTTTGAATGCAAATAAAGAAACTACATCACGTTTTCAAAAAACATTTTGTGTCAATAAAGAAAACAGAACTAATCATACATACTTACTGGTCATATATTCTTCCTGTTCATAGTTACTTACTGATCATAATTAATCTGATCATAGTAAATTACTTTTGAAAGATACTGACTGATCCCCTACATTTAACATCCGTTTCTTTGGCAGTTATATTATATAGTATTCCGATTTTCATTAAATTAAAAACGAAAAAATTAATAATAAAAGATAGCTTTAAATCAAATTAGATACAAATATGTTAAAAACTGTAAACGTAATAATTTTTTTCTAAAAATTTTACGATCGTTCCTATGGCAGCAGTATGATATAGTCGTCCGATCCGTTACCTTTCCGACATATATACGAGTGAGAGTATATAGAAGAAGAACTACAAAGTTTCATTCAGATAGCTTCAAAACTAAAAGAGACTTGTTTGCGACAGACGGACATGGCAAGATCGACTCGGCTGTTGATGCTGATCAAGAATATATGTACATATATACTTGTATATACATGTATTATACATGTATATACTTTATGTGATCGGAGATGACTCCTTTACTCCGTTGCAAAGTAAGGGTTAGCAACATACGCTAAATATAAAAGCCCATTATGCTCGTTTTCTAATAAATGTTAGTTTAAAATAAATAAAATGATCAATAATATTTTAACATTGAATTCAACATTTTTAAACAATAAAATTTTTATATATTAAACGTTTCTACACTTTCTTTATAATTTTGAATGCGATATTTTTGTTTAGTTAGGTATCATATCCAACTATTCTACCACCTTCTAAAGCCATAGAATTAGCTCTAAAAGCTTAAATAACCGCCTAGTTCCCATTCAGAAAAGGTAATATAGAAATTCCAAACCTACAATGTTCGTTAAAAATGAATAGATTTATTTGAAAATGAGTTAAGAACATTTGCTGTTATACGTGCTAGAATCGTCGTCATCAAATATTTCATTTTTGGAAAAAGGTCGTCGTCTTCCTACGTACATACATATGTAATAAAAACGATTATGTAGGATATTTGTTGCTTAAAATACATTTCTAAAGTTGACTAGGTAAAAATTCCAGCTGGTGTCAAAGCTACCGCTCTACAAAAATGGATCCCGAGAGTCCTTGGACCGTCCAGTGCCGTGTGATTGTGCCCAGAATGCGGAGGTCGGCTCCAAAGTGTACTTAGCCGCCGCCGCCTCCGCCGGATAGCTCGTCCTCGTACTGCTTGCGGAAGCAGTCACCCACCGGGAAGAAGTCCCAGCTGCGCTGCTGGTACATGTTCCACACGTACGTCTCCTGGCCGGTGTACTCCGTGTCCGGCTTGTTAATCAAATGCATCAGGAAGAACATGTAATTGGCTAGGTTATGCTCCTTCTGGACGTGCGTGTCGAAGCCGTGCGGTACTATGTCGAAGAAGTCCTTGCCCATTCCGCATATGAAGCAATTGGACTCCATGTTGTCCTTCACCGACTCCAGCTGGTCACGCAGCTCGCCGAAGGCGTCGATAATCAGACCCTGGATGATGGCCAGCAGGATAATGATCACGAAGAAGAAGAACGTGATGTCGAAGATGATGCGATAGACCTCATAGTCATCGCCATCCGGATCACCGATCTCGTCGCCTATGCCACCGCCCGCTCTCACGCCCTTGTACAGATGGAAGACGAAGCAAGTCAACATGTCGTGACACTTCTTGTCCACCTCCTCGTCCTCTTCCTGAATGTAGAACTTCCTGAAGAAGTTAAAGGCAATCACTGTGTAGATGTATACAATAATGGTCAGGAGCATCACGGTCAGGACAAGTTGTTTGCCGTTGTGGGTGACGGACTGCAGGATGGTGCGCAGCGTCTTGAAGCCCACGGCCACATCCAGCAGATGGGCGGCAAAGAAGAAGTTATTGAAGTTGCCCATCACCGAGAAGCTAAAGTACCACAGCGAGTAGAGGAAAGCGTTGTCCGTGAAGGTCACTCCGGCCTTCCACACCTGGTAGCGCCAATCGATGTTCATGATGTACTTGAAGATGCCCGTCTCCTCGCTCTCCTGTGCGGTGAAGGCGCTCTTTTCCATGCCCAGCAGGTTGGAGATGGAGTCGAAGTCATAGGTCTCGCTGTACTTTTGTCGCACCTTCTTCTTTACGAACTTGTCCCAATAGTTGACCGGGAAGCTCTTTGCAGATATCACCAGTTTGTCCCAGTGCGATTTGAAGTCGTCATCCTCCGGTTGCTCCGCAATGAACAGGCCATCGAACTCCAGTCGGCGGGCAATTTCCTTTTCGCGCTTGAAGATGGCCAGAGGTACCTTGAGGTGATAGTAGGCGATCAGCATGGCCAGGGAGACGAGCGAGTGCAGACAGGCGGCCATGCGTAATACGTGTTCCATGTAGAAGAAGTCCTCGTCCACGTGCACAAGTTCTGGTATCTCGTCTTCCATTTCCCCATCGCCCGACCCACCGTCTCCTGATCCCCCAAAGCCGGAGCCCGTGATGTCCGCACCTGCACCTGAGCCAGAGCCCAGGATGAGTTCCTCCTCGCCGGAGCTTTCGCCTTCCTCGGCAAACGAGGTGACCTTGTAGAAGAGGAGCATGAAGTTGATGCTGAAGGCCAGCACCAGGGCCACGTACTTGAGGTTGTAGAAGTTCCTGGCCAGGAAGCTGACGGCCCGATGGGTGTACTGCGAGAAGTCTATCTGGTGGACGGCAGGCGTCTCCTGTGGCGCGGCCGATGATTTCTTGGCCTCCGCCTCGATGGAGGCCATTGCCGCCTCTTGGGCCTTCTGTGCCTCCTGACGCTCCTGGGCCGCCTTCTTGGCTGCCTCACCACCCAGCAGATCCACAATGGAGATTGGCTCCTGGTGTGGCTCGCCCTCTGCCAGTTCACCGGTGATGGCCGTACCGTCCTCGGGACTCGACTCGCCGCCCTCCTCCATTGAGGAATTGGCCGGAGACTCGTGCACCACCACCTTGTACATACCGTTCTCCTCCTTGTTGATGTCCAGGCCAAAAGCTTGTACCGTGCCCGGCGGCTCCTCAAGCGGTAGCGGTGGCAGGGCTCTTCCAAACGTTTCCTCCTCTACAACTGGCTCCTCCTCCTGCTCCGGAGCAGGTCCACGCATCAGGTTCAGCAGGATGCCGAATATATAACGCACCACGCAGAAGTGCGCATATCCGGTGTAGTAAAAGATGTAGAAGATGATCTTGAAGAAGCCGACGATCAGCTCTGGGATGGACTTGGTCTGCATGACGCCGATCTGGTGCTTAATGTTCGCCGGACTGAGCATGTGCACGCCGAACTTGAGGCCCTCCTTGACGGCGGTGATAGTGCGTCGGATGGGATCTCGGGCGGCACGCTCCTCCTCCTCCTCGCTCATGTAGGAACTATAGGCGGTGTCTCGTTTCACATTGCCGCCACCGTCATCGGTGGCCATCAGGCCGGAGGCATGGGTCATCTCAAAGATGGCGTCCTCACAGAAGTTGACAAAGGCTTCCAGCTTCTCCTTGTCACCGCCCTCGGTGACGATGGAGTAGAAGAAGGCGCGCTTGGATTCGCGAATCTGCGGCTTCTCCCACTGCTCGATGTTTGAGTCCTTGATTTCGAAGTAGACGCGCTCGATGCGCTTGGAGCTGCCGAGAATCTCGATGCGGCCCAGGAAGGGCTCGAAATAATTTAGCACCGAGCCGGCGGTCTCCAGGAAGCGCGCCAAGCGCGGCTCGTTGGGCATGTGTTCGCTGAGGTTGGTCAGCAGCACAGCCAGGTTGAAACCGATCTCCTTTGATGGTTCGTGGAAGCGCTCCACGAAGGCCCGGTAGTCGATTTTGCCCTCGTGGTTGCGCTCGCAGCAGGCCAAAAGGAAATCCATTTCTTCCCTGCAAGCATATGTGAGAATCGATGTGGAATGACCCTTAATCCTTAAGCTATACTTACGGCGTGTAGTTCTTGGATTGCTCCATCTTCTCCCTGAAGTCCTTGGGCGTTACCCAGCCCTCGTTCTTCATGTCGATCTCATGGAAGCTGGGCGATTCGATGAGGTCAGCCAGTTTGAGGAACATGTCAAAGTACTTGAGGATAAGCTCCACATTGGAGGCGGACTCCACAAGAGTGTCCACCATCTGCTTGCCAATGGTGCCTGTAAAAAAGGAGGAGAGAGTTACACAAGTCATCAGATTTAAATTAAAAAGATCTAAGGTCACTCTCTTCCTGATTTCCCTACAACTTCCTTAACCTACCATTCACAACATTTCCTTCCAGCATAGACAACATCATGGTGATCATGTCCTTCTGCAGATTGAGCAGCTCTTTGAGCAGATCCACTTGGCTGGAGTGCTTCGAAAGCTTGTCCTGCATGTGCGAGAACAGGAACAGGAATCCTCCAACGGCATCCCACAACCTGGAGTGGGCCAATGCCTGCTGATTGAGGGTACAAGGACCCTGGATGACCTCAGTAAGGGTGTTGAATACCTGGCTGGCCACTCCGATGGCCTTGAAAAAGTTGGCCTTGCCCGCGGGATCAATGATCTCCTTGCTGGAGTAATGCCAGTAGAAGTCCATAATGGACTCCTGCAGTCGCAGCAGATAATCCACCGTGCAGATGACTACGTTAACAGTGGTGGTGTTGCCGGCCTGGGTCCTCAAGTAGTTCTGCCACTCTGCGGAGAAGATCAATTAGGATTAGTTTCATTTCGATGAGGCAAGAGTAAGGGTTTGAACTCACCCAAATTGTGACCCTCACAGGTGAGCTGGATGAACCGGAACAGGGCACAGGTGAACTCCGCATCGTGCATGTTCTTCTCGCCGGCAGCACCCTCGGAACCTACACCAAGACCTGCACCCGCACTCGGAATATACTCTTTGTTCGTGTGGCAAATTTTGGGTGGGTGGATTGGTACAACGATAGCGGGAGTCACGGTCACAGGATTGGTGGGTTGTTGGTAATGGTTGGCATGCGAGGCATGGTGGTGATCAGGTTGGGTGATCAGGTTGGGCGATCAGGTTGGGAGTTCAGTTGGAAGGAAGTAGACACACAAATCAATACAGTAATCGAACTTAGAAGAGTGCGAACCAAAAAGTTAACGGGCGCGGACGCGGGCGGCAAACTGAAAGCGGGAGGAGCTCGGAGGGATCGGGTGCGGATGGACTTACCCTCTGCTTTGGTGTTACGCTCGAAGGCGTCCAGGTCGAGCACGCTGCAGGAGTTCATCAGTCCGGCAATCGAGGTGAAGAACCCGACGTCCTTCTTCTCCTTGAGGTGATTCAACATTCCCATCTGGATGTCGATGTTGCCGCCGCGGAGAATGGCGATGCCGAGATTGAGTGTCGTCATTACCATCTCCGAAGGTATACCTTTGGAGGCGGAAATGTGCAACAGCACCATTTCGGCAACGCCACGATTCGAGAGGCGCGCCTGGTGGAAGAGCAGCTTTTGCTTCTCCATCTCTTGTTCCTATAAGAGGGAGTATATAGGAGGTTAGTGAAAGAACCTAACTGAAGGTATTAAGCTCAGTTTTCCCATTCGGGAATTGGGACAAGGAATTAGTGAGGATCTCGCAGGATTCCAGCTGCATAATAAATAGTTACCATTAGTTGCCTCATCCGACACTGAGTCAGACATGTCGGACGTTAGGGGTTATTATTAGCGGTGGTTAGGGCTGCAACTGGGTTAGTTGGGATCGACTTACATGGATACTGGTGCCTTCGCCCTCTTCGCCACCCTCACCGCCCTCCTCGTCGCCGCCCTCCTCCTCCTCCTCGCCGCAGGACTTGGCCGCAATCTGGGCGTAGGACATGTAGAGCAAATCCTCCTGGAGGGCACCACTGCGCTCGGTCATGGCGCCGCGGCAGAAGGTGGTCACCAGCTGGGTGAGCGGATCCGGCTTGCTGTCCGTCTCCTCCTCGTCCTTCTTGGACTTTTCGGAATCCTCGAAAGTCTGCGTCAGATCCTCGACCATCACCTCCTGGCCCACGTTCTCCTCCTGCAGCCACTGCTCGTAGTAGGAGCGGGCAAAAATGTTGCAAGCCCGATGTCTGGGGGAGTTCAATAATGCCAGTTAGAGGATTGAAGCACCGAAGGATTAATCCACAGATGAAACAAACAGATATTAGCATGCCGTTTTGGTTAATCAAATTAGAGACCAACTCAAGAAAGAACTAAGAAATGATGCCGATCCTCAGCAGGTAAAAGCCTCGGACTTATATGGGAACAGGAACAGAAACGGGAAATTATAGAAACATAGGAGGAGATGATGAAAACCAATCGAAGCGACTACGAGTACGAGTACCACCTGCTCATGCGATAAAGATGCTTGGCGCGTAAGCTTGAAATGACTGCCTGGCGACGCGCCACCGAGATCTTTGAACCCCAGCGTTTGGACCTGTTCTTGGAGCTAGCTGCCTAAGGGATACGGAATCAGTTTCGGATTCGGTTTCGGTTTCGGTATCGGATTTGCAAGTGGCAAGCAAGCGTGCGGCAAGTCCATAAAAATATACAATAAAACAAATGGCTTTAGAACACGGCGCTGACATTAGTACACATTAGCTATCAGAGGGGATTAGTTAAGATGCCATTGAAGATGAAAAGATGGTCAGACAGTGGGGACAGATAAACTCATAGTAGCTTTAACTTAGTACGGTTTGGGTTAGTGGGTTAGCTGGCTCCATCCAGGGCATAGAGTAGAGAGTCTATCAATCGGGAACAATCGGTAATAACCTGGGTAGAGAATGTAGCGATGTCTGACGGAAGCATGCGATAACGGCACGCTTCCTTTGGATCGACACAACGCTCCTGTAGACATTTTTGCTCTGCTGTTGTGGATGGTCGATCTGTAAATGTGGTCAGCATTCGGTCAACAATTCGGTCGGGATTGAGGATGAGAGCAGTTGTTGGACGATGTGTGTGGTGGCGGTTGGTGTGATGATGGTTGTTCGAGAGGAAAAGAAAAATCGAGTGATTAAAAGATTTGTATTTAAGTAGAAAGATTTAAGTTGTCGCGGAGTCACGCTGTTCAGTTTCAATAGAGATGAGTTACTCGAACGGATGGCAAAGGACCTCCCATATTTCAGTTAAGAGACAGAGTGAGAGAGAGCTAGAGAAATTGGGATAACGCCTCCCGGACTGACACTTACCATGTGCAGGCCAAACAGAACCTTGGCCATGGCCACGATGCGGTCCACCGTCTCCTGGGTCTTGTCCTTGCCCTTCTCGTTGGCATTGACATTGGCCTTCTCCAGCGCCTGCTCGTCCACCGGCTCCTCCGTCTTGCCCAGCTTGGAGTACAGGTAGTGCTGCCAGGACATCTCGTCGGAGGGGTCCAGCTTGTCGGGCAGGGTCAGCTGCATGCGGGCGAACTCGATCACGTCGTACTCGGGCATCTTCTTCAGGTAGCGATCCTTGCAGTGCTGCACCAGCTCCTGCTCCCGGCCAGCGAACAGGTTCAGGCCCACGGGTAGGAGACGCTTCAGGCAGGCCACCATGAGACTGGCCTGCACCTCCTTGTCCTTGTCGCGCTTCTTGTCGCGGTTCTTCTTTTTCTTCTTTACCTTGCCGCCAACGGCAGGGACACCCTCAGAGATGGCAGATCTGCGCGTGGCCGTGGGCATAATCAGGGCCATGTTGTCGATCTCGTTGGCCGAGATAAAGTTCTGCTCCTCCTTGAGGAAGTACTGGCTCTTCGACCAAATATTGAAAATCTCCGCCACATGGTTGTACAACTCCTCGGCCTCGGGTATGTTGTCCTTTAGCCAATGATTGCGCTGCAAATCCACGTACTTGATCAGCAGCGGATAGAAAGAGTAGATGTCGCGCACCAGCAGGTTCCAATCCTCCTGTAGCTGCGTTTCCACCTGTGAGGTGTCGTCCGTGGCCGACTTGATGAAGCCTCGCATGCTGTCTTCTTTATGGAGCATATTCTCAGTCCGCTTCTTCACCCGCTCGGCCAGCGGCAGGAACGGATCCTTGAGCAGCTCCTCCGACGTATTGATGATGATCTGCTGCGTGTATGCAGCAATCCTTGTCATCCACGGTGCGTTGTCGTTGCCAATGTTCTTCTTGATCATCTTTAGAACATTGCGGAGCAGCGGATTCATGTGGTCAGCGGTGACCATGGTCACGTGATTGCCGCTGGTCGGGCTCACGTTATCCGGGCCCTGAGACCACCAGAAGGGCAGATAAGCGCAAAGCAGCGGCAGGATCACGTCGATAATGTGCGGTGCATCGTTGTATGTCTTGTCCGACTCCACGAACTGGTCCACCTCGGCGAGAATGGTCTCTAAATTGGGCATGCAGCTCTCCATCTTCACCATGATGTCCTGCGCCTCCAGCGAGTGATCCGCAATGCGGTTGAGCAGCGAGTACTGGTTGTGCTTGTTCAGATGCGGCTCCAGGTAGGCCACCGGGAAGCAGGAGCTGTAGGCTCCCAGGCACGAGCCTAGAGCGGGGCGATGTCGCTCGATCTCCGTCTTTAGATATTTTCGGTCGTGCGTCAGCGTGGCATCCGTGCCCAGGTGATAAAGGGCCGCCAGAATCTTATACGAGGCCACCTGGATCTCGTCCAGCAGCAGATCGCTGCCATAGTCGCAGGCGGCCAAATGATCAAACATGGCCGTGAGCACGGGCAGTACCACCTGGTTGACATAGCCCAGTGACGTGGAGGTCTTCAGGTGCGTACCCCTCAGGTGACTGTACTTGCCGTCCTGCAGATTGAGGATCGTGTTGCCCAGATCATCGGACGTCTGATTGAAGAACGTCAGCATGGAGGTGCGAATGAACTCCGGGCAGTTCTTGGTCAGCGTGCGGGCATCGATTCCTTTTACTAGCACCTGGAGGCAACGCACCGTGATGCGGACATCTGGCCCAAAGGCACTCAACCGGTTGCGCAGCAGAGCCGCCAGCTTGCAGAAGATTGAGGCCACCATTTCCTTCTCCTTGAGCGAGGCTGCTCCAATGTTGTTCGTTGCCGTGGCAATGGCAATGAAGTAATTGCGATGCGTGGAGAAGTACTTCTCCATCAGGGGGAGGACCACCTTCGAGAAGAACTTGATGTCCCGCGTGGCCGTCTTGAAGGATGAGCGGCGGCTGAAAGTGGTCGATGGCTTCAGCAGCTTCATGTTGATGGTGGCTCGGTCCAGATACTGGATAAGTTTCTCCAGCAGAGAGTATGAGAAGCGTAGCTCAACGGCCGCCTGGGTGGCGCCTCCTTCCTCCACAGCGCCGCCCTTTGAAGGCCTAGAGAAGTGAAAAATTTAAGAATAATCTCTTTAAGGATCTCTTTCTGCAAACTCACTTGTGCAGCTTGTAGCCCTGATACTGCATATACTTGAGGAACTCCTGCGAACGCTCGCGATCCTTCTTCTTCTCCTTGTCGGTCAGCAGGTCGTAGGGCACCAGCTGGGGGTGGATGACTCCTCCACAGCCATTCAGCTCCTCGTTCTTCTTCTTGGCCCAAATGTCGTGGGAATTCTCCGCCAGGCGCTCGGCCATGTTCTGCATTTCCCTGCTCAGGGTCAGGTTGCTCATGTCCACCGGGTGCGGGTTGTAGTTGAAGGGACTGCCCTCATTCTGGAATTCGTGCTATCGGTGTTAAGGTGGGCGTGGGCAGAGTAACATGCGTGGGCGTGGCATGAAGGCGGAAAAGCCAATTCGTTTTCGATTTCGAAAGATTTGTGTAAAATTTTTGAAAAATATATGTTAAGAGGGTGCTTGGAAGAAGGATTTAGTTTGGGCAATTGGTTGCTACATACAATCTGGGGCTTCGACTGGCGACGCGTCGATCCACGATGATTCAGCGGCACCTCCACCTCGGAGTGCTCCACAGTCCAGCCAATGGCCAGGAGACCCTTGAGGCACTCACGCACTGGATCCCGGTAACGCTCACGTTCCTGTCAGAAAGATATTCAAGGAATGAAATAGTTTTTATGGATAGTCTTTGTGGTTGGCTGGTAAATTATAAATGAATGATTAAATATTAGATACTCTTACGCTTAAAAACAAACTGAAAAAGTATATTAATAATTAAATATCCATAAGTAGTTATAAAAAGAGGAATTATTAAGTGAGAGATTATATAATGAGAGGAAATTATGATCTTAAATATTATCAAAAAAAGAGTTAAGTACAGAAATAAATCAAATCAATTAGTGAAAGCTAGAAAATAAAACTAAATTGAATGGTTAATAATGAATGACTTGGGCACATATATATTTGATGACTGATCGATCGCTCTACGTACATATTCACTGAGCATGTTATATGGCTTCAGACGTGGATGCTTGCGATCGTTGTCGGATCGGATGTCCCCGTGAGTCCATCCACCTTCGAGACGCCTGCTGGCCCAGGCATCGTGGTAATGCTCGCTGAACTTCTGGACCAGCGAGTTGAGGTCATTGTCCAGGTGGACATTGTTAGTGTCAATCGGATTAGGCATATATTGCGGCTGGTCGGGAGCTCCCATCTGGCGGCCATAGTAGTCCTCGTCCGTGTTCTTCGACAGACTGTAGTCGGGGGGCAAGGCACAGCCGATGGCAATCAGGCAGGGCAGGGCCTTACCGAACAGTTCCGGGTCATAGTCCATGTTGCTGAGCGAGTCAAAAATGTTCGAGAACAGCAGCATGGTCAAACGCTTCTCCTCGTCCGAGGACGCCCCATACGAGCCCTGGCCTTGAGTTGAGCCGTAATACTTGGCGCAGCGATCGAAGTGCAGGGTAAGGAGCTGTCATATAAATATGTATAATAATATTAATGTACTCATGAGGCTTTTAAGAGAGCTAAGTTCTCACCCGGAGGGCCACGGTGGTGTATTCGGACAGCTTGGACACATCCACAGTCAACTTGCGCAGCAGCTTGAGCAGCATGGCAGGTTGCATTTGGGATGTGAGGGCCACCAGGAAGTCGGAGACCGCCTCGCGCTGCCCCTTGGTGAGCATACGGTTCTTGGACAGCCGGTAGACCGTGTGCAATGTGGCATCCAAGAGGCTGGCGTAGTTCTCGGCCTCGTTGTAGAACTTGGAGTGCTTGATCAGCAGCGGCAGGATAGAGTTGCCAATGTAGCGATTCATGGCCAGGGCCATGTCACTCTCGGAGCCATCGCTCTTGTCCAGAATGGTGGCGGTGCGCAGGTCGGGAAGGAAGGCATCCTCCAGTAGGCGATAGAAGAGATCCTGCGTCTCGATGCCATAGACACGCTCCAGGAAGAGCACGATGCTCTGTTTATTGTTGGGCAGCAGGCCCGACGGCATGTCCGACTTGGGCTTTTCCTCACCGGGTGCCGTCTGCGACAGGGTAAACTTCAGGCTAAGCACACCCTGGAGATCCTCCAGCGGCACCAGAGATCTCAGAATAGCTCTGGCTCTCAGGGACTCGTTTTTGCCCTGCTCAATGACCGAGGCATCCGGTGCACAGCGGCCCAGCAGGTCCACCAAAGTACAGTAGAAGTTCAGGATGGCGGCACCGGTGTCAATGTAGTCCTCATCCTCCTCTCCCTCAGGCAGCGGATGGGTGAAGTTCAGGCCGGCAATGGTGCCCTCGGCCTCGTCCTGCATCTTGCAGCGGTCCGAGATGCGCTCCGACATGCGATTGGCCTCGACGATGGCGCGGAACAGACCTTCTCCTTCTCCTCTTAGAGCCGGTCCCAGGCATTCCGGACGACGGATAAGAAGTCGAATGACAAGGTTCGCATTCTCCTCGACGCTCTCGCCGTTGACCCAAACGCAGTAGCGCAGGAAGTCCAGGTAGCGCTCTCCCTCCACGGGATCCCAGCCCAGGTCCGGATAGCCTTTCTCCACGAGCTCCGAGTTGCTCTGGAGGCCGCACCGCGACAGATAGACGGCGATCTTCTCCAGATAGTGTTCCCTCAGTGCCAGAGCCAATTCTGTGTTCTCCATCAGACTCGAGTAGGCCACGTCCAGTGGCGTGGAGCCGCGAAGGCTGGGTCGTGCCAGCAGGATGTTGGCGTTGTCCAGCAAAAAGTCGAAGTGATCGAACATGGCCTTCTGGTTCTGCCGGCCCGTACGGCAGAAGTAGCAGAGGAACCGGCAGCAGGCCACCACCATCTCGTGCGAGGTGTCCTTCTCCTTGGACGGAACCCCTTCGGCGCCCTCAGTTTGGGTCGGGGCATCGCTCTGCGCCTGTGCCCGCCGTCCCAGTGTGTTCATCATCACGGCCATTACGTTCTCGTGAACGCGTAGGATCCGTATGAGATCCGGGTGCTGGAAGAAGGTGGCATTGTTTACCAGCTTCCACAGGCGCTTACGCATCAGTTCCTCCTCCTCCTGGCTCATCTGGACGGGCAGTAGGGCGCGAATTTGGCTTAGTCCGACCCACATCTCGGCCACGTCGTCACGCGCTCGGTTATTGATCACGTAGGTCTTCTCTAGGGCACGGACCAGCTCACCCACGGTGTCATATTGACGCAGCAGCAAACTGAACATTTCGCGTACGAGCTTGGGATTCTCGATCTGTGATTCCTCGGCCCAGCTAACGATGGTCTTGATGAGCACCTTGCGGAACACCTCCTCGGGCGTTTTCTTCTCTGGCTCCTCCACCTCCTTGGGCCCTTCCTCCAGCTCCTTGACGGTGTTGATGAAGTTGTAGATCTTTGTTATGGGCCCCGTCTTAATCTCCTCGATCGCCGCGCCTTCGACGCCATCTGGCTCCTGGAGAGCGTTAAGCGAAACCTTCTGCATGAGGAAATCGTGGAAATCACCCAGGCGGCTGCGCAACTCAAGGCCGCAGGTGCAGTTGTCCTGGTCGTCGGGCTCGAGGTTCTTGAAGCAGAGAATCTGGTTCATCTGCTCCCGCGGCGGACAGCGGAACTCTTTAGTCTTTTTGGCCGCCACAGCACTGGGCAGATCGGATTGCTTGATCTCGATATAACGTCGCAACTGATCGGTCTGCAGATCCCCCACGAAGTCGTGCGAGAAGGCGATGATGCTTTCCACGCGATGCCGCAACTGGGTGTCATACAGGTGATGCAGCAGGTAGCACATCTGCAACTTGGCTCCCTCGGCCATCTTCATTGTGAGCAAGCCCTTGCGGTGTTCGTCCTTGCCCTCTGTTAAATCGGAGTGATTAGTCAATAGTTGTTGGAAATCCTTCTCCCGTCCCATACTCACCCCTCTCGAAGGCGGCATCCCAGGTCTCTGGATCGATCATGACCAACAGCCGCTGCACATCCTCATCGGTCAGGACGCCGACCAGGAGCAGGCGATCTGTCAGCTTGATGAGCGGGCTAAGAAGGAATGAGCTATAACTAAGAGGACTACATCTAGAGGAGACTGGTACTCACAGGAACAGGTTCTCGTTGGTCCAGCCGATGGGATCGCGATTGTGGACCTGGTTGATCTCGACGGCGTCCTTCAGGGCCTCCATCACGAACTGCCTGACTACTTCTAGGGGGAACTTCGGGGAGTACAATTGGTCGATGTTGGGGATCGGTTCGCTGGAAACACTTGGCATACTAGATGTTGCAATCACAGGGGGTCTGGACGGGTGTAGTTGAACAGTGGTGTCGTAGTAGGTGGTTCGGTGCAGTGGTGCAGTGGTGCAGGTGTTGTGTTGGATGCAGGGAGATCCAGGATCCGGGGAGATTTGAAACAGAATGAGGCGTGAACAAATCGAATGGATATATCAAGATAAATGCCATGTCCCCACCCGCGCAGTGATCAAAGGAAGAATCTGTGCATTGTGGGGATTCGACTAAAGAGAGGCGACAGTTCAACTCACGTGATCTCCGTCATCCTAAGCTGCGGCCGCACTGATTCTGTGACCAGGGAACGCAGCGAATGCTGCATCTCTGCCTCGCTGTACAGCTCCTTCAGCTCCGGTCCCAGGGGAGTGATGTACTCGTTCTTACACACCTCCATTGTGGTGGCATGTGATTCCAGATGCAGAGCAATCAACAGGTCATAGAAGCCCTGCCGCAGGGGTCCGCTCATGTACTCCGACCTGATGGCGTAGAGCAGTTGCTTCTGGTCCACATGCTGGCACAGGGCATGCGCAGCCCTATAGTTGGACTGATAGCACAATGCCGCGTACAGGGTGAGACTGTGAGCATGGAAGGACAACAGCTTGTCCATCTCAATCAGCTCCAGAATGTCGATGCAGCGATCCTCCTCAGGGATGTGCAGCGCCAGCATGGACACTGGATCCTCGCACAGCATGGACCAGCCCCGGATGTCGGACAGCTTGAGGGCATGTACTTGGAGTGCGGTGTTTGGCACACGGGCCCACTGATGCGGACGCAGGCACTGGACCTTGAGACGCGGCGGCGACTGCGGACTGATGTGCTTGTCACTGGTGGGCAGCACAGCGGCAGACAGGGGCAGCGTGGTGGGAGTGCGTCCCAGTTCGATTTGAAGGATCTCCTTGCTGGTCGCCTCCACGAAGATGGCCGGGAAAAGCTTGGTGTCCGGCTCCATCATCCAGCGGTGGGAGGTCTCCTTGCCCTCGCATGTGAAGCGGATGATGCCAGTGGCTGTATCCACGAAGCAGCCCACGAACATGCCCTGCGATGCTCCCTTGCCGGAGGCATCCTGGGTCACCTCGTTGAAGAGCTCGTCCGCCCGCACCACATAGCAACTCTGGCGGTCAATCCTCTCGATGGCCATCTCGTAGTCGTCCTCGATGTACACCGATCCGCGACGCACCTTGTTCTTGTTGAATTCCTTGCTGTGCAGATGGTACTGGGTAGTCACCCAGCCCACGTACACGTGCGTGGGATCCTGGCCAGGGAAGATGCGAACGCCGTAGAAGTACTCGTTGATTAGCTTCAGGCACTCCGCATCGAACATCTCTTCCCCGGAACCTTCAATCGGTGGCTGGCCGAGATTCGAGCCACTCAGCTGCTTGGGTCCACCCTGGGCCACGGGACTGGGCGGGATGTCGGCCTGGAGTAAGGGATTTAAATCGAAGGGTATTAAAATGTGTAATTATTTTGTATTTTTTATTTAGAAGAGTAATTTTCAGAGCTAATAATAAAGACGAAATTATGAAATAAGTCTGAAAATGTTACTCTAATTTTAAAGTTTGGGGAGAATTTACGTATTTACAAGGTTTATTTTCTATAAAGAATAAATATTTCAGTAACATAAATACCTTTTAGTCTAAAATTAAGAAACATAATAATTTATAACTTGTGAAACTTGTGGAAAATAATGATTTTGATGAATAATTAACCGGTTAAATTAAGTTAAAACTTGTACTACTGATTATTAATTAAAATGCATACAAGTTTTTAAAGTAATTTTAAAAATGTGAAGCTCAAATACTTCTTTTAAAAGTTAAAAAAAATTAAATCTAACGAAAACCCAATGAAAACTCACATTATTAAGCCGTAGAGTGGGTGCCCTCGTGGTCATCTGCTGGTTCACCACGTTTCTTCCATGGGCCACCGTGTTGCGACGCTCCAGCGAGGTGTCCAGGGTGCGGGAGCCCATCTTCTCACGGCTCTGGTCGCGTGACTTCTTTGAGAAGAACTTGAAGGGACTACGACCGCGTTTCTTCTTGTCGTCCAACTCGTCGCCCAATCCATTCATGTCCAGCACAGAGGTGGAGCGCTGCATCTCGTCTAGGGCGGCGGACATGTCCGTCTCGAAGGTGATGTTACGGGTCAGAGAACCCTTACGCGGTGGACGCGATGGTCCTCGCATCATGTGATCCGCCTCGGCATCCGCATGCTCATCAAAGTTCCGGGTCAGACCCTTGATGTCATTCATATTGAAGCCTCCCTTGAGCATGTGATCCATATGGGCGGCCTGGGTCTGCACCGCCATCTGAGCAGCAGCCTCTGCCTCGCGCATCAGACGGTACTGTCGGTTCTTGATCTCGTCCCAGCGTCGGGCCTTCTCCTGCTCATTGATAAACTCACTCATGCAGGTCACCGGGAGGGAAAGACGCAGGAACTCCCAGTTGGCCTTCTCCATGGTCTCGAAGGTGTTGTGCGAGATTTTCAAATGCGGCGGGGTATCTGCACCACCGGGAATTCGGGTGACATCGATGCGGCAGTCGGGCATCTCTTCGGTGTTCTCGAAAATGGGTTGATCTTTGGTGTACCAATGGGTCACCGGACGACGCATGTTCCTGTGAGAAATATATTAATTATATACATATCCTCTTTATCCTTTGAGATCCAAGTGAATGCTTACACGCAGAAGGGTTCGTAGCCCTCTTGCAGGCCACAGGTGGTAAAGAACTTGAGGGAGTCCACGTCCTGGCCATAGATGAGGCGCGCCTTCTGGCCCACGCCCAGGGTGCAGGCTGGCACAAAGCCCACTCCTTCGGCAGTAACATCGGCAAAGGTCGTCTCGCCGCCCAGGGCGTCCATGAGGAGTTCTCCGTTGAGGGAGAAGCCTGCACAACGATTGATTACAGTTAATGGAGTACGGGTCGGGCCGAGGGGCGGCATTTGGTTGCTAATGATGAGTACGATTATATATATGTATGTATATATATATATTGAAACCAAGAACCAAGAAGCTTTTCAATGAATTCCGAACGATACGGTCCGTATCCTCGTCCGCCTCCGCATCCGATTAGTTCCGTTCGTCCGGAATCCATTAAGCAATTAAAATTCCTCTAGGAAATTCGTGCGTATTAATTGGCATAGGATCTGGCCTTGCAGCGGCAGCCCATTACTTGCATTGCATTGTTATTATGTTAAAGTGTCGGGACTGGCATTCGGTTTCGAATCGGTTTGGTCTCAGTTTCAGTTTGGTTAAAGTTTTTGTTTTAGTTTTAGTTGGCAAAGCTAGGATTATAAATTCAAGCAGGCTATTAATGGCACTTGTGTTAGCTCTCATGCTAAATTATATACTGGATCGAAATCTAAATCGAAATTGAAATTGAAATTGAATTTGAATTGATACTGGTTATTGGTTAAGTACGTGTCGTTAGTAATTACAGGCAGTTACGAGAGAGTAAAAAGCTGGGATGAGCTGATGTGTCCTGACGGCCTGCTCCTCAGGCACCCGGGTCGCCGCTAATCAGGCACCACTTCTCCCACTCCTGGTTATGGCATTCGAGGTGTTCGAACTAACAATATTCGGAAGTTAGAGCATGGAAATTGACTTGGATTTGATGTGTGGATATCGAGAGTGACAACTACGAGAAGCTACGAGAAAGCGGCTAATGGACTAATGGCTCGAATCGGATCTGTTTGCAGTCAGTTGGGTCTGGAAATGGCTGATCCTCGGGTTGATCTGATGGCTGAATTGTATGTTTTGTTTCTTGATTTGAATTTAATCTTTTTCGATGGAGTTGGAGCTTATATTTCAACTTTTATAATTTCAGTAGGGCTTGAAAGGGCTTGTCATCTTAAAAAAAGACTTGGAAATATATATTTGTAAGTATAGTTCATTGTTAAACAATACCTTTAAGTTAACTAGGCTTTGGATATATTTATTAAATATTATATTAACTTGAGTAAAGTCTTAAGATGTTTAACAAATGATATTTAAGGTTTAAGAATTAATTTCCAAATAAATCTCTTATAATAATTTAAAGAAAACAGGTGGTTAAACCGTTTCCCCGAGAGTCAGAATCTTCGGTTCGGGGTGTCAACACCCTCTTATTGACCACCTTTTGATGTATGGATTTATGTTTTTAATATTGTTATGTAGATTTAAAGCAATAAAAGCATCAAACTCCATTGAAACTGAACTATGAAAATAACTCTTGATAATGTCGACGGAGGTATTTGCTCTTGCGGGGTATCTAATATAGGTAAATGCTTGGATACAACGCCTGTCCCTTGCATCCTGGGACCTGCGGTGTTCGGTTGCCGCCACCCTCCGGCGGACTCATGGTCACATTTAGTAGATATCAAAAGCACGGAGGAGACATTCCTGTTGGGGTTGGCTGGAGGAGATCGCAAACATTACAACAAGGGGCGACGAGGGGTTCTTACTAATTGTGTGATCCGCGAGGTCTAGAAAGACGCCGACTATGTCCCCGGGTCCGCACTGTTTACCGAAGGACTCACTGACGCCACCGTAGACTTTCTCTTCCTAAAAGGTGAATATTGCAAGTGACAAGATTGATTTTTTAGTAACTCTCTCTGCCTGCGCGAATGTCTGTGATTCTTTTGCTGTTTTGCTGTTGTTTTTTTGTTTGCTTGTTAATGATAGATATCGGATATGAAAGAGTGTCGCTATAAATTAACAAATCAAAAGAGAACGAAAGTCATCGATTAAGTTGAAAAGAGTTGAGTTAACAAAATGCGTTCGATCAAAATAAATGAAATCAACGTTGGTGCGCGCTGCTAGGCGTCTATGGGTGTCCTTACTGATCGTTTGCTCCTTGACGTCGATGAAGCAACCAATGACATCGCCAGCCTCATACCGCACTCCGAAGTGCTCGATGGATCCGGCATGCATTTTGGTCACCTATAATCACGGGGTTTGGATTTGAGTGGGTCTCGCACACGGTCTTTCCCTAGTAACTGGCTCCCACTCCCACCTATATCATTGACCTGGGAAAAAAGTACCCTCGATGCTTCCCTCTCCCCGGAATACTCACGTTGTGGCCATCGAAGGCCCAGCTGGTGTCCTCGCTGCCCAGCATGGCTCCCGGATAGCAGTCCGCTCGTGCCCATCCCACGCGCATAGGTCCGGCGGTAAGGACCTCGAACTCGAAGTACCACTTGCCAGAGGTCACGGCGTAGTTGCGCTCCACGCGATAGGTCCGGAAGGCGGCAAACTTCAGACGCTGTGCCTCCGCCAGAAGGGCCTCTGTGCCCTCACCCGTTGGTGGATCCAGAACGTACCCATAGACCAGAAGTGTTCGCACTGTCTCCGAGGCCGTATCACGGTTGGCCTTCTTAATAGCTTCGTCCACCTTGCCATACGGCACCAAGTGGGGACTGCGATGGTTATCGCTGTCCTCGTTCAGACCATAAGTCCAGCCCTGCTGAATGCGCTCTCGCGCCCACAGGTTGTGCGTGTTCTCCGCCAGCTGGTCCACCAGCTCCTCCAGCTTTGGCGTTAGGGTCACGGCGCTAAGGTCGAGGGGAGCCGGCTTGTAGCCGTTGCCCTGCATGAAAATCTCGTTGGGCAGGCGCACTGGACGGATGCGTGCCGGCGGCTTATCCATGGTTATGTAGTAACCTAATGAAATGATGGTCCTGAGAAATAGTTAAAATTAAGTTAAGTTAGGTTTTCTGTTCAAAAATAAATAATATATTACTTGAGTGTTTGCACAGCTAATTGATTATCGTATCGCTTCTCTGCCGGAGGCAGCTTCTCAAATTGGGTGAGGCAGGGATGAATACGATGGTAGTCGTCACGGTGCTCCCCCCACGACCAGCCAGCCTCGATCTTGTTCAGCGCCCACATCTCGTGGATGTTCTCCGCCAGCTTCTCCTTGATCTGATCCACAGAGCTGGGCAGAGTCACTCCGGTGGTGTCCACCGGCTTAGGGACAAAGGCAGTGTCGTCCTCGATAAGCCAGGGTCCGGCAAGGACGTTCTTGCTGAGATTGCCAAAGTAAAAGCATGGGTCCAGGCTCAAAATCTGATGCGGCATAAGACACTGGACCAGCGCTGAGAATCCCATAGGCGGGGCAAACTTTAGGCGGCCATGATCGCCGCCAAAGAGGAAGCGGCAACTGAGCTTCGAGGAGCAGCTCATCACCGGGAAGAACATTCCGTCCAGGTTAAAGTCCCGGAAGCTACCACGCACCTTGACGCCATTGAAGGTGAACGTGATAATGGGCACCGAGAGATCGATGGCCACGCCAATCACATCGCCCTTGCGGATGAAGGGCTCCTCTGGCAGAGCGTCTACCACGGGAGTCTTCCTTCCTCCGGTCCAAAAGTTGGCACCATCAAAACCGAAGGAGTATAGGTCGTCGCCCACGCCATTGCCACCCCATTTCTTGCCGCCGCCAGGGTACGGGACATAGCCGGAGGTGTTGGCCCAACCAATGCGCAGATGGGGCATCATATGTGTCGTCTGCTCGATGTGGTCCATGGTCACCTCAAAGTACCATTTCTGGTACATGGACGAACCGTCTACGCGGCCCACAAAGATGTTTGGTCGGATGCTGGCCACGTGATCCACCAGGAGGGTCTGCAACAGCAGGTTCTTGCCTGGCAGCAGGAAGTCGCAGATGTTGTTCTGCGAGGAGCGCACGGCCACGCCGTTACCCACGCACAGGGAGCAGAGTACATCCAGGACCTTGGGATCCCTGCCGTGCTTCTCCAGCAGCGAGATGATCACCTTGATGTGCTCGTCCCGCATCATGTTCAGGGCTTCGGGTGAGTCGATGAGCACGCAGTGAAGTACGTCCAGCATGCCGGATCCTTCGCTGGAGGCCTGCGAGCCCAGACGCGAAAAAAGCCAGTTCAAGCGGTTGCTGTTAGCGAATTGAGCGCAGTTCGTGTGGTTGCCCTTGATGATGGCAGCCAGCAGTTGGTACAGGTAGGTGGAAATTAGGTCCCAGCTCTGGCCAGTCTCGTCGCCGGCCAGAAAGCTGGCAAGGAAGCCCTGCGAGGTAATGATGTTGATCTTGTCAATGGCCTCCAGTATGAGGTTGAGCACGCCCTCCTCCTGGAACAGATCTTGACGGTTGCGCAAAGCACGGAAGCGGTTCTGTTTCTCCTCGTGTTCTGTGGGTCAGAAGGAGGTTGTGATTTTATAGCTTTTCATAAAAATGAATTTATTTTGAGAGAGTATCACTCACCCATGTCGTCTTCGGGTTGCGAGAAGTAATTGATCAAGTCCTCCAGGCACATGACCATCTCGTTGAGGTTGACCTTTTGGAAGAAAATGGAGTGTCGTCGGTTGGACTGCAGCGTTTCCAAGGCCCTGAAAGAATATTTTGAATAAGAAAACTCTCTAGAGAGAAGTCCTGTCAGGATACCCACGTAATAAACTGGGTGAAGAGACTGCTGCACTTGCGGATAACACGCGCTGTCTTGGACTCCTCCTCCTGAGAGCGTGAAAAGTCGAGGCAATCGTCCATCTTGCCCTCCTCATGCAAAATGGCCTGCTTCTCCTCGACCTTGCCAACGCCCTTCTTTTTCGTCTCATAGCTCTTGTAGCTGAGCCACAGGCTTGTCTCACAATGCTGAACAATGACGGTGGTGTCACCGTACTTAATGATCGGCGAGCCGATCACTTCCAGGTCCTTGTCCTCGAGCACCTTCTTCTCGTCGTCCTTTTCCTGCCGCAGGCAGAAAGTCGTCGTCGCGATCGAGGCCTCCTCCTTCTTCACCAGGATCAGTTCGTTGCTTTCGTTGACGCCCAAATAGCGTCCAGTGGTTATGTGGCGAATGCGCATCGGATGGTACCAGTTGATGAAGCCGCCGGTCCACTTGGTTCGTGCCAGTTCCAGGCGCCACAGGGAACGTGCCTGGGCCATGACCACGCCGCCCTCGTAAATTACAATGCTATTTCCAGGGGGTTACAGGATTAACTTAATCTCCTGTTCAGGTTTATGGGGACACTCACTTTGTTCCTGGCTCACGACCCCAGGTACTGGGTATGGTCAGGCACTCGTCGCCGCCGTGAAAGAATCGCAGTACATCGCCACCAAAGACATAGCCCACATACTTCATCCTGGAGATACCGGTGCCGTAAGGCTGCACAGACCAGTGGGTGACGTGGAAGCTGGCATTCACGATCGATTGCTCGTTCTCCTTGGTGGTGTGCAGATAGCGTTCGGTGGCCACCGACACCAGGATCAAATCGTCTCCGACGCGCACCTTCTCGCCCTCGGAGCGCTGCTTGCTCGCCGGATGCACTGTCCACCAGCAGGCCTCGCCCTGGCTGTGCTCCTGCAGACCCACGTCGAAGGACAGCTTGTCGTTCGACGAGGACGTGGACAGGCAGGCCAAGTACTATAATAAAGGAATCGATTAGTAGTCTTTGGAAATTATTTAGCCTGAGGAGTAAGTACTCACCATATCACTGTTGTGATGGCGGAGCAAAATGGCATTGCCGTAGAGCAATGTCCTATGTCCCGATCCGGTTCCCTTGCCCTAGGAATTGTCGGTAAATGGATTAGATACTGCTGGCAGGGTCGCCAGTTTTCGGGGAGCTCAGCTCGGGGGGTTGGAACGACTACACTACGGTCAACTAACTACTGCATAACACTTTGGAAAGTTAAGTATTTACGGGGTTAGGGTGCCAAATGTGCGAATGGTGCAGTTGGTTAGATCAATGGAGTACTCCAGACAGAGAAAACATCTTGAAATAATTGTTATCCTTTGGTCTTTTTTGTTAATTTTGAATTATTAATTGCCTTTCGCAATCTTTAAATTTGCTCCATGAGACTTCTCTGAGGTTTTAATTACTAAATAATTAGGGAGAGACAAAAAATAGCTATGAAACAAAGTAAATAAGATTCAAATTTGTTATTTAAACGATTTGATCAAAGCCAACAACTATTATTACAGTATTTCAACAATTACTTCGATGTTTTCTCTGGGCGGAAAAGGAACATGGATCCCTATTCCAACGGTACTCCTGGCATATTTCGATTTTATTCACCAAGTTAGGAGCGCTGAAGCACCAGAGGCCAGGTCTGGTCCTACGTGATTCGATTTCCCTTAGGAGGGAGAGTTATTGGAGCAGATAGCTCCGTTTTGTAAGGATTAATCCCGCAGAGAAGATATGAAGAAAGCGGTAGCAGAGCGATATAGAACGAGCGCAACTTTACACGGACAGAGTGAGACAGATAGTAAGAGAGAGCGAGAGAGAAAGAGTAAGAGAAAGAAGAGAAGCGCGAATACGAGTTAAAAAAAAGAAGAATTGAACGGTATACTTACAACTTGACTATCCTGTTTTGTGGGTATTTAGACAAATTTTGAAAAATAACGAGAAATTGATAGGTTATACAAAATGTGTAGAAGAGAAGACAGAGACGGGAAAGTGGAGGCAGCGTGGAGAAAAGGATGGGTTGAGCATGCAGAGAGTGACCTAAGCACGAGTAACTGGGAACTGATAAGTGATAACTGATAGTTAATGTCACGGGATACCAAAGCGACATGGATCACACAACATAACAAGGGGTCGGGACACAGTACTGAACGAAATGGATGCTCGGGATTCCCTTGGATCGCGATGAGAAAGAGAGATAGAGACATAGAGATATATCCGCGTGATCCGCTTGATCTCGACCGGTGGATACTTACCGTCTCGGATCCGGCCGCCGTCACCAGCTCCTGCAGAGCACGCACGGACAGCGCCTGCTCGATGACGAAGACGCACTGCGACAGATCCGGCGGCACATTCTTGTCGGCAATGTTCTCGAGGAAACAGTGCCGGTTACCAAATCCCTCGGCGGCCAAGCAGACACGCTCCCCCGTCGCCGTGCAGGAGAGCGTGACCATGTCCTCCTACAATGGGTCATAGAAAGGATACATTGTGAAATCGGCGTCTTGTGTGATCTTTTATATAAGATATAGGAGCTTAATTGAAAACAATTACCTTTAATTGGAATAAAAATTAATTTTCTTGAATAACTAATTCTTTTATAATTTCTTTAATTACTTAATCGATATTTGTGTATATATCTAAGTTGAATAACATGGCCTATATACATAACAATAATGTGATTTATTCTCTTTAAAGCCGCAGAGGCAAAGCAATAAAAACGTATGCGCGTTATGCATCTTGTTCTTAAAGAGTTATTCGTGGATCCAATTTCATCAAAATTGCTTTGCATTCTAAGCTTTGGAAATATGTAAAACATATTGCATCATGTTTTATCCAAGTCTAATGTTAGGAATTTAAAACAGATTTTCCTAGTTTCACCTCTCAAATCAATACTATGTATTTTCCTGAAATTTGACTATTTGGACTACTCTACAGATTCACCTGCAGATTAGTTTGATGTCTGATTCATTTCTCTTCTTGTACCGACTGTGTTCTAGAAGTGAGTTAAGGAATGAACCAGGAGTTTAGGCAACAATTAAGTCATTAAGAGGCCCAAAGTTGTGCTGCAATTTTAATGAGACTTTGGCAACAATACCGACCGGCAAGCCACCGCAATGCCAATTGGCATTTGCCTCCTCTAACCCCCGAACCCCTGAACCCCCGATTTCTCCGAATCGACCCGTAGTCCGATCTGGGATGGGATCCCTGAAGCCTTAGGAGGCTGGGGCGATGCACACACGCAAATTGAGGGAATTGTTACAAGGCACTGAATGTGCAAATGAAGGGCTAGTCGAAAGCTGGGTGGCGGTGGCAGTGGCGGTGGCGGTGGCGTTGGTGGTGCTTGGTAGGTGTTCTTTTCCGCCCAGCAGGGAGGAGATGTGATTTTCGGCCGCTGTGAGTGTGTATGAATGCGAGTGTGTGTAGTCGAAGTTAAATGAACGGTAATGGATTTCGAATCGAGCAATTTGCATAATTTAAATGCGAATGAAGTGCCGAATCCTGACGCAGCAGCCCCATTGTCCTGCCCATCTATTTAAAATTTAAACCCGTCTGACCACATCCCGGCTTTGGCTGGCTACCCAAAAACTACACTGCTCAATGACTCAATTTGCATTTGACTTCATTTCGATAAATGTTTTTGCAAACTTGCACTTTTCGGGTCACTCGCTTGTGAACTGTAAAGTTTTCAAAATGACACGCAAAAACTGGGAGAGAGACGGGGAGCGAAGAGTGGAGGCGGAGGGAAAGCAAATAAGCGTAATTTGACATCGAAGGACATCCCCGGAGAGCTGGAGTCCTGTGTCTCCTCCATCGGGTCTTCGATATTTATTGAATTTCTGTTGCGGTGAAAGCGGTGGAAACGGGCCTGCGGGCTTCGGCCGGGACTGGGACTGGGCTGAAGGGACCTGGCCAAGTGATACAAGGATGTCCGTGTGGGTGCGATTCGCAAACTCAACTTTTGCCCTTAAACGTATTTATTTATTGCGGCAAGGTGTCGCTGCTGCTGACCTCGCTGACCCCCAGAGGGAGTGGATGGTTGTGGGCGTTGACTGCGGATGATGGGCGTGAGGAAAAGGAAGCAACACTATTTACTTATACCCCATAATGGCTGTCATTTGGCGCACCAGCTGTGGGCATTGATATATAGCGGCATTTGTCAGCTGACGATGTGTTCATCGAGCCGGCCGTCCCTCGGATACCTCGAATCCTTCGAGCCCAGCCTTGCCCTGGTCCAGACCTCGCCAACTGGGCTATGTAAAGTGGGAATCAGACGAAAAGCCAAGGCCCCTGGTGGCCGTGATTGAATTTGTGACTCGAGTTTTGTATTTATTGTGTGCCATAAACAAAAGTTAGGGGCGCCTATAAATATGCATTACATATACAGAGGGACAAGGGAGGATACAAGAGAGGGAACAGGACATCTTTTATGGATTGCCGGATATTTTATGACACCAATTGTGAAAAATCCCCCATGGATTTTATTGAGTGGACATAATTGATTTTAGATGATCTGGCGTTGTCAGTGCAAGTGGATGTGAAACAGGAGCACTCAGCAAAAATAATGCAATTGGATTTCGTTTTTAATATTCGCAGGATGAATTTACAATTTTGGTAATAACAAGTCTTGTTATGGCTTTGCAAAGTTATTACAGTTATGTCCATGTTGTTTGTTTGCTGTTACTATGTTGGTGTCATGTCGAAATGACAGAATTCAACTCTCAACTGGTTTTTGACCAGAATATGAAATATTTATATTGAAATGGAATCACAATCTTAGAAAAATTACTCATTTCAGTACTTTTCGTGTACATTTTTGTTTTTATAAATTTCATTATTTCATTCATTACTTATCAATTAATTTAAGCAATTGCGCATGAAGTAATTAAAATTTTGTGAAATCCTCTTTGAAATTGTATAATATACTAAACGAAATTCCAAAAAATAAGTTTTAATGTATTAAAAAATATGAACTAAATTAAACACAGAAATTATTATACCCTTGCATCATCATAACCCAGGCAAAAATTAATTAATTTCCACTCGGTAACCTTTTCTTTTCTAGTTTTTATTAGGTTAACAAAAAGGGTTATTCAATTTAAAATTAACATTTTGTTTTCGAATTTTGACAATTTTGACTATGTAACCCCTTATAAAATGTTAAAAAAATTTATAAAAAACTTATTCTTACGGATATGGCTCGACAGGTGATGCTGATAAAGAATATATATGATTTATAGGGTCGGAAATTACTCTTTCACTGTGTTGCATGCTTATGACTGAAATTAAAATACCCTGCATAGGTATAAAAACTTAAATACACTAATTACAAATTATTTTAAAATCTATAGCATACAATTTCTCTCACAAAATTTCAAGATAAAGCTACAAAACTAGTTAAAATTAATCATTGAATCATTGAATAAAATAATTTGTTTGAAAATAATTCTTTTGAGAAAGTTTTGCTTAAAGTTTCTGAATACAAGATTATGCATACATTTTTAAATGTACACCAAAAGTTGCTAGGTTTTCTAACTTAAATATATTTTTCTACAAATCCAAAAATATTTATATCAATATAAAGTATACAGAATTTCTTTTACGTGTAGTGTAGGACTTACCGTTCTAAGGAATGAAACATCATCCTGCTCGGAGCCTCCCTCCGCCTCAGCCATTTCGTTTGGTTAACGCAACGACCGCAGCGCCTCCAAATCGGAATTTATATCGCAGCGGCGTTTGGAATTCAATTGTTTTGGGATTTCCCTTTTGGCGAATCCGAATCGGTTTAATTTCCTTTGGAAGAGAGAACGAGAACGGAATTTGTTTACGGTTAGAATCTACGGCAACCGAAATTGTTTACACTTGTCGTGCGCGACTCAAGAATTCTCGGCGAGGGTTTTTTAATGGGCGAACAGACTGCTCGAGTGCCACGAACTTTTTGTTTATATTTTGGGAAATCCCCCGAACCCCACACACACGCACACAAACACACACCCGCGCTATTACGGACCAACGTAGAGCGAGAGAGTTCGCCGTCTCTCTCTCGGATTACTTTCTCTTTAGTTCGGGTTTTTTGTTTTGCTTTCTCTTGGCGAACAACAGCTGATTCACTCGGTAGTTCCGTTATGTTATTTTCGCCTTTGCTTTGCTCGCCACGTTTTTTTTTTATATTATATTTTTCTTGTGTCACTTGCCAAATTCGCCCCGAAATTTTTTGTTATTTGTGTTTTTGTCGGTTTGCTTGTAATTATTTGGGAATTTGTGTTGCATTTAAATATGTTACTGCCTAGGCAAGGGGCCAAGAAATGAGCAGAATAGTCGAATAAGAATAAGAGTGTTGTTTAATTGGTTCTAAAGTGATATTACAAGGGGTTTTAGAATTCTAAAGACTATCTATTATATGATACTATATTCGAAATGTATATACATATGTATATTTGCAATTATGCTACAGACCTATAACTATAAACTATACATCCCTTTTTTTAACTAACATGATACAATTACAACGATTCTTTTAGGTATTATTGATTAAATCAAAACTAGTTGATTATCATTAAAAATTTGGTTTTAATATATATACTCGTTAGCGAAAGAAGAAATAAAGAATGCATGGGATAATCTCTCCATATCGAATAAAGTTAAACTTACAAATTTAATGTTCACTTATGATTGTGTATTTCTTTCTAAATCGATTAATTAAATTTGATTTGATTTAAAAATAATAAGTATTTAAGTTCGTCAGGTTCGGGTCAGGATAGTTAAGAAACAGAACTTTACTAAATGTACTCTTTTCGTAATAATTTTATTTAAGAGTAGAGTATTTTTGGCTTTCTACTATGAGTATTAACATAATCTTTAAAATTTTTTTGGATCTTTTCGATTTTCAAGAATGCCATAAATAATTTAATGATTTTTCGGTATTCATAAACAATCGAACCAAGTAAACTCAATAAATATAGTGAAAATACAAGCAAACTCTATCAAAACTTGATCTCAAAAATACTGTAAAATTAAAAAAGCTTATTAGGATACTAATTTCAGATTCAGAAATTCCAGAACACAAACTGTTCAATAATCCTAATAAGATATTAATCCTATAACGATTTCGACTAATATTGAACTCTAAAAAGGCTCTAAGAATGCTCAATAATCCTCAATAATAGAGATATACAAAAACCCGCAGTAATAAAGCATGAAAAATTCAGCATGTGAATAAAATATAGACATATGTATATAGAGCGTTCTGCTTGCGGGCAATCGAGCTAATAAAGTGCTTGTGGATTAGGCCAATCAAATGTATCCCTAATTTCCGCTTTTTAGCGTGCTTTCCTCGGGTGTCTGATTATAGTATGCTTTCTGGGTGGGTGCCAACGTTACTTTGCGGACATGGCGTGCTCGGGACACACACGATATATTTAGTTGCGGCACTTGTGCATATATTTAGTACGTATATTTGTGGATTTATGCGTTGTGTCGCCGTGCAACATGTTGCCATTCCGAACTTCTACCGACCGCCCCCCCTCCCGGCGAATTCTAATTAATTGCTCGCTGGTGCGTGGAATTGGCTCGATTGCCAGAGCTTATCCTTGGGCAAGGACTTTTGCGATTTTTCTCCACTGATTCCACTGGCGGCAGTCTGTCTGCGAGGCTCTTGCGAGATTTGCGAGGCGACAGATAAGGCGGCCATCGGTAATCCAAGGGTCCGATGGCACGCAATGCCGCCATTTTGTGGCTGTGCCGCCACCCACAAAAACACACGCACACGCACGGATATAGTATACCACTCGGGATTGTTCATTAGCAGAGGTGTCTTTGTTTTCTCAAAAGATAGATCTCGGATTTGGTTGTTGTTGTTGCTGTTGCTGTTGCTGTTGCTGCTTCGGTTGCTTTGGCTCCTCGAAATTCTCTAACAATTCGCTGGCTTTCAGCGGGTGTCGTGTGTTTATTTTTGGTCCAACCGCCGAACGAAGTACCGACCCGAAGACGAGCACGGCGACCCGAAGGCGCACACATGTCCAAAAATATCACACGCAAAGGCCTGGGCAGCGCACAAAACTAGAGCACTTTCCGAAATTTTCATCAGATTTTCAGATTTTCATATTTTTTACTTATTTTTCATTTTCAGATCGACGGAATTATAATTGCAAATCTTATGCAACGCACACACCACCACCGATTTTCGCCCTGGAGCCGATAAACTCCGCCACGTGCTCGCCGAGAGGGCACGCGAGGCGAGGGCGAGAGTTTTGGGGCATGGATTTTCCACGGTTTCCCCCAGTTTTCACTGGGATTTCACCCCGGCGCACATATAGATTCTATACTCGATGCTGTCGGGGCCCAGCAGAAGCACGGCGAACTTACTTTTCGTGTCGATATTACTCTCTAGACTGACGACGAGCCCGTCGGCGGCGACTACGAGTGCAGAATGATGAGCGATGTGGCGATGGGGCGGCGAACAGAGCGACCAATGCTGCGGCACGCAATTCGCAGCAGCCGGAACAGTGGTACGAAATAAAGCGAAATAGTGGAAAGATTTGAGAGGATCCAAATGTGACTCCAATGGAGGGTATTACTATTGTTTAGGGTCCCTAAAAATGTTCTACTTATATCTCTACAAATTAGGTTATGATTGATATATATATTTGTAGAAATTAATCTTTAATTTTTTAGTTTATTTCTAACAATGCTCTACTTGAATTCTTAATGAGTTATAAATAAGAGCTCTGCAAAATATTAAAATCTATTAGAAAGAATTATTTTGGTTATGTTTTTTGTTCATTGAGTATACGTCTGACGTTTTTGCAGTATACTTCCAATCAATCTATGTGTAAACACTGAATTAGGGAATTGGCTTTTCATTATATTCCTTTTTATTGTTTTTTATATTATTTATATATGAAAAATAGTTCCAGGTTCTTAAATGTTTAGCTGCCATTTTTGCAATAAAATTGGCAATGCTAAAAAAGGGTAAGCAACCATAGTTGTAATTGACTTAAAAATATAATTTATAGAGAGTTAATAGGTTGTTGGCATTTTCGTGTATAACTCCCAATGATTCTATATACAAACCTCACTAAACGTGAAGGTTTTGTTCGTTTTTATAAATCACCAACAATGAGAGAAAAAATTTTTTTTCAAATTTTCATTCCATTTCCACTTACTTTTCCAACTCAAGGACACAGTGCGGCGATTCTGGCCCGAAGCGTATTCTCGCTTTTCTCGCCGGCTTGCCGTGTTCGCCTACATTTTTCGCCTCGCCGCTTGTTGCTTGTTTGCCGCTCGTACAACCACACACACACACACACAGACTCACTGACATCCTTTCTTTTTCTCGCTCTGATTGCTTCTCATTTTTTTTTGGGGGCCTTTGGCTATTTAAATCAGCTGTTTGGCAGTTCGTTTTGAGGAAATGCCGAGTACGAGAGTCTGGGGAAAATAAATAAAAACATTCCGTTCGCGAATCTTGAAAGGTTTCTCGATATTTTCGTATAATTGCCACAGTTTGTGTGTTGCCGGGTGTGTTCTACTTGCATTTGTATTTCATTCTTTTCGTTTTTTGAGTGTCTGCCAAGACGCCAACGGCCGACGACGGCCAACGTCGCGTCAGTTCATTATGAGATGCTGTAATAAGCGTGTTAAAAATAAATCATACACATATGATGCGGTCAAATATATCTCTGTTCATTCAACTTGAACTTGCCAGGTTTTTAATGAATGAAATGAAATCATATTTTGCAGCCGCAATTCGTTTCTTTGATTCCTTTTGGCTTTTGCCTTCGAAATTTATTCTTTGCCAACTGAGAGTCATCGTCATTGGCTTGGATGCGATGCGTTCAGGCGGAACATCTTGAGATATTTTCTATTTAGTCCGGTTGATGATGGGTGGCAAGTAGTTGGATGCAGGGCCGAAGACGAGGGCTTTTCCCTAGTACAACATGGCGTATGCGTAATTTGAATTATTGCGCATTTCATTGCGAGGCCTCTCGAGTGAATTGCCTTCGAAATAATCATGTACACGGGGAGAAAGTATATTTTAAATGGGTTTTTACTTGTGACTCATGACTCATTATGTGCAAAAGATGTTTTTAGGGATAATCTGGCTGGGAACTTGAAAATAATCAAAAAGAAATCAAACGTCGCAGAGCCAAAGTTTGCAAATAATTGCTGTTTGCAATTGAATTATAGAAACGTATCGGAAATCGATCCCAACTAAATTGAAAATATTCGCATTCTTTGAATTGACATTTATCGATATTTTTATATGACAATTCAAAATTTAAAAACTCATAACAAAGTCAAAAAATCATGAATTTCAATTCGGAAATTCAATTACATTTACAAAACTTACACTTTTTGCCGAATTTTGATAATTTTAGCGATGTAACCCCTTATAAAATTTTGAAAATATATCAAAAATTACAAATGGCTTTTTTATCCCTGAAGTGGCTATATCTTCTCGGCTTTTAATGCTTTTTTTATTTATGGTGTCGGAAATAAATCCTTAACAGTTTTCCAAGCTTCTGACTTAAATTCAAATACGCTGCAAGAGTATAATAATGAATATAAACTAAATGATATTGATCTGGGAATTGGATTTTATATTATTATGAAGTTTTATTGGACTATTATCAAAGACCATTAAATATATTTATTTATACCCTTTACTTGTGTTACTTAAATTCTAAATTCCCATTGAAACTGACAAAATTTTTGGACTCTTAAATTGTTATTCTTATATGCAATAAACAACATTTACTCAGTTTTTAGGCATTTCTCTGCTAACAATTTCTCTCAGTGCTTCAAAAGCTGGCGGTTAAGATTACGTCCCACACAAATTAGCCAAGTGTGAGGCTGCAGGGCTCCGATAAACTGCATTGCCTCGAAATGAATTTGCGCAAAACAATGGGAACCGGCAAAGAAATCGGATGATTCTGGTTGCCCCAGACCGCTGTCAGAGCAGCACAAAGGATGCAAGGATGCAGAGCATGATGTTGTTGTTGATTCCGGTGCTGCATGCATGTATGTATGTATGGAGCAGGACCCTGCCCCAGAAAGGAATCCAATGTCGGCAAGATCGAGCCAATTGTGCAGGCAGCCGGAAAAGAAGAAGTGCGCAAACTTATAATCGGCTCTTTCTCAGTATCTGTTTGTGTTTTGGGTCGGTTGGCCGCAATTCATTACGGCGGGGTCTGCGGTTTTTCCGGGAGGATTGCTGGATGCCCAGGGTTTCGGGTGGGGTCACTGAGTGGGAGTGAGTTTAGAAAAGGGAGTGAGTGACTGCGGTGGCTCTGAGCCCCGGTTTGTTTATGCGTGCGGCTTCTTTGATTGTCAGTCGGCAATTTTGCCAAAGGCATAATTGCTATCTATGCCCATTATTGCGGTCCGGACAGCTATCCCCCTCGAGTGCACTGAAAGAAAAAGTGTTGCATTTAGAAAGACGAGTTCTCTAGACCAAAAGTATTATATATTTATGAGGAATATTCAAGTGAACAAAATGTTACAAAATGGACCTCTTCTTCTGTTAAGTATTTTATTCAAAGAAACTTGATAACCTTTAAAGAACTGAATAATTATACAAGAAAACTTTTTTATTTTGTACTTTAAGAAGAATAATTACTGGGCATCAAGTACTTTTGTGTTTTCAGAGTGTGCTTAAATTTGATGGCTAAATTTTACAGTCGCCGCTAACAAAGCGAAAGGAGCTCTCATGTTGCACACGGGGTCGGTCAAGTTTCGTCCCTGATAATTTGCAAATCCTTGCGTCAATGGCCATGACAATGATTATGCCAACGGGAAAGTTTTTCGGCCGTCATTGTTTCCTTAGTGACTTTGGCCCAAAAGTCCGGAGACCTGCAGCACTCAGGCCGCCTTAGCGCGCGCTTTCTTTTCCCGCCTGCCACGCCTCCCCCTCTCTCCCAAACCGAAAAAGTTTGACAAACAAAACTTTTCCATTTACTTGGCCAGATGAACTGTGCGAGTACTTGTGACGTGCATTTCCACGCTGTCGCCACTGAGGTTTGTTCCTTTTGACGGCTCCGCTCGCTGGCCAAGAACCGTAGACACACAAAAAACCGTTTTGTCCAGGTTCGGAATGGGGTTCGGGTCCAAATTCGATTCCGGGGATGAGATTCTGGGACGCCTGTCCAGACGCCGGCGTTGTCACCTGCATTACAATGAAAAAGCCAGAGAGAAAGTTTCGATTGCAAACCTGTAACTGAAATACCCTCGAATACTTTGTATTTACTTTCTTTAAGTATTTGTTAAGTTTCAAAGGCTTAATCCCTGAAATTAAGTACGGGATGGCGTTTCTTAATAAGGAAATGTGTAATGAAATACAAGAAATGTGAATAAAAATAAGCCATATAATGTATATTTATTTCTTTTGGGGTATTTTAGTGCTATGTATCTGTATAGTCTAAAAATGAATCATAATTATTCTTTGGGCTTAATGTGTTTATCTTATGATGAGCTTCTCTGGGTTCTTTTAAATGTTTAAATATTACAAATTTATATGATATTTTTTTGTAAAATACGTTTCTAAGAAACTCAATTGAAATATTTCCTTCTTAATACCTAAAGACAAATATACTTAAAAGACTCTTTCTATATACCTTTCCCTACATTTTTGTATACTTCTTTTTCAGAGACTATATTTGAATTATCGGCATTATTTTCAAAGTATCCTTTGGCTGTGGCTCGTTAGGGGAAATCCTTGAGTATTCCGCACGCTGACAGTTGCCGAGTTGCGGAGCGGAAAAGTTTCGTGTCCGGCGAAATTCGCCAGTACCCATGGTCGTGGCCATGTCCGTAACCATACTTACTTGCCCATTCCATTCAGCTATTAATTGAAGGCCCATCATGGCCAGGCTTCACTTGTTTGCCGTTTGTTGAATCAATTTGCGGCAACAACTGATGAAGCCGAAGTGGTTGTCGAAGGGAGCGGCAGCAGGAGGATAAGCAGGACGAGGAGCAGCACCAGGAAGAGGAGCAGAAGAACGAGAACGAGGAGGTGGAACAGGGAATGGGAATAAATCAATCAATTGCAGCAAGGAATGCTTCTGGCCACGCCCTTTTTCTGGGTGAAATTTTATTTGCCCTTTATTGGCGCCGCTCTCTCTGTTATTCCACGCCCCGCACATGCTATACTTTATTATACTATATCGAATGTAGTATATATGTAACGTAGTCTTCTTCCTTTTGTTTGTTTGTATGTTTTTTTTTTTTTTTTTTTTTTGGCGGAACTAATTAACTTCCATTTAAATGAAAAACGAGCTGCGATTTGTGCCCATCGAATGAGCGTCATAAAGTCAGTCAGGAGAGAATAATGGCCCCGAGTACGCACACATGACCATGCCTCATGCCCGGTGCCCCGTGCCCCATGCCCCATGCCCCGTGCCCGGCGGAGCGCTCAATGGGCCGTATACGTAATTTGAGGCATCCAGACCGACCCAACGCCCTCTCAGTCCTGTGCGTCCTGTGGGTCCTGTGCCACCGAGAGCGAGATGCTGTTAAAATTAATGCCAGCTCGTAAGTTTTACAAGGAATTCAATTTTTTGCACGGCACCAAGAGCAAGACGGATAGTGGATGGTCCTGCCGCCGTCGGTCCACGGAAAAGTTTGGCAGTCGCAGGAAAAGTGTCTTCCCAGGATCTGGATAGCGTTCCGTCCTTATTCCAGCCTTTGTTTGAGTCCTGACACCGCTGCCGCTGAAAATTGATTCGAAAGTTTTGCCATTAAATTGTCCTTTGTGAAGTAATCGGTTGGGCCCTTTGTTCGGGAGGCAATGGAAATGCATTTTCGGCTTTGGTATTCATCCTTTTTTATGCTTTTATTATTCATTTGTTAACAGATCTTTTTTTAAAAATGCAGTAGGTTTCATATGCATTAATTTTCATAGTTTTCTCAATAATGTTTTTTTTGTTCTTTTTCGTTTTAGTTTTGTGTATATATTTGTTTTTCTTTTTGTCAAAGAGTTTTCCTTTGTTTTATACAATTTTACTGAGTGGCGGCTTATGCTTTGAGTTTATGAACTATGCTATGTACTTTTTGGTTTTATCTTCGAAAGAACTTACGCCATGTTAATTATTGTTGTTTTTCCCTCTTGACTACTGTACAATGCCTCAGTTATAGATATATGTATTTATATATATACGCGTACAGACTACATAGAATATATAACTTAATAAGTGTCACAAGAAAACATTCATAATCCGCTTTATACACACACATTCGTCCATTTCGATTGGCTTATTTAGCTGCAGCTGCCTTAGGTTTAATAATTCGAATTAACATTTAACATTAGCCTAGGTTTCAGTATTCAAGTCTTGTGTGTCGTCGCTGCTGCTGCTGCAATTACTCTACATTAATATCGAACGGGGAGGAGGGGATTTCCGAAATCAAACAAAGTTCCCAAAGGGGATTGCAATTAAATCACACATCAATTAAACACAGCGAGAGTGAAACAAGCACACACACATACAATCGAGTTATGGTTCTTTTTTTGTTTTGTTTAACAAATATCTCTTTGGCAAAAATACAAATTGAACAACTTGATTTCGTGTATGGGTTAATTGTTTTAAACATAATTATCTACATAAGTCTTATTTACTTTCCTTCCCCGACATTCGAGTCTGTGTGTGTGTCTAAATTAAGCAGTGTGTATGTAACATTAAGTACGTATTTGGGATCAGATTCAGAAATCAGGGACAAACAACAATTGCCACACATACAGATACTCTCCGTGCGACAAGCTGGGGAAGACATACAAGATTTGTGAGAGGATGCGGATGCAGATGTTTAGAGATACATTTCGTTCGTTGAGTATTAAGTTCGAGTGCAATCAAATATTTATCCCTAAGAAAACAGCGAGTTGGTTGGTTATTCCTATATATGTATGTATATGTGTGGGGAGTTCCCTGCCAAGCTCCAAATTTTAGTGGGGGAGTGGGGTCAGGATCTAAGAGATACGAGTTACGAGTTACGAGACGCGAAATAGTATGCTACGTTTACATCTATGAATTGCAATGACTCTGTATGTCTCTCTCTCTCTGTTTTTTCTGTGTGTATCCATATACCTGCATTTGCCCTTTTTATCGTAATCGTAATCGTTATCGCTATCGTTAGTTATTATTCGTTACTCGTTGCTTTCCTCTCTGCTCTGCTGTGGTATTGTACAATTTGAAAGGTTTTTGGTTTTTTGGCTTGCTGATTTGAATAGTTTTTCGAAATGCTTAGCTACTTAGGTCTACGGATCCAGTTAAATGCTAATTATTAATGCAATTTGGCAGCACTACTCGTAGAGAGATGGAGTACAAGCTATACATTCACATATCTGTTATAGGGAGGTGGCCTCTGTCCCATGTCGTCCCATGTGTCCTTTGACCAGTGTCCCACCACGAAGTGCGAGTCCCATGAAATATGGCCGAGATAATGGCTGGCGAATATTAATGACAGCCACAACAGGTTGTGCGATCCTGCTCCCCCACATCCTGGCACTCCTTATTTTCCCGCTCATTTAACTTTTATCTGGCCACTGCAATCGCAATTATTCAATAGCGGAAATCCCACAGAGGATGTGTTCTCCCAGCCGCCTCGTCTTCATTCTTAATTTCATTCTCAGTTTTCCGCGCATTTTCTTCATTTTCCCCCATTTGGCCCTGCCTTGCGCATTTCCTTTGTCTTTGTCTGTGTCTTCGCGTGCGTTAATTTCAAAGATAATTTCACTTTTAATTACACACTGAAGCGGCTTGGCTGCCTTCGCATCTATTCCCGAAATCAGGGCATTTATTCATTTGCGATAATCCAGGGCCAGGGTGAAGGCTAACCAGAGCAGCAGCTGCAGCAGCAGCACCAGAAGTGTTGCTGCATTCCCAGGATCTGGGAATCCTGCGACTCCAAGCCAGATCCCAGCAATTACAGCCAAATGAATATTAAAATCCACACATTCTACCCCGAGATGCCGCACTGTAATTATGCACAACGCTCGGAGATCTCAAGAACTTTGCTACAAAGTCAAAGATACGGATGCGGATGCGGATGCGGATGCGAGGGCGTACAGTTAACGCTTCCCCCAAAAACCGAACCGCTCCTAGAGATGCCAGAATTGTCTCAGTCCTGGTTCGGGATACGGACTGGCAAAGCTAATGGCATCGCAGGCCAGGATTGGCATGTCACGCTCGCTGAGCTGCGACGAGTGGCAAATGAAAACTGTTTATGTGCGGCAATGCCACTCGAGTGCTGCCCGATGGAGACGGGGACGAGGCCACATCTAGAGCCAGAAACAGAGATGGAGCCAGAAATGTGTTCCTAAGAGATGGAGCCAACTTCTGCATATAATGGCAGCGAGGGCGTGGTCGTATCCCCTTCATATTTGCGGCATCGCACCAGAAGCTACTGCTGCTGAACTCAAATTCCAAGTCGTAATCTTAAGCAAACATTGATTTCCAGATGCGTAAATTTCGCCTTACCACTAAGAAAGTTTTCCTTAAAAAAAAAAAACTACAACTGATTTTGCACAGTGTCTTTAAAGTTGCTATCTCAACTCCCTGGCAAAGCTGCTTTAATCCTGTTTGACTTCAGTGAAACTTCCTTAAGTTGAACTGCTGTATGGATACTTCTTTGTATCATTTAAACTATCTACACTTAAAAATGATCGAAGTTATAAAAATATTTAAAAGAAAAAAGGGTTTTTCTGATCCTGAAAAATTCCTGCAAAAGGAATTCTGGCTTACCAACTAGCTTTATTTGAATACGTCCCACCAAAGTAATAGGATAAATGCACCTTGAATTGTTCTATGCAAGTTTTAAAATATGTTTAAAGTGAATTGAAGAATTTCTAAGCCAAGGAAGCTCCACTGTAGAATCTAGCCAAGTGTGAGGTGTTCCCCAAACCCCCAAGATTCAAAGCTTTCCCGCCCCATTAAAGGGGAAGTGCCGAATCTGGACGAGGGATCTGTAGCTGAATCTGGGGTTCGGGTTCGAGGTCGGGGGTCACCGAGCAGCTAGCGGCTGTCAACCTTCAACTTTCGACGAGCGTGGACGCTCCGGGAGCCGTCCAGGGCAATCACGTGCCCAGTCGACTTGAGCCGAAGCACGTCAAGCGGCGGCTCTGGACCGCGTCGCGTTTTCCACCCGACCCAAGAAAATTTTCAAATTATTTCGCCCGCTTCCTGCCTGCCTGCCTTTCTTCTTTTTCTTCTGAATGCTGCTGCTGCTTCTCCCTCTTCTGCTTTCGGCTAATTAGTAAAACTCTCTGCGAAATTATGCTCACTCCCCCAAAGGCGCCGCCTTATCTAAATAAACACCCAACAGTCGGCGGAGGGAGAGTGAGAATTTGGTGGAAATTTACATAAACTAATTCGCTGGCTGATTTGAATAAGGTAATGGCCGAGAGTGGCTGCCGGACAGGAGCAGAGAGCAGGAATAGGAACAGGAACTGTGACCAGGGACCAGGACCAGGGGACCGTGTCTGGGACTGAGGGACATCGGGACATCGGGACATCGGGACATCGGGACATCAGAGACAGAACCCAGATGCCGAAGAGAAAGCTCCTAAACTAGCTACATCCTTGCGAGTAGGTTGGTTACAGATACAGATACGAGTCGTGGCTTAGGTTAGGCTACTCAGAAACGGGGCTCACTGCCGGTGAGAATCCGCTCCGTGGTGCTGCTGCAGCTGGTGCTGGTGGCCCCAGTTCCCGCCTACAGCTATACGAGATGACCGTCCGCATCAGTGTAGGCCACCGGGATGCCTCCGGCCTGGCTGAAGCTGCTCATGGCCGCCGCCGTTGGATCAAAGGCGCCGCTGGTGGTCATCAGCAGGTTATTGCCCAGTCCGCCTCCCGCCGGTGGCAGGTTCAGGATCTGCAAGCTGCCCATGGGTGCCGATACCGGGACACCCACACCAACTCCAACCAGGCTGGCATTGAGGAGCTGCTGCTGCTGCTGCTGCTGCTGTTGCTGTTGCTGCTGCTGCTGCTGCTTGTTCCTATTGGGATCCTTGAGGATGCCGTGCGGCTGGCGGGGCAACGTGGCCGTGGTTGTGGCCGTGGGAAGACTACCGTTCAGCGTGGTGCTGGTGGTGAGCGTAGAGGCGCTCAGGTTTACCGAATGATGCAGGTCATGGAGCATCTGCATGGGACTTCCACCCACCGCCGACGTATGGTGGGTTACGTCCGGCGGCGGCACACCCACCATTCCGCGCAGGATGCCCCGCCGCAAGGTGCCCGATCCGCCGGCCACCGCGGCCACCGATCCGTTGCCGATGAGCGTGGCGCCACCATTGCTGGCCAGAAGGGCAGCCTGCGAGGTCACCGTCAGGGGCTGCAGGTGCGCCATGGGCAACGGCTGGGCACTGAAGTCCAAGGCAGCCGGGTATTCCTGGAAGAGAAAGATGTATATAATAAAATATTATTATATTGACCAGTAAAGAGAACGTATTACAGCTATATAAACCCTAAAAAATATCACAAAAAAGGCTCAATTGATTTGGCTAACTTCATTGTATTGACCCAAAGGCAGCAACAGGATGTCCAAGGGTCAGTGCCTCAAGGATTATAGGGCCAGTAGCCGTATCCGTTTGTTGGCACGCAAAGTGGCCCAAAGTAAATGCAATTTAAAACAAGTTGTGGCCACACCCAGTCAGAGCTGTGGCACAAACCCCAACTAGAATGGATACGAAAGCCACCCACTCATCCATCCGTTGCGGTGTTTTTGTCCAACCAGCTTGTAACTATTTAAGCGGCAATTTGTATTTTATTGCCAACTTTGGTTGGCCTTCCAAGGCTTCCCGCCGCCTCACTTGGCAATTCCACACCCGAAATGCCGCTGCTTGGCTTTCATTTGGCTGGCGTTGATAAGTTAAATGCTGACTGCCGGACGCAGTTGGAATCCCTATGTGGATGCGGACCGACTACGTGCACATGTGGAGTGGCCGGAGCCGGAGCCAGAGCCGGAGGGCAGGAACTTGACTTCAACCGGACAACTTAACTACGGTTCACTTTGTTAACTTGAGTTCTGCACAGTTTTAAATTCAATTAGTTTTCGTGCGGGCGAACTCCGGCCATTGTCTGACTGCGGAGCTGTCAGCTGCAGGCGGCGGAGCGGGACGGAAAGGGATCAGGGATCCCGAGTCCTTGACAGGGAATGAGTTCCACACACAGCAGGGCGAAGGAGTGCCAAGGCATCCGTCAGATACTTTACGCACCCGGGCGCTGTTGCTGTCATCAAAGCGAGATACGAGATGCGAGTTACCAGATACGAGAGAGAGTGTTTTGTTTTAAAATTCATAGGGGGAGGAGTGCACAGCTGATGCCGATTAAATAAATAAGGGGATCCGCACCCAGGCCATAATTTAATTTTAGCTTCAGCTCAGCGAGACGGTTTAATCACTGAGAGAACAATAAATTCACAAATATATGATAATTGGCAATGGAAATAAATAAGTTTCAGCTTACTCAACGCTTAAACACTTCTCCTTAGCTGGGCTTTAATTTCTTCTTCTAAATATTTAAGCTTGGTACATTTAATTTACTTTACAAATTTTACTTTATCTTCATTTAAAAAGTGCTTTCTTTCAGTGTGGCCTTGGCCCGCCGGCGCCGCTTGGTTGGCCTTAATGTGAAAAGTTTCTTTTTTATGGGCAGTGTAGCCAGCGGAGTGGCGAGTGGCGATGCCAATTGGTTATTCTATTTACACAGAATGAAGTTCCAGCCGCAGCGGCACAACTCCAGAGGCATTGGCAACAATAATGAGCTGCGGAGCGAATTAGCGAGCGCGGCACACAAAAGCCTTTAAGTGGCCAAAAGTTTGCAGGCAAAAACCCTTTGCAGGAGCTGGGAACGGGAACAGGGAACAGGGATCAGGGAGCTGGGAACCCGGAATCCTTCTCGTTGCTCCCAAATCGCCTGGGCTTAAGCCCTGAGCAGCGTCGCGACCGAAGAACTTTTCGTTGAAGACAATTTAACTTTGTAAACTGATACAAATTGTCCGCCCTGGTCTACTTAAGACTACTTGCAATTCCCCGGCCCAATCCCAGCTCCGTTAATCAGAGCTGAGTGTTTTGTATCTAATGTGTTTCTGCTGGATGTCGTCCTGTCGCCGTGTTAATCCTCCAGGACTTTCAATTGGGCAATCGCTGTAAAGGTACGGGGCGAGCATTCGATGCTCCTTAATATTCCAATTAGGTGCACGGGCCAAGTTTGCAGTTCGGAACTCGAAAGTTGTACGTGCTGCAAACTTGGACATGCGGAGCGGCTTCCTCCTCAACTGGCACAAAGTGTCATGTCAATTGAACTGGAAATCCACTCGCAGACAGTTGGTTCTTCCTTTTTATTTCTTTCCTGCCGCCTTCCCAGTTGAGAAGTTCTTGTCAGCAAGTTGTATTGTACACAGAGAGTGCTGTCATAATTATGGCATCGTTAGTGCCAATCTTGGCCTTTTCCAGGCACCACCAAGAGTAGAACCAAAGTAGCCAAAGGATTCGAGGCAGGGACTGGCCCCCTTCTACTCTCTGGTATTTGAGCCGTGGCTTAGAGCTCACTTTTGTTTGCGCCCTTCATTGTTTCATATCTCGGGCGACAGTTTAATGGGAAAACTTTTCCAGCTGAGCCAAACGGAGGAGCTCCTAACCACCGCCGATCGGCTTAGCTAAGCCTACGCCCACTTGAGGCACACTGAGAAAATCATCCAATCAGGATGCAATCGAAGTGCAATTTATTTCATCAAATGAACCAAGAAAGAAGCGTCATAAACAAAGTTCAATTCGAGGAATAAATCAAACAGAGAAGAGAGTCCTCCTCTCGACAAAGTTACATTTATTAACAAAGAAGCTGCTCAATCACTCTGGAAGACAAGGCGTTGGGCTGCCAAATTATCATTCATATAACTGCATATATACCCAGACTGTTGACAATAAATCGGATTTATAAATATATATTGGCCAAGGATTTGAAACATTTGAATCAATTCAAGTCCAGTGGCTATGCCTTATCGAATAAATCAAATACCGGAAACTCATTCGCATCATAAATGGGAAACTCCGCAGAACATAAATTGATTAAGAAGCTGCTCAATCACTTTTCAGCGCTTTGTGATAAACTGGCTAAGCCGAATTGAATCCGCAACCATTGCCAGAGACTCCAGCTCAGTCCGGTGATGTGATGGGCAATTACAATGGAGCCCGGATGGAGGAGCAGCCTCTCTTCGGGGACTAATGTGCAAAGCGATGCTCTAACTTTGTTAGATGGCCATTTTGTTTTGTTTCATTTGGTGTGTGTGTGTTGTGTCTCTATATTCTCTTTTTATTTTGTCAAGTTTTCCAATTGAAATTTAATTTGATTTACTGTTATAAATTGTCCTTATTCATTTACTGTCCGTTTGGATACGTGGCGCAGACTGAAGAAGCCTCAACTGAAACTGAAACAGAAGCTGAAACTGAATCTGAAACTGAAACTGAGACAGATGCTCTCTTCGAAAAGTAATTTAGTGCTGGCCAAATGTTTTCGGTTAGCCGCAGCGAAGGGACTGCTCCTTTCTGTATATTTTGTAATTTTTCTAATGATGTTTATCAAATAATTCAATTTGGCTTCCACACAAAACATTTCTTATGTGAAATGGCAAAAGGCCCCCGCACAAAGCGGAAGGGGTGGTGGGTGGATATATACACACACATATGGGATGTCATTGTTGACCAACTAAACCGAAATTGAATTTTTCTCCCTCGTTGACTAAAAACCGCAAACAAAAGGTTTAGTCCCATGTCGGGGGCGCTGGCAAAGAACGATGACGGAGCACTGGCCAGTGGATACTGGCCACTGGCCACTGGACACTTGATACTGCCAGTCTCCGTCCGACCACATCATTTAACTGTGTACTCTTTGGGACCGGCGCACAATTGAATAACTTAACAAATCGTATAAAGCCCATAAACATGGTCAACTGCTAAGCATAAATATTATTATATTAGCCGGCTGCAGCCAGCTGGTGTCCCGTTTCCTTAGGGGGAGAGCTTACGTACAGTGTGGCAAGAGCTGATTGGGAATGTCCTTTTCAGTTGTAATATATTACATATTTTGTAATAGTAAACTAGAAAGGTTAAGTCTACGGATTTTTTTGCTCGAATAAAATATATTGCTCAGTAGTTTTCCTGTTACGGTGGCCTAACCATTTATGAATGCCCCACAGTATTAGTGTCCTGGTGCTACACTGCTCCTCCTGCTGGTGCTGCATTTTCCCCTCCATCTAATTTATACAATTATTGAGCGTCAGCCAAGTTGATACGACACATAAGTGGCAATGGGAACGGGGCTAACTGTCGTCCCACGTCTGGTGTCATCTTATGCTGTCGCATTTGCACCCCTTTAGTGCCAGGAGTCATCAAGTCCGCCAAAAAGGGGGACACAAACACATCCTTGGACTTACAGCGTTCGAGGGATTCCATAAGAGGAGCGTCGGAAACATAAATTCCGAAAATTGATTTCCCCATGTTTATTGTGAAATTTGCGGAATTTATATTGGCAGCCAATGCGACAACGGCGAATGTGTGTGGCATCCGCCAAGGAATGGACATCGCATGTCCTTGACTAGATGCGGTGTGCTCTTATGGAGGTGGTGGAGCTTCCTTCCCTTCCCTCTCTCTCGCTTTATGAGTGATGGCAGTCCCGAAAAAGGCAAAAACTTTGTCGCATCTGTGGGCGTGCCTTGTCGTAAAAGCGAGCTGCCATACGCGGCGTATGCGTGATATTAAATTGTTGTCAGGGGAGGGAAAAGGGGATGTGAAAATAATGTTTGCTCTCCGCGTTCAGGACAATGCAACAAAGCCAGTTGCCAGTTGCCAGTGCAGTCTGCTTCATGGGGCTTACTTATAACGCTTTTAAGTCCGTCATTTGTCTCTACAGTGTTGCGGATTATAAAAGTCGAAGCGGCGTGCGTTAAATGCCAGCAGGGAGCGATGCCTGAGACACCAGTGTCTCCCTTCCCTGAGATCGATACATGGATTTATGGGGGATGCAAAGTGCCCAGCTTCCCTCTGCTCTACTCCGTGAAAAACTTGGCTTAATTGAGCGAAATAATCCTGGCAGGGACGCGGCACAGCCAGATGGCAGCCAGATCAAAGGAGAAGGTAACTGCAGATGCGGGCAATTAAGCCAGCTGCATCCGCCGTTCCTTCGTTAAGCTTGGATCCCGGCCAAATCCCCTCCTGCTCCTAGCTAGCTGTCGCTCGGTCATTGATCTCACTCACCATGGGCGGATAGGACAAGTATCTGTCGCTGTTCATGTTGTAGTAGGAGCCATCCGGCGGCGGCGCCGGCGACGGGGACGGAATATAGACGCCCTTGCTGATTAGCATCTGATCGTCCCGGGTCATATGGATGGCGGCGCCTCCATTGTTGTGCCGGGGGTGTGGCAGTGTGCAGGCGTTCACTGTAAGAAAAAAAACCAAGGGAATATATATGGATTATATGGCGAAATTCAGTTAATATGTGCTTAAGTCAGAGTGAGCCCATTTTATATGCATTGCTGCTATTTTTTGTGTGTGCAACCATAAAGTCCACTTTAGCCGGCTCTGGGTTGATTTTAATGGTTTACCAATAGCCTCTCCATTTTTTGCGGGGTACGTGCTGTGCTCTACTGATTATTTTCCTATATATTTTCTCCCCTTTATATACGGCGCTGCCGAATGGCCATGGCTTAAGCTTTGATTGCGACCATAAGCGGAGCATACCGCAAATGGAGAGTTGCAAAATGCAAAATGCAAAACACATTCAATTTCCATTTTAAAACTGCAAACGAAGAGCTCTATAAACGAAGGAGTAGGTGCCCCTATATAAACCTCAAACTAGCTTGATCGAATTTGTGGTTTATGGTCAAGATAATAATAGCAGGTCCTTGAGTGTCCTGTATATATATTCCTATACATGTTTTAAATGTTTTCGTAAAGTGTTTTTAATTTAAAACTGTACTAAATGGCCTCTGGGAATTACAGACATTAGGCTCACTGGAATTTTTTTTCGGAAAAGCAACTGTTAAATGGAAAATGGGAACCACACCTGAACAAATGGCCAACACACATGGCTAGCAACAATTTGCGCTGCTCGGTTCTGGCTGATTTCCTGTGCAAACGCTCGGAAAGTGAAAGAAAGCGATGGCCATTAATTGCAATGGTTGCGACACTGCTGATAAGCCCGGCCCAATAAATATGCAAATGTCGATGGAGTCTTCAGTTGGCCAAAAAGGGCCGCTTTCATGCCACCCTGCCACCTGCTTGGGGCGTGACAAATTGGCCAACATACTGCCACGTTTCGTGGAAATCGAGCGTCTGTCAGCTGCGGAGGCGTGAAACCCGCAAACGAAACAAATTCGTAATTTTGTAAAATAGACTTTGACATTACCGGGAGAGGCTGAGAGGAGCAGCAGCAACAATATTTCTTTTCTCTTTTGAGGGGGCAAAGTTGCGAGGCTGCGGCTTGCCTCAGAAATCGAAGGAACCTGCGTTGGGTCCTTGTTCATCCTGCGGCTTGTTTACTTCTGCATATGTGCTCCTGAATGCTGGATGCTGTGGTGCTCCCTCAAAAGACAGTCACTCATGAATTATTGATTTTTCGATCAGCGCCCACCATTGTTGTGCCGAAAAAGAATGCCCGAACGGAAAACTGTATCTTTGTTCCAATTTCGGGTCTGTGGCAGCTGCATAATTGTTGCCCGGGTCAGGACCACTAGCTCCTGGCCGCCAACAAGCAGCTCCAGGCTCCAAGCAACCAGCAACCAGCAACCAGCAACCGGCTCCCAACTCCCAGCTCATCTGATATTAATAACATTGGGCCAGGCCAGAAAGGAGATAAGAAATGCTTCACGTGGCGAATGAAAAATAGCGGGGCCCAACCATGAGCTATAGTCCTTGTCCTCCCTCGGCCGAGGGAGATTTCCTTTGCCAAAGGACACACTTCAAGGCTTTCATGCCGAAAAACTGACAAAAGACAGTCAGACAATTTTAAAATTGATATGTAGAAAATAATAAAATGATTATTTATAAAGTAAATATTTGAAATATTATTAAATTCGTTTAGAAATGAAATATTCACAGGATTTCCCAGGAGGTCCAAGTAAAAATCGTATTGCTCTTGAAGTTCAATGAATTAATTTAAAATATTACAATACTTCAAAGTTAAGGCAAATATTTTAAAGCATAATAACAAGGTTATGCAGAAGTGCTAAAAAATGTTGTGTGGGTTTTAAAACTTTTAAAAAGTTGTCCAACTTTATCATATTGATACGTAAAAAGAATTTAAAAATTTTCATTTAATATGTATTTTTAAATTTTCCTTAAAAATAACAGTTTTTTGTTGAAATGTTTTATTATTTTAATTTACTTAACGTTCTGATGTTTGATTTTAAAACTGGGTGTTAGGTTCAAGTACCTGATTAATCAAATTTAATGGAGATAATTAAAAAAATCAAAACTAATTTAAGGAAATGGAAAACATAGTTTTATTTTTAGCGAAACATGTGCTAACATATGAGCTCCTCCAGAGGCTCTTGCACTCTCCCAAGGTCACAAGTGGGTCAGAGCCACAGACTTGTTGCTTTAGGCCAACGCTCATTAACATGGCAGCGTGTGGAAAAGTGTCTCATTAAAAGCGCGGCTCTCTGGCTTTTCCTCGCGTATGCATTACCATGGAAAATGGTAAATGCTAAATGAAATTGCAACTGCCTCCAAGGCAGGACAAGGGAAAGCCCTTGGGTCTGCGGTGTGGTTGCTTGTCATCTGGTTTTTTGTCAATGGCTCAGACGGCATCACACCTCCCTCCCTCCCTCGTAATTTAAAATCCAGGAAAAACAACCAAAAAATAGAAGAACCAAAAAGAAAAGCTGTTAAAAAATGTGACGCCAACTAACAAAAACAATTTCCGCTCGCCCCGCCCCCCCGTTGAGCTCATGTGCATGCCTCCGCTTGCCTGAATTTCCCTGCACCATGGTTCCGCTTTCCTCGCTTTTCCGCCCCCGCTTGGAACAACAGCCTTGGGCCCGCTTGTTTGAGATTCAGCTTCCGGCAAGCATTTTAATTTTTTGTGCCACGTGGGGGGACTCCTTCGCACCCTCCTCGCCGGCGTCTCCTACATTCTTTTTCCTTTTTCTTCCTACTTTCGTATCGTCCTTTCTTTCGCCGTTCGGCGTTGTCTTTGTTGTTCTTCTCCCTCGGCGTGTTTTCTTTTCAGCTCGTTCTGCTTCGCTCTTGTTGTTGTTTCGGGCATAAAGAAAATGGCGGTACTCACCGCACACACACCCAAACACACACCCAAACACACACACACACACAGAGAGAGGCACACAACCACAACAGCACACATACGTAATTATGCGTGTCGCCGCAAAAACCTCGAGGTGGAAAAGCGGGCGGAAAAAGTGGGCGGCAAGACCTTGTCTTGGGTTTATCTATTGTGAACGGGACATCCGTTACACGGTAAGAAAATTTTTGAATTATACTTGGATGAAGTAGGGGATTTTTTTAATAAATGTTGTTTATCGAAACTTTATACTTAATTAGCGTACATCTAAGTTATAGATGTAGATTTAAAATTGATTGAAAAGTATCCAAAAGATTGGGATAAAATATATTCGAAAAGGAAATAGGAAGTTGTCAATTAAATATATAATGTTTAAATTATATTTTTAATATATTATATTTTAAACCATATTTTAAGGTGTTAAAGAATGGTCGTAGATGTAAAATGCATTAAAACTTATCAACAAAATCAATTGGTAATTTAAAAATAACAAAATTTGTATAAGGCCTTTGATAGAATATTAATTTAAATAAAAATCACTGTGTTTACTAAAACATCACTTTAAATTTTACGAGAAATATTACCGAAAAAACAGCAAGAAGTAAAAAATTATACATTTTAGAGTCTCAAATGAATATATTATATCACAATTTGTAGTATGTATAATATAGGGCAGGGAATTATTTGTTTTGCAAATTATGAAACTTTTTTCATATACCAAAATAAGTATTACCGAAAGCCCGTTTAGGAGTTTAATTTAATTGCAAGTTATCATAATTAAAAGGTTTGACTTTTATTTGATTTAAAAAACTGCGAGTTTTCGGTGCAACGTATATATATACCTGAAATCCCATCGAAATGGAGATTATCAAGGACAGAATTTTTCTGTAGCTCTAAAATATATTTGTGATAGAGCGGGGAACAAAGAGGGAAAGCGCTTTCCAAAAATTTTCACATCGTTGACATAAGGTAATTGTATTTTTTATGCCACAGTCTGTGGCTCTCCCTTCCGGGGGATAAGTTCTGCAGCTAATGTATTTTTATTATTTCTACGCTTTTGCATTTAAAATGCATTTTCTGCTTTTTGTTATCATAGAACTGCTGTTGTTCTTCCAGCTTCGATGCTTTGATAGACAGCCATAGCGGTGTCTATCGTTATCCCCATCTCTTTGTCTCGGTCTGGGCCTGGGTCTGGGCACAGGACTTAGCCACGGTCCAAGTCAGGGTCCTTTTCCTCGATTATTATTCTTCCATTTCCATTTTTCGGTTGCCTTAAATTTCGGCAACTCGAGGTCTGAGCATTTTTCTTAAATTAGCGCAGGCCGCACGTGATTTGGAGTCAGCCTTGAGCCATATATGTATGTACCCGGTATATAGCTTCATCCTTACATACGTCAATTGAAAATCAAGACTGACAAAAACTTTGCCGTTCAATTACAATTAAGATGGAGATGTTGTGCTGGAATTGAATTTTCAGCTCGCCCACTTTCGTCCTTTTGCCGCAAAGCTCTGTATATTTATTTCTCCTCGTTCACTTCCCTTGCAGCTTTTTACGATTTTCGTTTCCCCATTTTTTTGGTGCTCTCTTTTCTTCGAACATTTGCTTTGATTGCGCTGCAATCATGGCATAAAAATCAACCCAAAACGAGTGCAACGGGGGGCAATAGAGGGTTAAGAGCGGGTCTGGTCTGCTTGAGTCTACTGACGTCCTGACAGCGCGAGTGCCAGCTCCCAACTTTGTTTTGCCCAAAAGTTAATTATCTAAAGCGTTTCTTTTTTCGCTTCTTAACTGAGGGATATGTATGGCTCTTAATGGGGTATTTTAGAGGATCAAAAATATAGCTTTCGCTATTGTAAAAAACGTATTCAAGATAAGATTTAAATAGGGTTTAACTTAAAAGTAAGGGAATCTCTAAAAGAAAACTTTAAAAGGACTTAACCCTCCCTACTCATCTCTTAAAGGTGTCAGTTCTGGATCTTCTCCAGTATCAACTTACCAATATTATTCGGATATATGACTGGCAGGGTGCCATCCTTTTGGTATCTGGGCGGCGGCATATCCGAGCCTTCCACCAAGTACGTGGATGCCGCCTTCTTGCGCGCCTCGTCCTGCGAATGGATAAAGACAGAGAGAAGGATGTGGTGAGAGACGGTGCCGAGTTGAGAGGGTAGCAATGGGTAGCCGGGTATATATCAATTTATATTCTCATTCCCATTTGAGTAATGCCCCGTAATTACTCCACACTTTGCTTTTTGGCATACTTTGGCAATGGCGTTGAAAGTCGTTGGCGCGTAATTGACAGCCACAATGACAGCGGCGACACACGGACAGCGCGGAGGCCGAGGACATCGGGCGCGGCCAGGACATGGGCTGCGGGACAAAAACCCAAGGACAAGGACGAAAGAAATCGAGCGGGGATATGGTGGGGCTGATATAGGGGGCTGATTTATAACACGCGCGGTCGCAGTTTACGCACTTTACATACTTTCCGTCGGCTTCTGCGGGTTAGGCAGTTGCTGCGGTTTTCCTGCCGCTGCAAGATTACGACGATAATAAATGATTTTAATAATTTGAAACGATTTGTTTGAAGCAGCTTCCCTGTCTGTCTGAAGTCCCTCCCCCATCTCCCTGTGCCCAGCCCGGACCCAGTTTTATCCGGCGTCTTAGCCAACTCGCGAGCTCATCATTATCATCATCAGCGTCGCGTAATTAATCACGACGTCTTAGCGACGACGTCGGCCTGCCGCTTCCGTTTCCGCCTCGCTGGTCGGGTCTGGGTCTGGGTCTGGTCTGGCACTTCCTGCCTTTGGCTGGAAGCTCTCGTTTCGAGCATTGGTAATAATTGAAAAGCCAGGGCCGCAGGGTAGGGATTTTGCATCGTTGACCAGCCTCAACATTGGGGGGGCATTGAATTGACTGGCAGGAAGCCTTACTTCGTCTTAAATTTATTTTGAGGCTTATTAACTGCTTTGTTCTAGAAATATTTGTTTCATCTCTTGAATCAACCTGAAGGTATTTGGGATTTTTCTCATTTATTTTTGGATATTTTCAAATCCTTTAAAATAATTTTTTTTATGGTTTATATACAGGTATGGTTTTCCCTAAAAAATGGAATCTGTCTCTAAAAAACCCGCATATTTCAGTCAAAATGTTAACTAGTTTAGTGTTTGAAGCTACAAGGGCTGGATAATCCTGTTTGGTGAAATGGAAATGAAAATATTTGACGGAAAATCTAAAAAATAGTGTTCGTGTAAGAGTATACGGGTATGTATTTTTTTTACTTCTTCCTATTTATATTTAACAAACAAAACCTTAAACTCTATCCCTTAAAAAAAAAGTGCCCTTGAAATCTGGGAGATTGACAGGCCGTAGTACGGACCGAGAAGAAAGCAATATTTAAAATGAATGACTTCGGGGGAGAAAAAAAAAACGCCAATGGAAATGCCAAGTGACGACGCCCCTGCACTCCTGCAGGACATCTATTTAGCAATGGAAAATGCCTAAAATGCCAGGCGATTTTCCACTGCTGGGCACCTTCTCCCTTATTTTTTCTCCCCCCTTTGACGTTTTTGTGCCCATTCACAAATTGCATATTCATGCTCATCCCACAGAAAAAAACGAGAGCGAGAGATGGAAAAGCCCGAAGGGAAAGGGGGAAAAAGGGGAAAAGCTGGAAAAAAGGCATAGGACTAAAAAATAGTTCTGTTCCGGGCATACTCACAATATATTCGGGCTGGCTGCTGCCCTCATTGGAGTAGGACTCGCTCTTCTCCGAAACGCTGGACAGCGTCTCGCCGGTGACGGTGTCATTATACGAACTGGGCGCGTACATCTCGATGGTTGCCGTTTTTGCCGGTTGATTTGTAGTTTCCGCCACTGTATTTCGTAGTCGCAAAAAATACAACAAAAAATGTGTATATATATTCCAACGACGACGCCAGGGTATGCGCACAAATATTGAAAAGGTGTAATTGGCAGTGACATTCCGAAAATTGATGATTCGCAGCGGTGCCAGGTGGGTTTGGGTTTGGGATTGGGTTTGGGTTTTGCGGGTCGGTGGATCGGTGGTGCAGTGCGACAGAAGGCGGATATGCAGCGATTGTGTCCGAGTTCCAGGCAATGCAAATCCCATGCAAATAGCCAAGATTGTCAAAGTGCCAGGACCAGAAGCAGAATCAGGAGCCAGGACGAGGGAGTAGGTGTAGGTGGGTTTTGTGTTAATTATTCACATTTGTCGCAGCATTCGTTGATGTGCATTTCGATGGCGTGTCGGAAACAAAGGCATTGAAGGGGGGCAGGGACAGGACATTGGCCCATTTAAATGAGTTGACAGGCCCGGGCAAGGTAAAAAGGCAATTAAATGATTTATGACACATTTTCCGCAAAAGTTAACACGTGTTTGCCGCAAAAGTAGAGTCCATTATTTGTAGCACATTTCCGATTTCGAGTGGTATATGGAAAGTATATAAAAGAGGAATTCATTATAGTTGGTATAATTAAGGGGATATAATAAGAGAGGTTTAAAGTGCTTACGGTTGCTGCTGCTGTTGCTAGGCATGAAAAGTATTATATTAAATTTTATGCAATAAGATTTCTCTGATCATGTATTTACCATAATCTAAAATTGATATTTCTTTAGGTAAACTGTAGTTTTTTCGAGGCTGATAGTAAATTTATAACGATTACGAGCTGAGGCAAAGTCAGCAGAAAGGCCAAAAGCCATAGACACGTGTGGTCCATCCTCCAACCAAACCCATTCCCCATCCCCAGACCAATGTCACCACCGATAGGTAAATGGGTAATGGTAAATGGACATTGCCCTGCCACTCAGCTGCTATCGCCATCATTGCCATCATCATCGGCGTCCTCAAGCTATGCAGGGATATTATGGCCAAACGGTTTCTTAATAATACATTTCGGTTGGGACGGCGCAGGATATATGGGGCTATATGGGGCATAGTGTAGTGCAGGGGTCCTGGGCTCGGCACGTCCGCCAGTTACGTGACATGCGGGGACTATTAGTCGATAAAATTGCTCTGTATTCTGTTAATTTGCACAAAGCACATTGAATGTTTGGGAGTTATCAAAATTACTTTATATACGTTTATGTGCCCGGCGCCATGTTTGCCAATGTATAATGAATATTTAACAAATTGCAACTGAATTGGGAGGCAAATTGCTTTGTTCCGTCTCCATTTCGTGTGAGTATTTTATTTGTACTTTTTTGTTGTGTATATTTTGGTTTGTTTGTTTGCCGGCAATGCCGCCTCAATTTGCATTTTTTATGATTTACCAGCCTTCCAGTTGCGTTGTATTTTAATTCATTAAACATATGCACACACAATCCGGGAATCTATACACAATTTTCTGTGTGTGTGTGCGTGTGTGCAGTCGAAGGGAAAAAATTAAAAATTGAAAATGCATTTAATTGTGGGGCCTGCTGCTGCATCCGCAATTTCAATCGGCTCACAGATCTCTTCCTAGTCTGTCGATGACAGCGCTCTCTCTATATAAATACATATATTTTACAGAACACCAGCCGCCACCCCTGCGTATACGTGATTTTATGGCTTAGCGAGCTAAAAACGTTTTTCGGCATTTGTCACTTGTTTTATTTATGACAACAAACGAGTGTAAGCCAAAAAAGGGAGAGCCTGGTGGGGCATTTAAAATAATACACGTGGCTTTAATCAATTAAGACAATTAAAAAACAAAACCGCTCACCGGCACGGGTAGAGTGTGTGTGTCCGGACAGTGAGTCTGTTCTCATGAATGTATTTATCAAACGAAAGCTTAGGATATCCAGGAAATGGGATATATACGAATTGGATTTACCCTTGGATCTAAATGGAAATTTACCGAGCAGAGAGGGAAAATAAGTCGGAGGTTTTTCTAGGAAAAGAATTCTATTTTCTAAATTCATAAGCTTTCCATGAATTAATTAAGAATTACAAATGTTTAAATGAACTACATTTCTCTTCAGTTCACCTGTATAAATCTATAGCTAAAATATCCTTTATTTTTCCCCCTGTGTATGCATATAAATATGCTCCTTGAATATGCCCAGGATTAGGTTGTGCTAAGCTTGAATATTTCATGATATACGGCAAAAGCTGAGCCAGTTTTGATGTAATGCCTTTTCGGTTCGTTTGTGTATGTACTTACAAACCTCAAACTGTATAAAGCCTAAACCCAACTTTCCCGGAAAAGTCCCGGACAGCAGCAGCAGCAGCAGCAGCCGGACATGAGGTTAGCAGGACAGACGGTTGGCAGACAGCTGAGTGACCCCTTGGCAGGGTATGGCCTTAATGGGCAGAGAGGCGGGGGCGGAGCTTAGCACTCTGCGTTAGCCTTGTTGCCGAGCGACACACAGGACACAATGCGGTGGCCGACCCGCCACACGAATGTCAAATAATCCGCACTCGCATTCCGCTCTTTGTTTTGGTTGCCGCCACTGCCGCTGCCGCTGCACTTTCCGCACAGAGATTACAAATTTTGCACTTATGGTCCGGATTTCTTGCGGATCACGTATGTATATCTACCTCCCTTTAGAGGAATACAGAGAGAGAGAAAGAGAGAGTCGCGGCTTAGACAGCTTCTGCGGTCATCGGGACACGTTAATGACGCCGACGTCTGCTTTGAAGGACTTTTCTCGTAAGCCCATGTCGACCTTTCTGTCGTGGCCAAAAGCTTTCAATTATTTGCTGGTCTGAACTGTGGAAATGCCTATGTGGACTATAGAGTTTATGGTGTTTAGAATAAACTATGTTATGTATACAAATAAAGTTGTATACATGAATATTATCAATATTTTGGAATAAGTCTCGTTTAGCCTCTATACATTTTGAACTTTCGAGCTGGATGGAAATTTTATGTTGTAAATAAAAGTAACAAGAGATAGCTTTACCTTATTTTGGAGATTTGAATTTGAAGTGTTTCATTAATTATTATTTTCCCAGTATCAGAAAGCTTGGTTCCTTAGTATTGGGTACTTTATAGTCGTGGTTTTTGATAGTATTTCTGTTATTTGCTCTTTGGCGTTTAAATGGCCTAGGCGCTGAGCTATTTTACGCATTGTTTTAGTGGCCAGCAAATTTATGAACTCTCATTTAAGGCCCCAGCTCCCAGTTCCCAGCTCCTGCTCCCTGCTCCCTGCTCCAACTGGATCCTGAGAGTGGGCCAACAATGTCCGCTTTTGGGCTGTCATGGCCAGTTGCCTAAGCAGCAAACTTTTCGACATTGCTGAGCCAGCCCCCTGATTTGCCCGCTTTCCACGATTTCCCTGACCACGACAGCCTGTGCGCTTATCTCTTCAGATTCGATGTCGCAGCTCTCGCACGCACGCCACAGCGTGCCCCTTTTTCCAGCTCTCGGGGATTGTCCATCCCCATCCCCATTTCCCCCTCTGGCCCCTACCCCGTCAATTGTTTAAAGAGTGTCAAAGTCAAGTGCTGGCCACTGGGATCGAGTGGCGGGTGCTGCTCGAGAGTGGGTTTCGGATGGTTCGGGTGGTCTTATCGCTGGTGGCAACGTTGGCATAAAAGTTTCGCCCCGCCAAGTCGTAAAAGTGTCGCACTCAACTATATACCCGAGATCGGGTTGTGGGCCATTCTACTGCTGCTGCTACTCCAACTACTCTCCTATGGTCCTGCACTCGGCCTGCTTTTAAACTTTTACTCCTGGCCAAAAGATACTGTGGCCGCGGCGTTGATGGGTGCTCTCCCTGGGTTCGCTTTTTGGGGGGTGCTCGCCGAGTTGGCGCTTTTTCTGGGCCAGAAATCTATTGCCACATAGGCCCAAGCCCTAACTCTGTTAACCACTCATGAATGCCCCGGACCAATTGTTTGATGCAACTCCTCTTTGGCCTCTTAACTGGGCCAGGAGGTACACTTGCCAAAGAGTTTGAGACCGGATTTGGGATAGAAAAACTAAGAAGAAAAATCTATTATAAAATCAAATTGAAATCGAACTCAAAACCAATTTACAAAATTGTGGAGTTAGAAATTAAAACAAAGCCTCGAATAATAATTTAAAAGAATTAAATCACACTATTGATGGACTTCTGTACTCAGTGTAGGGAGAGCTCCTCCTCCCTTCCGGTTTCGGAGGCAATAAACATTAGAGATGGCGCTATTCTGGATGTTCGGGGCTCAGGCCCAGCTCACACGAGAATGAAATATGTGGCACTGGGCATTGACTGCGGCTGCGGCGGCTGTGGCAGTTGCGATGGCGATGGCGATGGCTTTGCGATGGTCACTGCCGCGCTCTTGTTCATGGCGGACTGTGGTCGATGACCGCCAACGGACGACGGATGGTGGATGGCGGATGGCGGACCAAGGACGTGGGACAGCGGACGACCGGCAGCCGGCGACGGAGCTGAACCACTGAACCAGCTGCCAACCGCAGACTTTTGGCATAGTTTATCGGACAGCGACAACTACAGCGAAAGGCTTCTTAGGCAGCCTCCGCTGCGGTTGGGCTTTCGGTATGCCGAGGCGATGGTCAGGTCTGGAAGGGATTGGAGTGGAGCCACATGGCATGGGTAACAAGGAGGCTGAGGAGAGGGAGAGATCTGGTGCTCGGGGATGAATTTCCTTTCTGTGTGCCATGCGGCATTTTGACACAAAGGCACAAATGCACATTAAAAATGCATATCCGAGGGCTGCAACAAAAACACAAGTCAAGTTTCGCCAGCGAAAACATTGAAATATGCAGAGAGATATCCCTGATAGCCTAGCCGTCCTCCATCCTGCATCCTTTATCCTCCGCCTCTGCAGGCTGGCCAACGCACCAGTTTCCCTCTCTCTGACAACTTTACAAAAAGCGGGCAAACAAAAAAATTCAAAAAATAAAGTAAGAAAAACTCTGAACTGAAAACGGGAAAAGTAAAAATCCTTTTGGGCATTGTCAGTTATCGGCTTTTGACAGGGATAAGAGGGGCTGGGAGGGAACTATGTACTACTTCTACGGACTCTACCCCTCTACATTGTCATAAAATGTTGTTCCTTCCAGGAGGATTTTCCTCCTTTTCGTACTCGTTCTCGTACTCCATCCTTCTCGGTTTCGTTTTCGTTTTTCTGTTTGTTTGCAACAAGACTGAAATATGAATTTTCTTTTGTGTGGAGCGGGAATGCATTCATATCCCGGCACTCGCCATTTGTTCAACTGTGCCGCACTGGAAATGAAAGACAGAAATAATGGAGTCTGGCCCGTCCTGGGATTCTTAGGGAAATATCTTATTTATGTCCTGCGGCTGTAGTTCAGGCTCCTTCCCGTTTGTAAATGTCAAAAATAGCTGGTCCACATTTTGTTACCCCGATTAAGTCGGCTTCGTTTAGTTTCCGGCTCCTGTCGCCATGCAAAGAGGCGGGGTTTCCCCTTTCACTCTGTTTTTCACTTAGAGCTTAATGAATCAAAACTTTTGACTCTTTTTCGGAGAGAGAAAAAGGAGCGTCAACTCATAAGTCAAATGTTTACACCAACTATATATGAGAGAGCATATATGACAGCAGCAAATAAGTCCCAAAATGTACAGACGGAATGTCTTACACCGTGGAAAAAATGTAAGGGAATATATGAATAGAGAAAAATCGGATTTCAAAAATCTAAAATTAAATTTCATATAAACTAAAGATAGGCAAGAAAATGTTTTAAATAAGATTAAGATAGTTCTCTAAGTAAATGCTCACACATTCTTGTTCATAAAAAAATATATATGAGAGCAGCATATAAGCATAAGGTCAATAAAATAATATCTGTAAAATAAGATCTTTATACATGGCTCATAAAATCAAATATGAAAATTAGAGATTGAAAAAGATTATTTCAACTGAAATACCTCTTTTAAAAATGAAAAAATATTTTTTTTAAGATTCACAACACAATAAATCCTATTAAAATACAAAACGAGATTACATTTTTCTATGTGAGTAAACAAAAGCCTATTTGTGGAACCCTTAAATCGTCACAATTTGCAGTTCTCTAGCATGACAGACATTGCAGCTGACATCCGGATGTGCAACTGCATCTCCATCTGGTTGCCATAAACGGAGGACACGTGCATTTGCATAATTTGTGACTCTTATTTTTTGTGTATTTCCTGTACCCCAAAACTGGCTTATTGAGTTCGCGATGCAACTCCATTGTGGGGCTCGAGTGAATGGAAATAATTTGCTTAGCCTGTGTGTAACGTAGTCGCCTCTTGTGCCATGCTGGCCGGCGTCACGTAATAGCGATTCGTTGCGTATACGCCGCGTGTGCCACGTCTCAAATTTGCCAGTCAGGCAGTCAGTCAGAATGGGTTTGGCCAAGATGGGACAATGCTGGCCCCGACAAAAATGGCAACAATTGGGCTGATGGCGCCGTCATGGCTTCCTGTTTAAAGCCGAGTGCGCTTGGTGCGAAATATAATTCGGTTTAATAAACAGTCCTCGGCAAACATGTCCAACACTTGTCGACACGTGCTCCCTGACCTCCGCAAAGCAATCTGGCTTCCGGAAGATTGTGCATTCAGCTAAGAAAACGATGCACATTTGTCTTGGCTTCTGTCTGGGTTGGGGTCGGGTTGGGATTCTCTTGTTCAATAAACAGGAGCTTCTCATCCTGCGTCCTGCTGGTTGCCAGCTGCCAGCTGCCTGGTGCCTGCTGCTTGCTGGTTGCTGGCTGCTGGCTGCTGGCTGCCGGCTGGTAGCACTTCCAGGATGCATCATTATTTTCTGTCATCATTATATTCCTGTTGACTGCTGACTTTTTGCCTTAGCTCGGGCAAGTCCCGGCTCTAGCTCTCCCGGATCTCTTGGATCTTGCATCCTGGCCACGCTTGGCATTGGTGGCTCACGGAAATTACAAGAAGCGATTGTGGGCCAAGTGGTGTAGAGGATATGGCCCCAGCCCTGGAAGCCTGCGTATGCAGGAAATTGTTTAGTGAGCTCCATAAAGTGAGCATGCATGTCGACGTCCTTAGTGGGCAGCGGAAGCAGCACAACGCGCTCGCTTCCGCATCCGGTGGTGTCACGGAAGTGGGGCCTGCTGCTGCTGCCGCTGCAACATGCGCAAGCCAATGCAATTGTCTAGCGAGGCTGCATCCACAACGGCGGCCCGAAAGAACTACAGGCGGGAGGGATTATAGTATATACCTAACCAGCTTTGACTGCATTTCAAGCTCAAATTGATAGATAAATATAATCAAACCCAGCAACCCAACCAATTTGACAACAGCAAAAGCAACAGATCATAAAAGGATACTTAAAATCGGGAAAATACATATCCAAAATAAAAATAGTAATAATAAACATAACATGAAATAATAGTAACCTTTCTTGCGGCGCTGATGCACAAAGAACCAGGCAACGAGGGCCGCGTTGACCAGGAGGAAGCCAAACGCCGCCAGGGAAATGCCAATTATGACCAGATTCGGTGTGTTGCTAGAGTCCTCGGTTAACTCCGCTGGCATCAGTTCAAGTCCTTGACAAAACGAACCATGGAAGAGAATAAAAAAATATGGTTGCAAAAATAAAACAATAAATAAATGCGAAATGAAATGAGAAATTGTAATAAAAAAAGAATAATATGAAAAGGAATAAAAATAAAAATGCTGCAGAGCATAGCAATGAACGCGAGCCGTCCCAGTTTCCGATTCCAACTCGGACTCGTGGTCGGATTCGGACTCGGACTCGGACTCGGATTCGGATTCTGTCGGGGATTCGGGGGGCAGGAGCATGGGTCGCGGGTTCCCTTTCGGTTGGCATGGCGAGCACACGCAGCGAAATCAAATAAAGAGACCCACTAGCGACCAGCGAGTGACGCAAATCACGTAGAGCCTGCGAAGCGGTGCCGGAACATGTGATGGCAAATGAAATTAGCGACGCCGCCATTGCCATCGCCATCGCTATCCCATGGCCAGACCCACACCATTTCCCCATTTCCCCCAATGACGTTTCCATCGCGACGCCCCTTCCCAATCGCAGTCCCAATCCCAATCCCTATCCCATTCACAATTGCTGACCACCGGGCACGTGCGCTGACAACGCCCACAAATTAAAAGAAAATAACGGAGGCGACTGCCGGCCGAGCCGAGGGAATTAGAAATTCAAATGCCCAAGGACCCCAACTCCCCGATCCTTGGCCCCCAGCGATAGGTACTTTTTTAACCCCATCTTGGTCGATGGGACGCACTGAGATAAATGATGTAACGAAAGATCTTGTTACTTTAAGTTGTGAAGAAGGAATACAGAGTTCAGAACTCCAAGATCCTGATCTCTGATTAAAATGTATCCTCGAAGTCTACTTAAACTATAAGGATAATGACTATATTCCTGTTCAAATCCCTTGACTTTTTTCTCTTTGTGCAGCAGCAACAACCGCAGGACTCTGCTCCGATTTGCGTCCTTGTTTCCCGTACCTCGCTTGAGGCGCTTCTCGTTCCGTTTGTGCAGACAGCAGCCGATGACAAACACGTTGAGCAGGACGACAACGATGCCGGCGCCCACGCCCACCAAAAGCATCCCCGATGTGCCGCCCAGCGGCGTCTGGCTAGTGGTCGGCGGTCCGCCGCCCAGTGATGATGCCGGGTGCGAGGGGGGCGGTGCCTCTGTTTGTGTTCCCCCAAGGATGCCCGGATGCAGTGCGTCCGTGTGAGGAGAGTATCATCAGTTGGGATTGCAGAGAGTGTTTGGCATTTGTGGTGGCCGCATCGTTGACGTTGTTGATGGTCGTAATGCAATTCCAATTAAGTGCAGCAAGAGAAGGTCGGGACGAGATCATTGAATAAGACAACAGCTCAACTGGGCTCTTACAAACAAGGATCTAAGGATCTACTAGGTGATTACTGTGGCTTCTAAGGAGGTGGTGGTGCTTAAAAACAATCCTTTCTATACAAGCTTTAGATGAAAATCAGCCATCCTTTAAGCATAAAGAATAGTTTCATCTACAATTATAGCAAAACTAAGGTTTCTGCTCCATTTTTGAAAGATTTATTTAAGCATAAACTAATTTTTCCGACAGCCAAAACTAAATTCGTTCGGTTCCCTGATTTATTTGCTACTTTGTCTCCCGGTTTCTGCTGGATAACCCGAGGCTGTGCAAATACAAAACCCGTCCAAATCCAGTGTCTGGACCAATTTCACTTCATCAATTATTTCGGTTGATTGCCGCGAGTTGGACTCATTCCATGCGTGCTTCTAATTAGGCTGATAGCTGCTTATCATACCGGCTATCTAATTAATTCCACAAATCTGCCGAATCGCCGCCTGACAACTGACCTGGCACACCACCAGCACCACCACCACCACCAACCACCTAGTCAGGAGGATGCGATGCCGACTACGACTGCCATCCAGTGGCTAAAAAAGCCAACCGAACGGCGGACTCGCATAAATCAATGTCAGTGCCGCGCTCGCGGCTAATTTGAATATGGAGCGAACTTACCTTTAGTCTCGGCCCGGGCCAAGTCCGGCAGGTAAGAGCTGGAGCCCAGCTCGTTCCAGGACATCACCGAGAACAGGTAGAGCGTGTTCATGCGCAATCCGCCGATGGTAAGCTTGTGGCTATTGGGCAGCCCATCGATGTATTTGTACTGCTCGCGGTCGACCATCCTGCAAATGAGAAATGGGAAATGGAAAATGAGAGGTGACGCGTTGCAGTTTCGTTAGCGTCAGTCAAGTACATCACTGACATCTTTTCAAATCTGACAGATTGACAAAAGGATAAAATAGATTTTAAGGATATCATGCTTGAATCTATTATTTTTCTCTCTAATTATCAAGGTAATTTCACTCACCTATAACGCACTCGATATGATGCCTTGAGGCCACCATCAAAGCCCGGTGTCCAGGCCACGGTGACGGTGTCGTGGGTAACGTTCAGGATGTTGAGGGTGAGCGGTGGGTCTGGTGGTGAGGTGATCTCCAGGCGCACCGTTTCCACTGCCTCGCCCAGCTCATTGCGGGCAATGCACTCGTAGGCGCCATAGTCCGCTGGCGCCACCTTGTCCACGATGAGCGAGGATTCGTAGGTCAGTGTGTCAATCTTGCGCTCTTCAACCTCATACTTGTACGTGCGATTAATGGGCAGATCCTTCTTGTCCTGCCGCCAGATGAACTGCGGCTTGGGTGATCCCTGAGCGCGACAAGGAAGCCTTCCCCGTTCTCCAGTGCCGCTAGCAGCACGTAGGAGCGTCGGTGCCTTGGCAATCTCGGGAGCAACTGAAGACATGATGGAGAACGATAGAGATATAGCTTAAGGTTAGCCTAAAATCTCGATTACACTTACACTTGACAATCAACAGGATATCGCGGTTGGTTGGATTCGCCACACGATTGTCGGCCACGCACCGGAAGTTGCCCACATCCTCGCGTCGCGCATCCTTGATGTGCAGATAGGAAGTGCCATTGGCAAAGGTCGTCGATGTTTTCACGGTCATATCGTAGCCCACTCTCTCCCATTTCACATGCTCCTCGGTCAGCGGCTTTCCTTCGACGCTGCAGGACAGCATCGCATCCTCGCCGGGATTCACAATGATGTTCTCCGACACGGACTTGATGGTGGTTCCATCTGCATGCAGGGCGAGCCCAGAAATTAGTCCGATTAGGGAAAACGCACAAAGGGCTCCAAAGGGGTGTAGTACTCACATTCCACCACCACGGTGATGTTGAGGGTGGCCTTGCCCTGCGAGTTGCTGGCGGCGCAGGAGTAGATCCCGGCATCGTCCCTATGCAGCCGGGTGAAGTTCAGGCTGCCTCCGTCCGCGAAAATGCGATGCTCGCCATCCTGGGGAATGGGCGTGCCGTCCTTGGTCCATTTGTACACGACATTGGTGGGATTGGCCCGGGTTTGGAGCGACACTTGCAGTGATTCGCCCTCCACGCCCACTGCCGTCGAAGAGGGCGGCGGCACGAACTTGGGACGATCTGGAGTTGAATTCAAAGGAGGGTCACGGTGAAATTCTATCAAGTTTTCAATGTGGCACAGAAATCTCTTGGGGGGGAATTTGTTACATTTATATTTTTAATGAGGGAAATTATGCGAAATCAAAGTTCATTTTGGGATAATTTAAAGAGGGGTTTTAATATACTTAAATTAAGGATTATAATAATTCGGTCAATTTATTATAATTTCTAGTTTTGTAAATCATTATATATTCCATAACTAAATGCTTCCTAACATCGCAAAGAAGTTTATGTAATATTTTCAAATACAAATATTTTCAAAAACTATTTCTTAGGTCTTTTGTGACACTACTTATAGATTCGACTGCGTATTAAAATGTCAGTAGATGCCAGATTGCAGAGCTAGCCTAATTGAGCAATTATCCTGGCCGGGTACTTACACAGCACATCCAGGCTGACCGCCTCGTGGACGCTCCGCTGGAGAGCCTCGTTGGCACTCTGGCAGGTGTAGACCTGACCGTTCATTTCCTGTGTGATGTTTACCCTGAACTCCAGCGTGGAGACCGTGCCGCCCCAGAGACCCGGCTTGGACGTGTTATTAATGCCTGTGGATGCAAGGGAATGGGAGAAATGGCAGTGGGTATGGCGGGTATGGTGGTGGGTTCCGGTGGGCGGACATGGGACATGGAGACGGGATACGGGATACGGAATATGGATCGGCCAGGGAATGGCAGCAATGGGAGCGGAAAGAAGAAAGGGGCGTAATTTTAGTGACTGGCAAGCGAACCGGATGTTGTCGTGGAAACGCCTCGCCCCAACAAAGTGCACTGGCGGCGCCGCCAAGTCCATGGCGAATGGCGAATGGCGAATGCCGGGTCTGCGATGGGCAAACTTCCAATTGCCAAATCGCTTGGCCAGGCCCAAAGAGCCATACATACCTTCGATGGGGATGCCGTCCTTCCACCAGGACAGCTTCGCTGGCGGATTGCTGGAGCTGGAGTCGCAGATGATGGTTGCCTCCACGCCAGGTCGCAGTTCTTCCGGTTCAATGCGTATTTTGACCGTCTCCGGGGCAACTGCAAGAGCACACACAGACACATACACCAATGGGCAATAAGAATGGATTCAGGAGCCGGTAAATATTCAGCTTTACACTTTGAACTTTACTTTTTAATATTAACTTGGGTTGATTTTGATTAAAAGATTAAATTTATTACTAATTACAGGTGCAAAATTAAATGGTTTTTAAATATTTCTTATATAAACCAAGAGAACTGCACTTAAAATTAAATTTAAAAGTGTAATAGCAATAAATAACCCTTTGTAATATTATTGTACTATATTGAATTTATTGAATATTAAATTTAATTTAATTACTCACAGTGCACACTGAGCATGGTGGACTGGAAGAGCGGGATTTCGGTGGCGCTGTTGGATGCCTCACAGCGGTACTGGGCCTGATTGTCCGACACATTGGCCAGAACGGTGATTTCGGCCGACACCGATTTGTCCGCCGCCCTTATGACCGAGTTGATCTGCAAACGGAAAGCGGTGGAATAGATAAGGATGGGTTATTTTTGTCTTTGTCCTCAGCGGAAGCGAAAGCAACTCCGCAGAGCACAGCTGGCGGATGCATTTTAATTTCGCTGATAAAACGTCGTCTAATCTCGGAGAGAGCGAGCGAGCACAGATGAGTCCCTGCGGAACCGACACTCTGAGAGTCTGACACCGCAACAAATGGGAAATGGGAAATGGGAACTGGGAAATGGTAGAAGGTAGAAGGTGGAGCAGGAAGCCGCACCTGAACCGGCAGATGCTCCTCGCTGCGGTTGCGAGTGACTTTCTGTCCCATCCCCAACAGCAACTGCCACCTTTTCTTTCAAATCCCAACTTGGTGACGATAGTGGGACTCATCCGAGGTTATCGCTGGTACTGGTGGTGGGCCAGAGGCAGGTGTGAAAACCGAAATCGTTATGGCAATAGAGCCACCGCGCTGCAGTGGCTCATTAGCACTTTAAGCCCATAAAGCGGAAGCGGAAATGGTCAACAAAAGCGCCATTATTGTTTTGCGGATGTTTTGCTGCCTGCTGTGCTCGTTCGCCCTCTCTCCCTGTATTTGTGTGTGTGTGCTGCGGAAAATGCAAACAAACGGCAAACGGGAGGGGGGAAAAAAAGGAAAGGGAAACTCGGTGTACTCACCCTTTTGTCGTTTTTGTACCATGTCAGCGTCGCCAACGGATTGCCGCCAGATGAAACGCAAAGCAGTTTTTGCACAGAGCCAGCTGGGATAATTTGTCCTTCTATATAGCCAGAAATTAATGGCGGCGCGGGAGGATCTGTGGATGCAGGGACGCGGGATAAGAAAAACGTACAGAAAAAGACAAACAAAGGAGTGCCAAGCCCAGGCCCAAGCCGGGGAAATGGGCCAACGAATTGTGGCCCCAAAAAACTTAGCCACGAGCCAGCAAATTATGGCCTACAACAAAAACAGCAAATGATGGGGACCAGGACCAAACCAGGACTAGGACCCACCGCTGTGTCCTTCGAGGGAGTGAGAGAAAGAGAGAGAGAGTGCTGCCAAGAGCGGCCGAACAATAAAAATTAAAATTATTTAATTTGCCGCGCATAAAGTAAAAATATCCGCAGGGCGTCCGCATCCTTAAGGCATGACCATGCACGACCACGTCCACTCACACACACACATAGCCGCGTCCTTGATTGGCGGTGGACGGTGGGCGGTGGCTGGCTCATTACCTTGGGGTCCGTTAGTCATTTCCAGTGCTCGCTGGTATGGGTAATAAATGTAAATCTCTCGCCGCCCCATCGCCATCCCGCCTCCTCGGCTCCACGCTTTTTCGTGCTCTGTGATGTTGGTCAGAAAAATTAATTAGCGCTGCAGGAGAGCGCTCACAAAGGACGTCGACGACAGGACCAGAGGGCAGGCATGGAGCAGTCGCTGCGATGAGTGGCCTAGCTGGATAAACCGAACTAGAAATCGCAATTATTAATAAGCCCCCAACTTTGGCACAAGCAAACTCTCCCCTCCACTGCCATCCTGCCATCGAGTGGATGATATCCCTGCCCTGGATTTCCATCCTCCCCCTTCGGGCGAGCTATCTCTTCTGCGTGTGTTTTTTTTCGTCACCGCTTTCGCTTATAATTGAGTCAAATGAAGAGTGACGCCGAACATCGGATAATGGAGTTTAAGACACTTGCAGTTGTCGCCGGGCAGAGAAGTGTCACGCAGGACACAGATGACGGGAAGGAGGTGGTGTCAAAGTCCTGGCTGCGTACATCTAATTGGACCTTGATTTGGATCAGGAAAAGTATGAGAGTGGGAAGGCAGAGCAAGCGCAGGTTTTGTGGAAAAGTTTGTTGATTGGAATACACTTGAATAATTTCTCTATAAAATAAACACTTGTCAATGATCATAAATTTTACATAAGGCTATTCAAGTTTAAAGATTTCACTGTTAAAATATCATTTAAATCCAATGAATAGTGTTATTACCATTAAAATTTAACTCTGGCTATCAAGTTTGCTGTGTAAAGTCCCCAAAAAGTGTGCAAAGCTTTTTGTCCCACAAACCCCAGGGTATTTTATGGTAAAAAATAATTAATAGCAGATAATATTTTTTGCGTTGGCAGAGACAAAGTTTGATTTATGACACTAAAATAAAACTAGGGCAGATTTTGCACACAAAATTTAAAATCAACTGATTCCGCTGGGAGCCTAAAGCAACCCGCATTCAGTAAAGATAAGCCCCCGACTTAGCTTCCCGTTCTTGGTTCCATAGCTCTGGATGCAGTCACAGATCTTGCCGCCCTTTAAAATCCGCCCGAAGCCCACCCGCAATCCATTGACCACTGCCAGCGGTTTGAAGGAGATTGCGAACGAGAGGTGCTGCGAGAATCCTTTGATGTCGTCCTTGCTGAAGGACAGCACATAGCTGGAGGCTCCATGGTCAATCACCTTGGCATCGTACTCCAACGGCTGGTGCAGCAGTGAGTCCGGGGGAAGCGGAAGATGCGTTTCCACCCATAGATTGGGAAAGAGTCGCGTCACCATGAACTTGGAGTGCTGATTGCACATGCAGGACTTCACCAGCTGCAGGACGACCAGCGGCGCTGCCTCCGTGTACAGCTGGATGACCAGCCTACCCAGCGGCCGGGCGTCCTTTAGGTAAATGTCAAAGTATATCTTCGGCCTGAACAGGCGACGCAACTCCACGTCAGACTTAGGCAACGGGATGTCAAAGGCCGCATACTTGGCCATCGCCTGGGCGGGCAGCTCCAGCGGTGGCGGCGGTTTCATCTTCCGGCTCTCCAGCGTTTGCTTGTAGGACAGTCCCGAGTCTACTTCGCTAGTTACCTCCATGATGCGACGCCCAAATTCGCGGTTGTCCCGCTCCAGCTGCTCCATCCTTAGCAGGGTCCCCGGTACGCCCGAGGCTCCGGGCACCGCGTCATACCGGAATGGATTGATTGCACCATGGGTACGCATCGTCCGCGAGATCTCAACCAGCAGCTGGATATTGGCCCGGGTGCGCTGCATGAAGACCACCGCCTCAACGCGCAAATTATTAACTCCGGTGATGCGGGCCGCCTGGAAGCCAGGTGGCTCGGCGTCCACCATGCTGACGGCGTCCTTGACGCGCAACCGGTGCTGGCGCCACATCTTTTTCCTCATGTCTCCGCCCGGTGGGTTATGATCGGCTGCCTTGGCCGCCTTTTTTCGTTTGACCACCTCCTTGGCGGCGGTCTGCACCTCCTCCACCGTGAGCTGGGCCAGCTCTCTGGCGGATTGGGACAAGCAGACGGGATACTCAGCCATGACAGAGGATATACGTATAAAACAAATTGAGAATTTTCCACGAACGATTCGAATCGAAATGTTGTGTAAATAAAAACTAAAGTAAAAAGCTGACGAGAGTCTGCTTCGAAAGAGAGCACAAGGGCTACTAGGAAATAGCTATCAATGATCTTTGTATTACGTAAAGGATAAACGGATTAACGGATAGTTCTAATGATTTCCCTTTAAGAATATAACATAAAAACCCTATCTATTGAATTCCCCCAGCTTGGCGAGGTACTAAGGTAAATATATATTAACAGGTGGGAAGGGATACTCACATAGCACGTTGATGGTGTGGGTAGAGACTACGTTCTCGGTCAGCTGCATGTTCAGTCCGTGACAGATGACGACCAGGGAACGCTTGTTGGGCTCCACGGTGGCGGTGATGTTCGAGCTGGTCGTCCAACCGCCTGCGATGACAGAGACAGACAGAGATGGAAATGGATTAGGCGGGAGATTATGTCACTGGCACTCGGAGGGCACTGCTGGCCATTTGGTACCGGGTGCTAGCACTTACCCTCGGCACTGACAATCGTCTTTGAGGTGGCATTGCGCACCTGACGTCCGCCCACCATCCACTTGATCTCGGCGGGCGGATTCGATGGCGCGGTGGAGCATGTCAGCGGCACCACATCGCCGACGCGCGCCTCGGTGGGTCCCATCACGGTGACATGGGTGGGTGCAACTGCGGATGGATGGATGGATGGATGGAGAAGAGACTCTGGTTACTTGGCGCATACGTCGCATAATGAAGGAGGCATTAATATGTAATAGGTCTGTGGCCAAAGGAGTCGTAGGTTCTGGGTGGAGTGCCATCTACCATTCTATCCCTGTAGGTATACCCCCGTAATAGCCTTGGGGAGGCATGTCGGCTCCTGATGCCGCCGCCATGCAAATGATGACTGAGTGACTGACAGTCCGTCCGTCTGCGTAGCTATTACCTAATGCCATCGGAGCGGAGTGGCTGGAGCTGGAGCTGGAGGTGGAGTTACAGCTGGAGCAGCTGCAGCTGCCGCTCCCTTGATGGATAAGTGCATATATTACGCATACGCAGCGTTCGCCGCTCTCCATTCGCCATAGTCTTGGGCATAAGAATACGAATAGGAATACGAATACGAATACGAATGGGAAACTTTCGACTCGATATGTTTCGCATATAAATAAACATTATGAATTCTTAACTTCTCGCATCTTTCGTCGGTCCGTCCGAGGCATACATCTTCATTCTGGGCACAAACACACTCCGTGGAACGTACCCACTCCCTGGCAAGGGGGCAAAAAGAATGCTGATGCCGAATGTATTCCTGCTACGTCTTCACTTTTGTTGTTCCACATTCGTTATACATAAATAATGCGTGTGCTAAGAGCCCGGGTCGCCATCTGAGGCCACATCTGATATCTATCTGCTACACAGAGCGAAAAGTCATAACTTCTTAAGGGTTCTTTTTGATCAATGTAACAACGCTCTCACTTTAACTCCTTAAAGAGAATATATAGATTAATCTTTAGCTCTAATATATTTGAAAACTTGAATATGATGTAAAGAGTTGTGAGTGATTCTAAAGGAATGGAAAACTCTGTTAAGCTCACTGACAGGACAGCAATTATTCATGGGGTTTGCCCAATCAATCTCCAGAGACTTTTGCCAATGCCACCTGCTAAATAATTGATTTCGAATTGGGAATCCGAGGAATCCTGCTTTTCTCGCCGTGTGCCGTGTGTTAGTGTGTGTCCATGTTGCCGTTTGTGCTGGCCACTCACTGTGGCATACTTATTGGGGCCAGGCAAGATGGGGCCGAGTGGGCAGGCCTGACCTGTATGGCGCTTTGATTGGTATGCGCATAAACTGTAGGAGGAGTCTGTGCGCCCCATGGAAGGGTGGAGAAGGTGCACACATTCCAAGCTCTTAAAGACTGCTGCTTCAGGTAAAAGATGCCAATTTCAGCGGACTGCCGAGCACTTGAAATTTAAATATCGCGCATACGAAGCGTTGGGCGTCCGCCTCATCCATTTACATGTTAGACACATGAGCGTAAGTAGCAGAGGAGCCACGAGGAGCAAGGATACGAGGCACTGAGGATGTGGCATGCAAATGTTCGCCGGAGCTGGTCCGTCCGTCCGTCCAAGTGTCGCTAACGACTTTGGCACCGTCGGCTTTGTGCGCCTGATTGCAATTGTTGTAACTCTAACAAGCTGCAGCGGGCAGGGACGGAGGCCCAGGATGAGGAGGAGTGGCTGCGCTATTTGGCACTTGAAAAGAATTTGCATTGCTTGATTTGACAAAGCCAAGTGGGACGCGCAGGCTGGAGAGGCTTTCAAAGTGCAAACTTAAGCTTAATTGCGAAAGAAAGCAACAGCGAGCAGCCTTTCGGGGGTAGTGGAAGATGTTCCCGCCTCGCATGCCAAGTGGGATTCGCTGCCAAGCCAAGCCCAGGCCCAGGCCCAGGCTGTTGACACAATCTCCCACTCCCCACATCTCCGAGTGCTCTCTGCTCTCTCAACTATCCGATGCTATCATCCCGCATCCTGGCCCGTAATCTAGACGCCCATTGAACCTGATATGCTACTCAGTCGAGTCCCTCCCAGCTGCATATATAAATATGAACAGCGCACAATTAAGCGGCTCAAATTGGAGGCAGTGCCTCGACTTACAGAGCACGGACAGCTCCACTTCCGCCTTGAGCGGATTCTGCGACATGACGTTGCTGGCCTCGCAGCGGAAACGGGCCTTGTTGTCCCCTGCCTCGGCGGTGAAGGTATAGATGTTCTCCGACAGGCGGCCCGAGGTCCTGGAAATAAAATTGAAGAATTAATATACAAATTAAATCGGTGAGCTAAGTAATTGCCTTGAAAAAATGTAGTCTTTCACATCTAAAATCCATTATATTTATTTTAGGCATTCATAAATTATGCACAAAAAGTTCTCGCAAAAGTTCAAGGCTGGAAAGTCGGCTGTCCTTGTATTTGAAATGGAAAAGTCTTGTCTTGTACAAAAAAATATATATTTCATGTAGTATGTCTGACCTTTTGGCAGTGAAAACTCGCAAAAATACTGACAAGAGTTAGCTAATTTATTTGAAAACACATATTACCATTTATGTTTGCTTTTCAACTCTGTTTTGCACTAATTAATAAATATTAATTGGATTCTGGACTGACATTTGCTTATTGCGGCAATATTGCAGTTAATCAGCTAATAATAATTATATATTTCAGATTTTTTTTCCACCTGTAAAGAGTTATTAATATTTATAGTTGACTCACCTGTAGGCCATGCGTATCTGGGATCCATTCTTGTACCAGATGAGCTGGGCAGGAGGATTGCCGCCTCGACTCCTGCACATTAGCTCCACGGTCTGACCGCGGCGCAGAGTTTCGCCCGGTGAGTATCCCTCGATGTAGGGCGGCCCCGGTGGATCTGCGGGATTAGAATGAGGAGAACTCCATTGAAAACTGAATCCTGGCTGTGTGTGTTTACATTTCGCATATTTAATGGCAACGGTTGTCCGCAAATAAATTCAATTTACACTAAAGTAAAGTGCGACCTGCAACTGTGATGCTGTGCTGTTTTTAATTGAAGTGTTTGCATGCAAATCGTTTATGTGGTCATATGCATTATTTTCCGATTCCGGAGGGGGGCGTGGTAATTTCACTTGTTGTGGGCACCGCCCTTGGGCGATTAATAATAGTGTAAAATACCGCAAACAAAAAAAGATGTTAAAAAGGGGGAATTAAAACCAGACAGACAGCCAGAGCGTGTTAAATACATTTGGAAATGGTTATTTACTAGAATGGACCCCCCCGGAGCACATTAAAGCTTATCGGACTTTGATCGATGCCCGGTACCATAAATGTTTCGCTGAAGCGTACTAGCCTGTAATGCGTTTTCTTTATCAGAATTTGATAAGCGGTCAGCCGTGTTGAATCAACAGCAGCAATCAGGTGAAGCATAAAAGCTGCCAAGCACACACACACGCACACATGCACAATCGTATCCTTTCCGGCACGCACACACGCACACACTCGCTCAGTGACACGCAGGACGCTTGCCCCTGCAGGCATGCAACGAAAAATTAAATTAAAATCATTGAAATATTGCAGGCACGAGATGAGCGAGTCTCGGCGCGAGGATGCAATAATAGCGCCATAATTAAGCCCCCGCAGGAAGGGCAAATGAAAAGCAGGGGAAAATATCGTTGCCATTTGCCATTCGCAGATAGCGCAACTCGATTTTTCGTGCATATATTCCTGTTTTTTTTGTGCACCAATTACATCGCAACGAGGAGCACTCGAAATGGCCAACGAACTGTGGCAGTTGGGGCCACCATTTGCCAGCTGCCTATGCATAAATAACAAACATAATTAATTTGAATGTGCGTGCAGGTGGATCCACTGGAGGGCAGGTGCTCGCCTGCTCGTTTGCTTGCTTGCTTGCCACCAGCCTCCCTGTGCCGGAGGCCACCGTCGACACCATCCGCCACTTTGCCACCGGCAAACAATCAATAAGAGAACTTTTGGCATTCGTAATGGCTCGCTGGGTCCCACTTCCCCTGCAGCATCCCAGTTCCGATCCCGATTCCGATTCCCATTCCCATTCGGATCCGCACATCCGTATCCACATTTGCAGTGGCAGCTGTGCGGCACATTAGAATTTAAAAACTAATTAATACGCGGCCCAATCGCGCAATTAGCGGCCGTGATGGCAAATGGCATCCGCATCGGGTCAGGCCGATGGAGACTGGTGCAAAAAATTCATGGCATGCACTGAGCGAAACAAATTGCAGATGAGAAGGTTACAAATGTTACAAAATTGATGACGGTTAAAATTAATCCGAGAAATTAAGTTTTTAATTAGATGGGAGAATAGAAATATTTAAAATTCATTTCATTCTAAACTTTGCTCTTAAATTAACACTTTACAGTTTCTCTCAGTGCACCAAATACCAAATGCCGCCGCCTGTCGTTCATTGGGGACTTCCCCCACCCGCTCACATTCACTCTCACACCCACGCAAGCACGCACGTTCAATTGTATCGCAAATTGAGCCGGCTAATGAGGTCACCCACGTGGCCCACCAGAACCTGGTGGAAGTCTTTGCTTCCCCAGGACATAGCACAGAGGACGATGGGTGGTGGATGGTGGATGGAGTTGGACATGGACGGCAAACAGATGGCGGCTGCTGTAAAGGCTCAGAAGCTACTCACACAACACGGACAGTTGAACGGTGGCCCGCATGGGCATGTCCGGCGACAGAGCCTTGTGCTTGGCCTGGCACGTGTACTCCGTGTAGTCGTCATCGGGACCAGGCTTCAGCTTCAGGCTCGAGGTGGTGGTAAACCGCTTGGCCGTTGATTCCTCCACTTGATCTTCGCGTTTCTCTGGAAAAGAAGGGCAAGGGAAAATCGTTAATTAATATTTTAAAACGAGTTGAAGGCAAGTAAGAGGTGTATAAGCACCCAGCTTATATTTAAGAGTTTTCCTTTCAACACAAGACTTTAATTGCTGCTTTAGACGTGACAAGTTTTGGGCCCTCTCAATCGCTTGATCCTTAATGCCCAAGGATATAACTCTCGACACAACTCCCATCAATTCCGCACCAGCAAGACCATTTTGTGACATCATTTTCAGTTATAAATTTTGAACGAGGCCTCATCTGCGCCTAAAAAATGTGCCTTCCCCCAGTCTCCGAGACTCGGTCTCCAGAGCCACCCAACTATCCCCATTCCTTGGGTAATCACCAAGATGGCCGTCTGCCCACATTAACCGCCATTTACGCGTCCCCACACACACACACCGACTGCGGCACACACACGCCCCTGACAGCTTGCAAATGATACAAGAAGACCCAACAGAAACTGGCCATTGTCGTAAAGCCCGGACTCCGGATTCAGGGGAAGGCACTGGGTCCGGCCCGAGTCCCTGCCGCAACATATTGCGTCATAAACATAATTCATCATGCAGCTTCCTTCCGCTGTCCACATTTCCTTGCGGATTTTCCTACATTTTAACGCCGTTTTGGGTGAATCTTCCGCATCAGAACCGTGTTTTTTCGGTGTTTTCGTTTTTGTTTTTTATATATATGTATGTATGTTTACCCGAAAAATTTCCATCATCATCGTGGCCGTCGCCGTCTCCGTGCGATTCACATTTTAAGCATTTTTAACGCGCCAGTTGTGCTAAAATGATTTCGTTACTCGCCAAATGACAGGCGGAAAGAAGCAGGGAGCAGGGAGCAGGGAGCAGGGAGCCGGGTCGAGTCGCCACCCGGAAAAGGGGCAATGCCAGGACCCAGGGACACCCACATGCACGTTTGGTGTGTGTTGTGTGTGTGTATGGGGGTGCCATAATCATTATGAAAATTAAAAGTCGTGAAGGCGGCTAAACGCCGTTCCCTTTTTTTCTTTTTTGTGCTCTCCACCCATTGACATTTTGCATTTTTCCATATTTTCCAGCAGCGGCAGCGCTGTTTTCCAATTTGCTGACTGCCCGCCAGCGGCAGGAACGGCAACAGCAAAAGCGGCTAAATGACAAGGCACAAACACGAGGAGCCTCCTCATACCCGCTCCTATCATATCACATGTGCGATGGCCAAAACGGTTGACAGGCGTCACTTTGCCCATCTCCCTTTGACTTCCAGTCCGAGTCCTTCACGGGCCTCGACTCATCCGCATCCGTATCCATGTCCCCCTCCCCCCATAACCATCCTTATCCGCACTTATCCCAGCGAAAAAGGAGACCGGGCCAAAACCCATTTACACTTTTTGTATTCTGCATAATGCCCTCCAACAGAAAATGTATATTGTTATGTTCGTGTTTGGCCTACGTTGTTTTAGGCCATTTAATACAGCTGAATAGCGCAGTAAGCTTTTCTTATTAAATATTATTATGCAATTTTATTAATATTATTTGTGTTTCTAGTTGATGGAATTCGTTGACTCTTGATTCCTTTAAAGCAACTTGGAGTCTGCGTCTTAAAGTGAGGTGGTACTTGCTTTGATCTCCCAAGTTCCTCTCTTAAGCAATGATATCCTTCCCAAAGGCGCATAATCTCGAACCTACACACCCATCCCGATGTAAGCGTTTTATTCGCATTCGCTGACAGGTGCGTGATAGCAGCCATCACGATGGTATTTCCCCCCTCAAGGATGCTGCTGCTTGGATGGACATTAAGGTAAATGACTTAGTTGGCTACTAACCTGGCTTATACTCCACATTGCCGCGATACCAGACAATTTGGGCCGCAGGCTTGGCATTGGCCACGATGCACTTGAGCTGCAAGTCCTGGTTCTCGCGCACTTCCACCTTGGAATTGTGGCTGTAACCTTTGATCTCGATCGAGGCTGGAGGAGCTGCAAGAGAGAGAGAGAGAGAGAGAGAGTGGGGGGAATATTAGAGGACGCACACAGGATGCTGGCAATGGTTAGAAGGGAGCTAAGGCATTCCGAGGCCGAAACAAAAGCTAATGGCTGACAGGGAAGCTTTGCTCATTATGGGCCACAATGGCATTACAGGGCATTTGTGGGCGTTCTGTTCTGTTCGGTTCCCGGTGGGTGTGGCACTGCCTAATGCACGCTGTGTATGCAACGTCAGACGATAGACGGCAGACGACCGACGACCAACAACGACATTGTTGTTGAAGGCCCAGGTTGAATGGCCGAACAGGAACAGAAACAGCAGCTGCAACTGGGATTGGTGGAGCAGGAGGTGGACCTGCTGCAGCTGGGTAGGAATGCGCCAAGAACGCGGCATTCCATCCTTGTTAACCACCCACTTTGCCGGTCTCTCCTTGCTGCACGCTGCACCCAGAGAAAATAACTTACCAATATTGACAAGACATTCAGAGTATTTGAGTTAATACCAGGCATATACACTTGGCTTTTCACAACATATACTCACCTCAAGTGAATGGGATTAAAAATGTACTTAATTTTAAGGATGAAATTTGAAGGAAATGTTGAGGCAGAGGGATTTTAATCTATAGAAACGATTTCTCCAAGGAAACTCTACTGTTTTGCATGACTCTTTAGCACTACAATGTATAAAGCAACTCATATTTTTCTCTTAGTGTGGCAGTTGCCTCGTTAATGTGCTCAAATATGAGTTTCAATATTTGCGCCAAAGAGGACGAATGTGCGGGACGGGAATCGGCATGTGGAGTGCACCCGAGCCGACTTGCCTTGGCAAACTGTTGAAATATACACGAGCCACGGCGAAACAATGGCTGAGTGATGCCGGGCGGTGCTGGGTGGTGCCGAGTGCTGCCGAGTGGGTGGTGGCAGGGACACCATCTGGGCGGCTAAGGGCGTCATATGAATGCAGCAGTTGCAGAAACACAACACGAGGGGGGCAGCCCGTGCAGCGAAACAAACAACAAGGAACGTGGATAAAGTTAAGTGCACGTGTGCATTATTTTAATGCCACCTGAAGGAGTTTGGCTGCCATTGCCAGAGCACTAAGCGGAGGAGAGGGAGCCTACGTCTTGCTGGAAGCCCAACTCCTTGGGCGGGGGATTGTGTTAGGAGTCCTGCATTTGACATGCAACATATGTTGCCGTCTGCTTCGCAAACTCCTCCAGAAGTTGTTGCATGCAAAATGAATGCTTAATGTCGCGCAAGGAGTCCCCGGGTGCCTGCTGGATATATAAAATTGAGCATGGGGGGAGCAATGTCTGGTCCTGGGTCCTGCCTCCTGCGTCCTGCGTACAGCGTAGTCCTCACCATGTAGAGGTAATTGGTTTTGTTGCCACACAAATGAAATCAACACCGTCGGTGTCCCCTTACCCTGATTGTGTTTAGTTTAGCATCGCCGCAGGCTGCGCAAATTATTATGCACAAATCAAATAAATAAATTAAATTCCGAAATCAGCAGCAGATCCCCTTCATATTTTCCCCTATCGGAATCTTTTTGTCCTTCAGAGAGTAGCCTTGGGTTTAGGTTTATATATATTATAAATTAATTCGAATAATTTTAGTCCGCTATTTATATTAAAAATAATTCGAGCTCTTTGTCTTAAATCTGCGGGGGTAAGCTCTCAACTGTGTAGTTTCATTCAGTTTTAAAAAACAAATACAAATGCATAATTATAATTGTAAATTCAATTTAGTCTGCCTATTCATAATTTCAATTTAATAGAAGAGCCTCGAATGAGATTTAAATTAATACTCTAGAATCTAAAATCAAGTGTACTCTACTTTATTTTAAACAATAAAGAAGAAAACTTTAGCTTATTGCTTTTTTCCAAGTCTAATGCATAATAATTAAATAATTTAATAGTGCTTCCTGGAGACACAATAGCTTTCCGAGTTATCAACCAGAGCTCTGTGAGAAGAGTGTCCTTTTCCAGCTTTTGTCCTTTAATTAACTCGCCACCTCTCTTGGTAGCAGCAAAAAGAAAACGTCTCTCTCTTGTCCCGGCAAATTTTTCGATTTATTTTTCACTCGGCCTCGAGCCGGGGCTAAGGCTCCAGCTCAGGAAGACCTTGCAACGGAATGGGATGCTTGTTGTGCCCCGCACCGAGGCAAAGTCCTTCTGCCTGAGGAGATGCCAATGGCAAACCTAGATCATCCAGCAGCAGCAGCAGCAGCCAGAACCAGCAACCTTGACTAAAGGCTTTGTGTGCCGAAATTGGTGTCGCCGTGGCACCGCCGGCTATATGGCTGATGGTTCCGTGGCCTTTTGGGGGCGTTACGTGTATTGAAAATTCATAATATTTGGAACACCGTGGCAGGACTTTGAGGGGAGGTGCTGTGGGGTAACCAGGGACATGGCGCGTGCTGCATAGTTAAAATGCGAAATATATGCACATTTTATGATTTCTTTTTCTATTTTTTTGCCAGCGCCAAGTCCCAGCAAATGCAACTCGATTTATGCCAAAGCGTGGCCTGCCATCCTGCGTCTATACATCTACAATATATATGTCCTTATCCGCACAGAGTGTGTGTGTGTGTGTGTATATATATACATGGGTTGGAACGTGGGGTATGTGCATTGTTGATTGGTATGCATATTGTATTTGATTATTGACAAACGAGAAGGAGCGTGAGGTAAAGCCGCCTTCCAAGGAATGATTGAAGGAGGACTTAGGACATCGAAAGGCTCGAACAACCAAGGGCTGCGTGAGAGCCAAAAGTCGGTGTAAATTTAGACTGAATGAAATCGATAGAGAGTAATTTAAAAGCTATCAATAAGCTGAAGGGGAAATGTACGTTAGAAATATAAATAATCAAAGCAGAAGCAGTATTTGTTTTACCTAGGTAGAGAGAGAGACTCTTTATTAACAAGATGCACAGCGTTAAACTCGAGTAGAAACATATAATTTGGTGTAATTCAACTTGTTGTTATATTGATCGATAGTATCATTAGATGTTACTATTCATAGGAAAGTATTTCGTAGTCCCTAGTTACTGCCATTATATTCACTATTACAAGGCAAAGTCTAGTTTAGTTTCCCTGTCCTGTCAGGTGCAAAATTTGGCCATAGCCAGCGGCTTCTGGTTAAGGTTAAATGTTGATTAAATTTTATGCACAAGCCGCGCCGCCACCTCCCCCACATGACAGTGGATGCCAGAGATGGGGTGGCGTTGTGGGTGCCCGGAGTGGTGCAGTCGCCGCTTCTTTGAGTGCTCTGCTGGCTGGCATCAAATAATTTATGCAACAATGGCTGCAATAACGGTCCTGGCAGCAGCGCAGCACCATCTCCAGTTGCCTGCGAGGAGCTAGCTGGAATCCTGGCAAGCGAGTACACAAAGTGCAATTTGCCATGAACACTGGAACACTGGACCAGGGACTGTGACTCCCTTAGCCTTTCGGCAGTTGCTGCCACCCGGGGGCACGACACCCCGGCTAACCCACTAATAGTACGCCTCATAAAAGTTTTATGCGCCGGAATACTTTCGCAGCCCTTCCTCCAAACTCCCCAGCAGCCAGCAAATCCAAGGCGAAGGCAGGAATTGGCCATTTTTTTCGGGCTCGGAGAGCTCGGAGTGAGAGAGAGCAACTGGCTCTGATGTAAGTTGAGCCATCAGAAGCAGAGCCACCAGTCAGAGCCGGAGTGCGACCCAAGGCGCTAGTGGCAGTGGCAGTGACTTTAAGGTCAGCCTCACATAACAAATGTCGGGCTATATTTTCCGGAGAAAGCCCCGGCAGACGAAAACTTTCCTCATTTGCACTTCAATTACAAAGGCCGAGCGAGAGTGAGGAGGGTGGCAGTGTGTTTTTGAAAAATGTGCGGACATTCGAGAATCAATGAAGTGCGTCTATTGGCCGGAAAGGAGAGCGCAGGTCCAACTTAAATTCGAGCAGCATTGTATTCAAAATTTATAAGCGCTCGAAGGTGGCTGCAGCAAGTGCTTGCCATTCTCCTGGCCATTGCCATTCCCATTCCCAGTCCCATTCTATTACGTTCAGCCAGCGGTGAAAAGTTTTGCCTCTTGGACTAGGACTCGGACTCCGACATGGACATGGACCTTGCAGTCGCCTTGCGGCATATGTGTTCCTGGCTCGCTTTACTATATTCCCTCTTTACTTTTTTCGGTTCAAAATTAATGGCATGCGAACAATTTCTGGGAATTTCCATAAATTTGCACGTGGACTTTTGTGTGCAAAAGTTCTTTGCTTTGCCAAACTTATAATCTAATTGCGCCCTCACGTTTATTGTTGCCCATATATGTACGTTATGTACTATATGTACAGGTATTCTATGTGGCAGCAGGTATGTGAAATACATATTTTTGGAACTTTAACATAAGCACGGGCAGCGTAATGGTTGCAAAAACTTTGTAACCTAGTCTGAAAATTTAATTCGACCCGAACTAGAGGTGAGTGGTATTAATTTTTAAAAAGACCTTCTGCCAAAAGTTTTAATTAAATCGTATCTCTCAAGCGGCAATTGCAATCAGAGAAATGCCAAAGATGGGGCAGATAGAGGGATTTATAAATAAATAAATAGCTAAATAAATAGTTACTAAGCTGATTAATATTTTAAAAGTTACTATATCCAAGTCTTAAACTCGCTCCGTTTCCCTTTTAAATATTTATATTAATTATTATTATTTCCTTACTTATCCCACTACATTTTCTTGAGCCTGAAATGGGAGATAAATGGCGGAAAATTCCTAGTCTATGGGGAATAAATCAAATAAATGTAATTCGAACTTAATTGAATTATTACGCATTTGTCCACATTTCCCTTTTGGCTAATTGCAGCAATAATGTCGCACGTGCCACACCCCCACACACACGCACAGCCCACCCAGCTCTCTCCTTCAGCCCCCAAATACCGTGGTCCAAAGGACAGACACATGTAATTTGCTGTAAGGAAATGGAGAAAACAGAGACGAAGATTCCATTACAGAACAAAGGTGGTGGAGGGTGTGGGTCTTGGGCTCTTGTAGAGTGTTGCTGGGTGTGGCAGGAATCGCACAAGTATCCGCAATTATGACAAACATGCCATGCGACCTTTCGTCGCGCCAGCAACAACTCCGAGGCACTAACAAGCCTGGCCGAGGATCCAACTCCTGCAGCAGCCTTAGGGCCCTGTAGGCTTTCGGTTTTTTTCCTTCATCGCACTTTATTTTATTTTTACACATGCTACCCTTAAAGGAGAAGGGATATATTAGACCCGTGAAGATTTTACAATACCTATGAATTAGCATAGAATATACATTGTGAACAAGATGTTCACATTAAGAACTCTTCTTTAAACGTATAACTTTATTGGAAGTTATTAATTATTAATGCTTGCAGCTACCTGATAAAACTCCCTGAAGTAGGCAATATTTTTCATACTAAAAACCTCAAAGACTCAGTATCCCTTAGTCGGGGTCTTTAGCTTTATCTTTCCTTCTTGGATTGCTGATGTTGTTTTTTTCTCTTTGGCCCCGAGGCTTCGCACACACACACACACATCGGCATTGTCACAGCTCATGGCGCGTAATTAACTAAACAAACGTCATTAGGCATGCGCGCGTGTGTTATGCGTATGTGTGCGAATGTTTAGGGGAAGGAGGTGTCTCTCTTGGTGCTTGGTCCTTGGCCCATGGATATGTGGTAGCCATGGATCCCCTTGATGTCTCTAGAAAAATTCCTTGCAATTGAACGAGGAGTAGGAGCAAACGAAGCGCGCCAAATGAAAATCGCTGTCATCAAATGTAGCGCAATTCCTTGAGTGATTACAATTACAGCAACATCGTCGCAGCCAGCAGAGTGATTACTAGACGACAATGCAACAGAACAGGACAACACGGCCAAAAACGAGAGATGCGAAGGCAAAAAGACAAAAAGACGAAAAGACAAAAAGGAATTCATTTCACATCGCTTTGCCTGCAATGGAGATCCGTTCGCTCATCCACCCACCCACAGGACCTGCTCATCCTCCTTGCCTTGGAGCAATAAACTGCGCTAAATTCAGACTGGCTCTGTGATGTTGTAGCTTCTGGGTTTGTTGTTCTCATTCTCATTCTCATTCTCGGTCTCGTCCTCGTCCTCGTCGTAGTCCTCCTCGTTTTCGTCCTCGTCCCGGGTTTGTTGTTTTGCAAATTGCTGACAATAAATGTTCGCAGCGACAGAGACGGCTGATGTGGATGGGGACCCGCATTTAAATTTCACTACTGAGGATTCCATAGGTGCAATGAGCAGGAAGCAGCCGGAATGTGTGCCACTGTACCAGTGTGTATGTGTGTGCGGCGCCCCTGGTGACAAATTCATTTGTATTTATTACTTAAATTAATTGCAGCCCCCGAGAAAAAGGGGAGTGTAAAGCCCGGGAAAAAAGGGGTAACACCCAGTTGGGGGCGAGGGCGTGTAAGAACTTTATTCAAGGGCTTCCCGTTTCTACAAATTTCTTGATATGTTTACACTTGAGAGCTTGGAAAATACTGAACTAGCTTTGTCTTTGATGAGGAAGAAGAGTGTTGCCATAGTTCTAATTAATTTTCAAAGGACTTTTAGAGGGTTTTTCTAGTGTAGAGTCAGGAAAGATCTCAGTTGAGGCTACTCACATATGACAGTTAGCTTGGCAGTGGCTCGAATAGCGCTGTTCAGTCTCGCCGGTCCCACCTGGCACTGGTAATCGGCATCATCCGTGATCGAGGCATTCGAGATGCGCAGATTGTAGACTCCCTGCTTTCGATCACCCAGCACTGAGTAGCGCGGATAGCCAGGTATCACCGCCGAAAAGCCCAGGGCAAAGCCATCCTTGGTCCACTGGACTGCGCCGGCCACATTGGCCACCTCGCAGCGCATCATGGCCTCGGCTCCTTCCAGGACCTGCAGGTCATGCGGCGTGGTCCGGAACTTTTGCTGCTGGGCGTGGCAGGACGAGGGACTAGCCACCAGCACCAAAACGATGACAACTGAAAGGAAATGGGGAGGAGAAGAGTGATTCATTGGCGATGCACTTAATTAATTGTACCCGCGGACATTTGTTGTCTCCGGTCTGTGAGTCTGTGAGTCCCTAAGTCCCAAGTTGGGTTCTCTATTAAAAACGTGACTTTCTATCGCCGAGCCGCATGATGAATTATGAAATATGTGTTTACTCAAAGTCAGAGAGAGAGCGCGATCCCCGATGCCCCCGAGGCCAGCGAAAGCGCTTGGCGACCGCAATAAAACAGGACATTCCACAAAGTCCTCTCTTTGCCGAGGGCCGAACTTTGACCGTTTTCAGCGGGAGCTCCGGTCTACGAAAATAAAAAGTGGAGAACTCTGCTTGGCCAGAACCAAGTTCTGGTTCTGGTCTGGTCTCTTTTTAATGAAAAACAAACACATTTTCCGGGGGACCCTGCCCCTGCGAAACGAAAAAGCGCGTTTTGCCGCGCCACAAAAGCCAATTGTGGGTGTGGTCCGCATCCGAGTCCGCTGTCCTTAGTCCCCTGTCCTGGTCTGTTTGCCAAGACACATTGCAGACTGCTGCAGTTGTGGAGAGTTCATTTCTTGCGCTGAAACTATTAAATGCCGCGAAAGGCAAAAGGGAAATTGTCGGGGGGTGTGGGGGTGGCAGAGAGGTGGTGGCTTTTCCCGGGCAAGTCGCGCATCTAAAATCAACAAAAGCATTTAACGCGACGGTCGTCAGGCAGCTGCACTTGTTTTTTGGTGTCTCCCCAAAACAGTTAAGCTCTCGCTCGCTTTCCCACTTTCCCAGTTTCCCCAGTTTTTCCCACTTTCCCAGTTGTTCCCAACCGTCCCCGTCCCCTTTGCCCGGTGAAACGAGCATTTTATTCGCGCTTTCATAAATTTCCCAGCAGAGAGACTATTTCTTGCTCTCCTCCTCCTCGGGCTGTGTTTATTTATAAGCAGCGAAATGCAGTTTTAAATCTGGCCAGTTCGCTTTTGCCTCCCCCTTTTCCTTGGGAAAAATAGGAATAAAATGAAACTTAGCTCTGGCGCTACCAACTGGCAATGATTAATATGGCCAACAATTTGCATACGCATCATGTCTGGGCGGCAGGAGGAACTCCTAGCTGGCTGAAGGATGGGTTAAATGGGTGGCAGTGGCGGGGACAGGAATGAATTTTAAATAAGAAAAATATCACAGAGCTGCGCCGGGTTAGAAGCTCATTCGTTGCCAAACTCTTTACGATTTCATTATTTTGCCTTTTTCGTACATAATTTGTTTCGGCAAAAGAATGTGAAAGGAACAGGCGGAAAATCAACAACAATTTGCCCCGGACCCCGCTGTCGAACAGCCAGCAGCATTACGGGCAATTTATATAAATTTCGTTGTTACCAGAGGGAGAGCTGGGGAGTGAGTGGGCCTTTGGTGGCATCTGTCAGGCACAGAGACGAGCCGGAGAAGGAAAATGAGAGCTGGAACCCTTGCCAGGCTACGATGGGAGGCCTGCCAGGAACAGGGAACAGACAAGGATCAACATAACCTTCGGCCTGTCGCAAATTTTTGCCTATTTTCACCCTCCCCAAACCCACACAGCGGCTTACACACATGCGTTTGGTTTTGGGCCTGGGTTAAGTTCATAGTTGAGTAAATTTTTACCTCGTTCTGGAGGATGGAGCAGGAGATGAAGCAGCAGAGTCGTCCTTGGGGCCCTTGGGTTTTAGGACTTTCAACAAACATTTGCCTGGGCTAAGCGAGCTCGCGCCGTTTTCATCGCTGTGCCGTTGTCTCTCATATTTTCAAGCGAAAAATTTTAATAAAGCAAATTCCTATTTTACGGCCTTATGCGCCCCTAAAATAAGACGAGGCCAAAAATTAAGCGTGACGCCCCATCCGGTGCCGAAGCCGCCGCCACAATCCTCATCATTCCATACGTCATACGCAGTGTGGTCCCCGGAAATAGTCGAAATGGAGGAAAGGAGATTCGCACGCAACAAGCTGGAGTGAGGAACGAGGAGCAGGCGCGGCAGTCAGTGACAGCCGAAAGTGCGAAAAGGATTTAAATGCTTCAGGCGTCGCCTTTTGACCTGCCAAACCCCAAAACCCAACCTCTTCTTCCTCGGGAATCCCCCCAAACTCTGTACCCAGAACAACGTCAAGTGCCATTGTCGAATTTCTGTGTCTCTCCTCCCAGGTTTGAGTATGAGGGCCAAAACGTGCGTGGTTTTTAGTGTCGCGTTCCCTTGATTGTTTTCCAAGCTGGGTCTAAAAACAACAAACACCCTGTCCAGGCATAAGGATGATGTTAAGGGAAAAAGGAAACGGAATGGAGCTGGGGATAGGAATAGCGAGCCACATGAGGACAGCTCCAAGCAGCATCAAATCCCGGCCAGTTTTGCCCGGGAAAGGGTTGCTTGGGTCTTATTTTACGACCGGGGGACTATCAGTGTTATTGTTATGACTGAAATTTGATGGCCCCGACCGCTTTTCTGGCCAAGAGTCGTCTCAAGTCAACTCGAGTAGTGATGTATGTGATGTCTGCCAAGATTCGTTTCAGGCAGTTATCTCGACCGGGACAGGAACGGGACTGATTAGGCAGCCGGGGGATCGGATTAACCAGAGGCCGACGGGACACCTGAGTGCGCCGGAGTCCCAGAACCATTGCCCAGGCTCCCCAGGACCTCCCATTTCACACATGCAGCACTTAAGTTTTATTTGTTTTTTGCTTTAAATGCTCTCACGTATTTGGGATTTGGCGGGCGAGGGCAGGCCTCCAGGGTTGCCAGGCAGCGTTTTGGATCCTGGCGAAATTCCCGACGCGTATTAATTTGACGATTATTATTTCCGCACACACACACTCGCCTTCAGTTTGGCAAGGCTTTAGCATTGCTTTATGGTCATATGCACAGAGGAAAAATCAAAGAGATATCAGTTTTCACTTTGTTCTTAAACAATTTTCATATCACAGGGATATGCTTGTAAATAAAAAAAATCCTTTTCATAAGGCAACACTATGGTTTGCTGTGCAACCAATATCCTTCAAAGCAAGTAAATTCAGCTGACTATTAAACCTTATGTTACCATATTGTTTATTTTTAACAAGGAATTTTATTTAAACTTTATACAACTTCCACGTGCTGGGATTATTTATTATTTATTATTTATTTTCACTGCGGTTTTGCCCTATTAAAAAGTGAACTTTTTAGGTGTATTATATATTCATGAAATATAAAAAATGCTACATTCTATGTTCTTCAAATCAAATTGAACCATTCAATAAGTTAATTAAATTTAGTTAGTTTGTTAGAATCCTCTTGGAAATTTAAACCATAACTATATATTTATCTCTACTTCTCGTTATATATTTCTCTCAGTGTCCTACTTAAATCGCCTCCTTGGTTTTCTTCGGTGGGCGTGGTCGCACGTAAGCTGCCAGAAAAAGAAAATAGCAAAGAAAAAATTAGCGCTGCTTCAGCATATTGTCGCAGCACATCCGCTCCAAGAACTCGTCTCGACTCCACCTCGAAGCTGGAAGCTGCCACCATCAATCGAACATCCGTGGCACCTTTCGGCGGCGCATCCTTTTTGGCTCCAACTCGGAGCCTGCCACGCCCCCTGTCAGCAAACGTGCCTGGCATTTGCATGGCAAGGAGTACTCCTGTCGAGCTGTCGAAGTCGCAAGGCGAATGTTTTATAACGATTTTCGGGCGCTGCAGTTGGCAGCGTTTTGTTCAAATACGATATAACAATAGTCGGAGCGACAGTTTCGTCCTAATGGAGCATGGAGCATGGAGCATGGGGCATGGCGACGACGCATGCCACATGCCAAGTTATCCTGCAGTGGCTACGTGCCCCTCCTTATCGATGGATCTCCGTGCCAGCGCGAAACTGTCCCATTTGGGGATTAACTAATTGAATTTGCCACTCGCTATTGCATCGCATCATTTGTGGGGCTCGTCCTCTGTCTTCAATTCGCAGGATTCCAATTTAGAAATAGTTTTTTTTTTTTGGGGGGGGGGAGGAAGAGGGAATAAGAATAAAAGCAATCGCAGGAATTTTGCATCCTGACCACTCTAATGAGAATTCAAGTTAGATTGCTGCCGCTGCTGTTGAGGGAAAATTGCAACAAATTGCAATTACTGGCAACACTTTGCGCCACCGCGGGCTTCTCCAGCAGGCAGCTACATCTCCATTAACAATGCGGTAGGTCCTGGAACAGGAGCAGCTCCCAGAGTTGCAACCATGGCAACAGCGGCAGGGCCATCAGTGGCACCGTAAATGGTAATCGCAGAGCAACATTATTAACATCATCAAGGTGAGCGTTATTAAAACCGAGTAAAAGGCATAGCCGCCACCTGCTGGCCAACGCGGCAACTCGACTTGCGCCACCTGCCGACCCAAGGACACGGCCAACCGGCCGCAGGACCAAGTTCCAGGAACAAAAAAAAGAGTACCGCATTATTTTGCAGCTTGCGACGGGAGTAAATTCTTGTTAATAGTGCAACAAATTCGCATTTATAAAGCAAAGCGTTGACTGCGGTGACTCTCAAACTGTCATTAATTCGCAGAATTTTCCGCGAAAAACTCTTTTTGCGGCCAACAAAAATGCAGACTTTGGTTTTTGGTCACAATCCAAGAGTGAAACTTGCGGTTATTAATTAACTACCTAGCCAATTATTTGCCACAAAGTTGCGTAGTTATCCGTTTTAAACGAATTTAATTGCAATTAAGATACATTTTATGTATTTAATTAACTTATATTTCATTACATAAAGCATTGATATTTTTAAGTTTGAATAGATTGCCTCGGAAATAATGATTTTCTTAGGAAATTAAGTCGATTTATGCTGAAACTTAATAGTAATATATAACTTACTTGAGTTAAGTAATTTAATACTATAGCCTTGAATCAAGGGTCTTTTAAATTGAGTCCGAAGCTTGTGAATGTTGTGGAAATTTAAATCTTGAAAATTTTAAACAAAACTTAAAGCTAAATTTCGCCTGTAAATTTATCTGTAGATAACTCCTGGATTTATCAATTAATTCAAGGTTTCTCATAAATTCATAAGAAACCAATTTATTCATTAAAATATT